TTTAAAAAATTATTTTTAAATATTATTGTATTTTTTGAAGAATTGTAACTAAAAATTTAGAAGATAATGAAATTTTACAAAATTTTTTGAACCTATTTCAATAATTCAATTATCGTTGAATTCTAATAAAAATTGATTTTAAAAGGAATTTCAGTTAAAATTTTGAAAAATAATTGAATATTGGAAGCGTTGTAACAGGAATTTTAAGAAAGGGAGCGTTCACAAATGATGTCACGTTTTTGGGGGTAGGGGGGGGGGGGTCTCTACTAAACGTGACACAATGTATTTTTCTAATGTGAAATTGCATGAAATTGCGTGACAGGGGGGAGGGGGGTTAAAAATCACCAAAAATTGCGTGACATTATTTGTGAACGCTCCCAAATATAAATTTTAAAAGGTTTTAAATTCAAATATTTTAAAAAATTTTAAACTCCGTAAAAGTATAATAATATTTAAATGTTTATTTAAAAAAAAATTATTTTCTTACTTTTCCTATAAAAATTATTAAAATTTTTAATAATGTTATTCAAAAATTTTTTAAAAAATTCCACTTGAAATTTATAGAAATAATTAAGTTTCAAAACGAAATTTTAATTAAAATAAACAATAAGTTTGTAAATATTTGTTTAACAAAAATTATTGAATTTTTGAATGGAAATTTAAAAAAAAATTATAGTATTTTGAAAAATTGTAATAAAAATTTTTTTGAAGACAATTGAATTTCCGAAAATAATTTTAAAAATTGAAACAATTAAAAGTTTTGTAAAATTTCATTGAAATAAATTTTAAATTTGATAAAGAATTTAATTTTATTATTTTTAAAACTTGTTTTGAAATATAATCGTATCTTTCAAAAAATAATAAATTTTCATTAAATTTCAAAAAGAAAGTTTTTGTTACTAACAATGGGAATGAAAATTTATAATAGTATTTAGTAAACAAATTAACTTTTTGAAATTTAGATATTATTTAAAATAAAAAAAAATATATAAATACCTGAAAATACTAAAAAAAAATTTAATTTTTCTAAGCGAATTTTCATATATTTTTGTGTTAGAAAAAACATTTTGCACAGTATTTTTGTGAATAATTTGAATTTCTATTAATTATATTAATACCTACATATTAATATAATTATTAAAAATTGTATGAAATATTGTAATTATTACAGTAATTATAATGAAAATAATTTAGAATTTAACATAATTATACTAAATTTCAAATTTTTGGAATACGGAAGAATTTTAAGTAGATTATAGAAAAGCCTAATTATTATTATATATTCGAATAAAAAAATTGTGGAATCAAGTTTCACGAGAGTAAGATTTGCTCGAGCGCGTGATTTACGCGAAAGAAACTCCTGAACGATAAGCTTTGGCTGGCATTTCTACTGCTTCGTTTGGTCGTCTCGTATTTATGGGGGAACATATAATACATATATTGTTGAAGAGAGAAAGACCAACCCTAACAAAATTACAAATACGTATAGGTACGAGTGTGGCGTATGGTATAAACCATGTGTTAAGAGAGAGAAAGTGAGAGAGTCTTTATTCAACCCCCTGAACTGGACTAGAACACACGCCTCACATACGAGGGATTTTTTCACCCCACCTTTCGAAGGTATATATATGTGAGTAAAAATAAATAGTTCCACACAGTCTTCTTTCTAGTCCTAGGACATGAAACAACCAACGCTTTTTGAGTTTCAAATTCACTTTTCATTGGTCCCGCATGCAACTCACGCTCTGCTTCTATTCAATCATTCCCCCCCTAAACAATTTTTTTCTTTCTCCTTTTTCTCTCTCAGAATCCTCAGAATGAATGTAATAGAAACCTCGACCCTGAAAAACTCGCTTGCCAGTTGTCGTTGGTGGAAAAATGTCTATATTTTGTCTCACTTTCAATATATTTTTTGACAAATTGCTCTGTCCCATTAAAAATGCATCTGACAATTTATTTTGTCCTATGTTAAATATATTTTTCACAATTTATTTTTTCCCATTTTAATTATATTTCACACTTCTAATCTCCTGTTGTCTATAAATTAAAAATAGGTTTTTTACAAATTAGAAAATTTTAGTATTATTTTAAATTTGAAAAAAAATAAGTACGTTTTCTTTCAAATGAAAAAAATCCATCTTGATGTAAGCAACACGTTTTGTAAAGTATTCTCTGCATTAAAGTCACTTTCTTTGATTAAAGAAAAAACCTCCTTTGAGTTTAAGAAATTAACATGAAAACAAAGAAAAGAAAATGTTCGCACGAATACTTTTATCGTAACTTTTATACAAATTTTCTTTTTAATAACAAATTTTTGCTAATTAATAAAATACTTTGTTTTAAATAATATTTAATATTTTCACTCTTTAACTTAACGAAAATTTTAAAAACAAATTAGATCAAAACAAAGTTTTCCGATTTAACAATAACTTTTCAAAAAAAAAAAAAAAAAAAGTGAATTCGAAATAGTATAATAAAATGACTTAGGTATATATATCTTTTTCTGTAAATAAAAATAAATAAAAATAATAGAAAAATGTAAAAAATGGAATAAAATAAAGATATTTAGAAAATGGATGAAAATTTAGAAAATAAACAAAAATTAGAAAAATCAGAAACTAATTATCAAACTTCAAAATAATTAATAAATTATAGGTAATAAAGAAGTTATGAATTATTAACTAACTTAAATAAATTTTAAGAAAAAATGTATTTGAAATTAATAAATTGCAAAAAAAGGAAAAATTTTTCTCATTGAAAAAAAAGCAAAATTCCTTTCCCTATTTCATAAAATATGTTTGGAACCAAATCTGTCAAACACTAAAACTAAATGAAGATCCACGAGAATTATGTTCACCAGAATACAATATTGAAGATTAAAGAAGAATTTCCTGCTTTTTTATGTGTGAATAAAATAGAAATGATTCTTGAAGTGTGGTATTACTTTTTTTTTTTGTTTTTTTTTTTTTTTTTGAAGTAAATGTTTGACCTCAAGCGAAAGTTCACTGAAGTTACATCATCATTTTTGGTTAATCGATTTTATAGCCGTTTTACGTCAAGATCGTTACTACTTTTTAGTTACTTATATTAACAACAGTTCAACTCCAAAAATGTCAATTTTAATGAAAAAAAAATTATTTTTTTCAGGAGAAAGAATATTTTATTGGTTAATTTATTTTTTTACTTATGAATAAAGAGTAAAAAAAATTAATTTAAAAAAAATTGCCATTTGGCTAATAAATATTTTTCTCTTCTTCATTTCTGATAAAATGTTCTCTAAAATTAAAATTGTGAATAGAAAATGGCAAAATTAATACAAATTTTTACTCGAGGAATATAAATTAATAATAATAATAATGTCAATAATAAACAAAATAATAATTAAATAATAAAATAACTATTAAGTTTTTTAGTACTATTGTAACAATTGAAAAATAAGTGAATCAATTTTGAAAAAATTGGAAATATCTTCTAACAGGGTGTCTAACAAGGATTGAGAAAAAAATTCCCTGACTTTTCCATGACTTTTTCCCTGACCTTTTACTAATTTTATTTCTGCTTTCTTGAGACAAAAATATGGTAATTGTCATATTTCACAATAAATTAATATCTAATGGTAAAAACAAACGGTAATAAAAATATTCTAAGTTTTGTTAGATTAAAAAAAATTTGTATTCACAAAAAATTTTAATTTTTTAGAAATTTCTCTGACTTTTAATGAAATTCTCTGACATTCCCTGACTTTTCCATGACTTTTCCCTGACAAAAAAAAATCCCTGACTTTTTTTTTCTTTTTATATAAATTAGACTAATTTACATAAATTGATTGTCTTAAAATTTTGAATATACAAATGAACGAAATTTTGTTGTTTAAACATTGTTAAGAAATTTCTATACCAACAATGAAAAAGAGTTAATAAATTAAGCATTTACTTAGTTAAGATTTAATTTTTTTAGATCTGCAAAACAATATTTTATAATATGTAAAATTCAAACTGGAAAAGGTGAAAAAAATTATCCTTCATTTGAACGTTTTAGTGAAAGAAATTTTTTTATTCAAATATTTTAAAGAAATTTCAATATCAACAATGAAAAATAGATTAAATTATTTAAGCACTCATTTAGTTATGAATCAATTTTTTCAATATACAAAATATTTTGTAAAAAATTTAAATTGAAAAAGGTGAAAAAAATTATCCTACATTTAAACATGTTCAAAACTGTAAGAACTTATAAATTGGAGAAGTAATTTCTACCGAGAGGATAATAACAGAAAAAGAAATACATTTCTTTTTGAAAAAAATTTAAACACTTGAAAAAAGTATAAACTCTTCATACTTTTTCAACTGTGTTTAAATTTTTTTTTTTAAAGAAAGATATTTCTCTCTCGTCATTATATTCACTCAGTAAAAATTGCTCCTCCGATAATAATAATTCATATATAGAAACGAATTTTAGTAATAAGACAAATATGGAGTTACGTAAAAAAATAGACACGCTCTGTCGATTTAAACCAAAACCGGATTTAAAGATATTCATTTCAGTTAGGATGAAACAGTCCCTATATAATATTTCTAGAACCCAGGCGTAGACTTGCTAGAGGCGTTCGTGAAAATCAATAGACCACGTGGGTCGACGTTCGCTTTTTGCGAACTCCATTTTCGTAAAAGATATCAAGGACATTAAATTTTCATCTACCATAATAAAAAAATCATCTTAAAATCCTTGCATTTCTACCCTATCTTCCTATATAAAATTTATCCCCTTTTTCTCTCATTGAAAACGTGTTCTTAAAAAAATTAGATCAGTAATCCTTTGAAATTTTGTCAAAAAATAAAAAAGGATAAAAAGAAAAATTATTTTAAAATTATAATTTTGCCATTCGTAAAAATACTTTCTTTTTTTCTTTTCGTCACTTCAATTTTTCCATAAATTTCTGAATTCTTTTTATTTTAAATGTTTTTTTGTAAATTATTTTTTAAAATGAAAATTGTACTCACGCGTAAAATATATTTCCAATAATCTAGAGAGAGTGATTTTCCTTTTGTTTAAAATTCCTGGTCAATCATCAAATTGAAGATTGAGGCACTCACGGATTTTTGTCTTTCTAAAACTTCATGCCGATTGTGAAAAATAGATTCCTTTTTTTCTATGCAACATATAGAGGAAAATAAAAAATTGTTTTTCTTCAATATATCTATATATGTATAAGTTTTGTCACGCGTACCGGTAAAATTTGAGACGCAACCAACCAACTTGTACAGCACGGTGGTTCGAGTCTGAATGACTTGTATATGCTTCCTATGCTTCCTCATTTAGTGTCTCTCTCAGATTGATTCCCCTTTCTATTGCGCGAGCGCTTTCTTTCTCTTTCTCTCACTTCCCTCCATTCGATTCTTCTTTCATTTTTCCCTCAAACTCACATATCGTTTCATTCCTTCTTCCTTTTGTCTTCTCCTCGTTTTTTCCTTCTTCTTTTTTTCTGAAAAATACAATGATCTTAAGAATACGTTGAAAAAAAGAAAAGAAAAATTTACTCCAAATTTACGAGAAACTTGTTTATAAGCTGAAAAAAAATTACGTGAAAATTTTATTACTAATCATAAATTATTATTCACTTTTTAATACTATTATTTATTTTATTTATTATACTTTAATATTTTAATATTTTTTAGACTTTAAATTAAAAAATACAAAAATATTTTTTAATTTTTGTTTTTAATAATTATTATACTTTGGAAAAACACGATGATCTTAAGAATACGTTAAAAAAGGAAAATTTTGTCCGAATTTAAAAGAAACTTGTTTACAAGCTAAAAACAACTACCGGAAAATTTTATTACTAATCATAAATTTTTCTTTACTTTTCTACATTTATTATTCATTTTATAATTAATTTAATATTTTTTAGACCAATTTTCATGCTTTAAGTTCAAAACTATAAAAATGTCTTCCTAATATGTCTACCCTTATTTTTAATATTTACACTACGGAAAAAATCCATCTAATATTTATTATAAGTTTATAAAAAAATAGCTTATAACTTTCATCATAGAAAAATTCCAAAAGGAAAACAAATTGTTTTAAAATTCTCGAGATAATTGTTGTGCAAAAGAAATATTATTTAATAATTATATATAATAATCGTCGTGATTCCAGATTTCCGGATCTCTGTCCACACTTGAAGTTAGTTATGGTTATTCTTTTGTTTTTTATACGTTTGTTTTGAAAATTAATTTTTGTGGGTTAAGTATTAGCATTTTTTATATTTTTAAATGTCAAATTTTTCAATGTTTATGTTATTATTGTACAGTGCTGCCAGATTGGAAGAAATATAGTAAAAACTTGAAGATTGTTTGAAAATGTTGTGAAGGCTGTGTATATATCAAGTAATTATGAAAATATTTATAAACATTTAAATAATATAAATAAACCATTTTTTAAAGATAAATTATAATTTTTGTTCTTTACGTTTTTATGATTATAATAATAAATGTAATAATTATTAATTACTAAAGTAATTGTTACTGTTCCATTTATTATTTTGCAAATCAAAAAATGTTATATTTTCAAATATAAACATTAATTTTTTAATTTCAGATTAACTACATAATTAACTATTCTTGTTTATTATTTTCAAAAATGTTAATAAGAGTTTTCGAAAGAATTTAATTATTTAAAAAAAAATTTTTATAAAAATCAAATGACTAATTATTTCCAAATTTTTCAATAAAAACTTTGCAAGATTTTAGTCATTTTCAGTGCATTAATTTTTAAAATTAAAAACATTGAAAACTTTTACTTTTAAATTGCGAACAGATTCAAACACAGCAATATTAATTTATTTCTTTATAATTCTTTGTGAAATTTATTTTCTTTTATCATATTCTAGAAAAAATTATAACCAAAATCTGAAGAAAGTTTTTTGATTAATTTAAAGATTTCTGAAGATAAATAAGAAAATTCTGAAGATTTGTCGTTTCAATCATCTGGCAGTACTGTTATAGTGTTTGATTCAATTTTTAGCTTTACAACTATCATTTACTCTAAAGGTAAATACTTTTCTATAATTTAATGTTAACATTATTTCAATATATTGAAAAAAGTTATTTGATATAATTTACATTCAATTGAATTTTATTTTTATAAATTTCTTAATGCAGAATATTTAGTTTTTTAACTTGCAAAACTCTAAATAATGTAATTGTTAAAAATATAATATTTATTTTTCATAATTTAAAATTATTAATTATTTTCATAATAATTTAAAATAATTACTATATTATTAAAGACTACAACATAAATTTAAATTATCAAAGTATATTTAATAAAATAGTAATTTAATACAAGTTTTATTTTTATATTTTTTATTATATGAATTTATTTTATGAACTTTTAACGTGTCTTAATTTTCATATGTTTTTAATTAATATGTGATTTATAGAATATTCAACAAATCAATAAAAATATATTGCCAATTTTTTCAATTAAAAATATATTACATCAAATATCTATTCCCAATATTTAAATAATGTTAACATTAAATTATGGACACATACCTGCCGAGTAAATAATAATTATAAAGTTAAAAATTCAATTAAACAACCAATATATAGAATTAAAATGTAGGGGCTATCATACGCCTAAAATTTATCTGAAATTTTTTTTTCTTTGTTTCTAAAAACGAATTTAGAATATTTTTTTTATGCTTCATTATAATATTATATTACATCTTGTAATTAAATAATTAATGCAAGTTATAGTTTGTATTTATACTATAGATATTTTGTTTTCCAAAGAAATTAGAATTAAAAGTTGTTAACTTTATTATTTTTCAATTAATTTAATTTTTTGCAGTTATGGTAGTTTCAAAAGATACGGAATTTTTTGTTTAAAAAGCTAAATGAATAATTATTTTTTTAATTTTTGGAATAATTAAAATTTTCGTAATCAAAATTATTTTGAAAATAAAAGTATAAAATATGTAACAATTTTTGCGAGATTCAATTTTCTTCGTACAACATGAAAGTTTAACAGCAGTAATTTTTGTTTACAAAATTTATAGGATTCACTTAAAATTCGTTTCTAATACGTTAAATATGCCATTAAAATTTAGAAATTCAAAATAGAACTTCCATTTGTCTGACTTTCTTCTAATTTATCGGACTCAGTGATTTCTGGGGTGAATTTGGTAAAGTTCTAAAATGATTAATTTCTATGTTGAATTCGTTATTTTGAATTTAGAAAATCTGATGTTAATTTAATTATTTTTTCGTTATGCACGACAAAAAACATTTACCTGGATAAACTACAGATTTCACTTTATTAGCGAAATTTTTCAGTGCTTCAATTAATACTTTAAAAAGTATATTTAAATTAAAATGGCTTTATATTGTTTAAAATAAGCAATGTAAAAGATAAAATTTGCTCAAAAAATAATTTTTCACCTCCTGCTGGTTACCGGCTGTGGCTATTTTTTTTATTAATTGTGAATTAAATTAATTTTTATGACCCAGATACTAATTGGAATTGTTCTAGCATGGTGGCCACTAAAAACAGTAAAAAAATTTCCCTGACTTTTTCCCGACTTTCCCTGACCAATATTCTGGGTGTTTTTAACTTGGTTTCTAATGAACAATAATTTAAATAAGAAATATATCTCTCAAATTATTATTAATAACTACTATTCATTTCAAACAGTTGAGAAGGATGTTTTAAGGATTTTTGAATCAATTTGTAGAAGTAGATAAAATTCTTTATTTTCAAAATTAAATCTTTAATCTTAAAGTAGCTGAGACTGCGGCTAAAACTTAAATTTTGAAAAGATGTTTTTTAGTCAATAAATCCGTTTAGATGCAAAAATATATAAATAGATCAATCTTGTATAGGCCAATTGTCCTCACCAACATTTAATAAAAAAGCTTCTAATATTTTAGCGTAAAATAAATGTTTTGCTCTTTTTTCAAAACTTTGATTTTGTAACATTTAACAATTATAAATTTAATAAACTAAAATTTATTTATAAATAAAAAACAAAATTATGGGTTTAATTGTCGTGGGCGGTTTCGTTTTTCGGCCGTGTACTTGCCTAATGACATAAATACACTGAAAAAAATTATTTGATTCAATTAATTCGAATTATTTGCAAAAATTTTATTTGGATCTAATAAATATTTATTTGCTTCAAATAACTTGAATTATTTGAATCACATTTGTTTAACTCAAATAAATCTTAATTGGATCAATTAAATAATTAATTGATTCTAATAAAAGAATTTATTTAATGCAAATAATTAGTTATTTGAAACAATTTATTTATTTATTTCACTCAATTAATTGGATATTTGATATAAATAAAAATTATTTGATATTTATATCTAACTATTTCCGTTAGAAAGATAATGCAATTTGACTGTTTTGGCTGTTTAATATTTAGCCCTAGTCTCCCTTATATAAATTTTTTTTTCTTTTTATAATCTTTACAATTTCCCTGACTAATTAAAAAATTCCCTGACTTTTCCCTGACCAGTGGCCACCATGTCTAGCCATAGTTCAGGTCCAGTAATGTAAATTCTATTTAAATTGAGACCATTAACTGAAAGTATTTGAATTTAAAAAAAATTAGAAGTTCGAAGTTCTTAAATCTTTTTTGTAAACTTTAAAGTTTCAAAATAATATAAAATGAAAATTTAATTCTCTATAATTGTTAACTTTTTCCACTTTTAATTATTTCAAACTTTTTGTTAGGTAATAATAATTATTTCTTTAAACATTTTTTAAAATAAAATGGAGTTTAAATTGTTTAAAATAAGCAGTTTGACACAACATTCCCGCGCGCTTGCGCGCGGATAGTTTTGCTAGTTACATTAATAAATGTAGCAGTTAATCATCTCTTGTTTAAAAAAGAAATAAATGTTTGTAAATAGGAAATAGAAATCAACAGAAAATTACGGTGAAAATAGAAAACGAAAAAAATTTTTTTTGCAAAAAATGAACATCATTGAAGATGAAATAAATCTCATAAAGTCGTTTCAATGAATAATAAAATTAATCTTTCATATTCTCATTATATATACCTATAATTTTTATGTTTCACAAATCTACGCACTGAAATTTCATAATATTTAGGAACTTTTCTATTGTTTTTAATTTATCATCATTGTTATTTAATTTTAAAACAATTATTAATATTAATTACAAATTTCATGTTTATTTTTCAATTATTATTAATTGATTTTCATTGTAATTCAATTTAAAACCGATTAAATTCAATTATGGGAAATTGAATACATTGAAAAATTGTGTTTTTCAAATTTGAAAAAATAATAATTAAAAAATATTGTTTTTCATTGAATATTTAAATTCTTCCCTAAATAATTTTCCTAATTAAAAGTAAATATTTTCAATTCTTTAATTAGTTTTATACTATTTCTATTATTTATATCTATAATATAATTATATTATTTTTATTTTCTATTTAACATTTTTTTAAATCAATTTTTTTTTGTTACTTATTTTAGAATGGAATAGAATTAAATTTTTAGGTACTAATTCTAATATAGTACTCTAATTATTTTGATACTAATTTTGAAAACCTTTTCAATTCTTTTTTCATTATACTTCAATTATTTTAATGTTATTATAATAAAATAAAATATCAATTTTACTTCAATTATTTAAATTTGTTTGTATTTTTGATTATTCTCTTTAGTAGAGCGTAACTCCCTTGTATTTTCTGAACGTGATAAAACGAGTGAAATAAGTAAATAAATACTTCAATTATTTTTATTATTATAAAACAATTATAATTAGGTATTTCGATACTTAATTTTTTTTATGTTAATTTTTTTACAGCTTCAATTTAATTACAGACTTTCCTTATTTTAATTATTTTCTTATTTATGTTTTAATTATTTTTATGAATATATTTTTATTTTATTATTTTTATATAATTTTTTCATATTTTGTAATGAACCTAATTTTCATTATTTAGTATTTTGATTATTTAAATAAAAAATGAATAATATTCTTATTAATTTTTTTTTTTATAATAGCAAAGAATAGACATGTAATTTTCTTCTTGTTTTACCTTTCTTCTGTTTCCGAAAATTGACCATTTTTGTTATTTGCAAATAATTGAACAAATCCCATGTTCTAGTTTAAGGTGGTGCTTAGGAAGCGTGGGACGCCCTTGAATGACGTCAAGAGATCAATACCAGTGGAGGCTGGATCCAGCTACGTCATCATCGGCAATCCAAACAGGTCCTTGGAGCAAGATCCTGCGAAAAATTAGACAAATTTTAATACAAAATTACTCTTTAAATTTAAAAATTGAAAATTACTAAGTATTCTAATTATTAAGAGTAGAGATGATTCTATCACTCAGTCGTATTTTCACTATTTATTATTCTAATTATTATTTTAGAATCTACATTTGTAATAATTTACCCTTGGAATAGATTTGAAAATTCTGATAAATGATTGTCTAAAAGCTGGAAAAATATATTCAGCAATTTTTTAATTCCGTAAAATTTATTTCAAGATTGATATTTAATTTTCAGTGAATATTAAAAGTTTATATTTAAAATGAAATATTGGAAATCAATGACTAATTAGGATTTCTTTTCAGTTTTCTACTACTCTCTAAATCTGAATTAGTAGAAAGTTACTAATGAAATGACGAAAAGTCTTCCACCAAATGATTTAGTAATAATTTTACTAACAAATAGTGAAATTTTACTAATTATTAGTAGATTTTACTAATTGCTTAGTAGAATTCTACTAACAATTAGTAGAACTGTTTTATTAGTAGTCGATAAAACAGTTTCACTAATTCATTTAGTAAAAAAGTGATTTTCAATTAGTGAAATTCTACTAAGACATTAGTAAAATATTACTAAAAATTAGTAATATTCTACTAATTGAAAAGGGGAAAAGTCTTCCATGAAAACTACTAAAAATTAGTAAAATTTTACTATTTCTTAGTAGAATTCTACTAATTCAGATTTAGAGAGATAATTTGACATTTACAAAATATTTTGTTTTAGCGAAAAATTCTATTTTATACTAATTGAAAATTTTTTCTCTTATCTACTAAATTTACCATTTTTTATTTTTTTTAGCAAAAAACTTTATTTTCTACTAATTAGGAATTTTTTTCATTTTTCTACTAATTTGATACTCGCAAAATTTTATGTTTTATTACAAAATTTTATTTTCTAGGTACTAATTATGGGAATTTTTTCGTTTCTTCACTAATTTGACATTTATAGAAATTTATAAATGTCAAGTTAGCAGTAAGCATAAAAAAAATTAGTAGAAAAAAGAGAAAAATTCCTAATTAGTAAAAAATAAAATTTGTTGATAAAATATTTTCTAAGTGTCAGATTCTATTTTCCAAAAATTTCCAGTTATAGTAAATAGTCCATTTTTTCATTTCTCTACTAATTTAATATAATAAATAATAAAAAAAAAAAATAATAATAACAAAATTCTCTATATTGACGAAACATTTTTTAGAAATAATCCGAATTTCTAATTCTAGAATTAATTTCTAATACCTATAGATAAAGAAGGTGAATTACCTTATGATTAAAAAGAAAAAAATTCAGGTGTGGTTTTGTCATAAAAAAAAGAGTGCGGTTAAAATATATCATGTTACAGATTGTAATAAGTAAATTAATTCCATGGTTGAGTCACACGTTCGTTATCACCCCTCGATTATAATAAAGTTAACATAGTATTAATAATTATTACTTTTGTATGTTATCAGATTTGCATGCAAATTGTCTGGTTGAAAAAAGTTTTTAAAGTAAATAGCCCCGGAGAGCAAATTGATCGTATCTTTCGTCAAAAAGAGACAGCAAAATCAACGCTTGTCCAACAAGTTTGTCTAACTAGCCGTCAATGTAAACTGCAATTAATAATTATCTAAGAGCAATTTTCTAATTTGCTACTAAGGCTACACACCATTAGAAGCACTCTCTGTAATTGCACATTGTACTTATGTATTAAGACTCATTTTCCTCGAAAGACCTTGCGTCTACATATCGTCCCAGAGAAAGAATCATCTTCTGAAAAATCTTTATAGAGATTATGCAAATTTATTTTTTAATAAAAATAGTCCTCCAGTTGCGTTACAAAACACTACAAATTTAATAGATTCGAAAGAAAAATTATCAAAACAGGAAAAATATTTATAATAAATAAATATAATTCAGTAATTATTTTTTCAAAAATTAATTTTCAGGATGTAAAAATATAATTTATCTCTAAATTTTTAGTTCGCCCTGTTTGGACAGAGAGATAAATAAAAACAAATATTATTACTGTTTGGCTATTAATAGAAAATTTCAATATTTTGCATAATCGAATATGTTTACTTTGTGTAGTTATTATATTCACTGTTTTTCCAATTATCAATATAGTGTCGATAAAATTTTACAATGGCATGATTTTATTTCATCACTTATTTCATCATCTTGTGCTAAAAAAATCTTAATTTCAATTTAGTTTATTTTCATACCTACCAAATTTTTTTTATACTTTAATTATAAGGGTCAAATAGCTCAATTCATTCAATAGGCGTCAATTTGTATATTCCCATAAAGATATTTGACTTCTCATTAAATGCAACGCAACTATCGGACGATTCGATTTTTCTTGTAAATTAAAATAGTTGATAACATTTAAACTATAACGATTAATTTTAATAAATCGAAAGGTTTATAATGTTTAAAAAAAATAACGTAAAGTGTAAATAAAAGTATTAAAAAAGTGACTTTTTTAAGGGGCTAATTTACATTATACTAATTTAGAATAAAAAATTTGTAAAATTTACTCTTTTTTTACATACCTGTTGAAATTTTTACCTTCTATTGAAAATAGACCTTAAAATAATCCTAGATTTTATTTTATGAAAATCGTAAATTTTCTTTATGATTTTGTTTAGTTTCCACGTTTTACATACCAGTATTATTATAACCTCTACAATTATTATACTACATTATTGTCTTATCACAGAAAACTTATTCAAATATAATAATTTCGTATAAATTTAGCTAGACAGAGATAAAAAAAACCACTATTCGACGAAAATGGCATTTTATACACCAAAGAAAATAAAATTTTTGGAAAAAGAAACTGAAGTAAACGGGTAAAAAGCCGGTACAAACAGGAAACGGAAGGAAAATTTTTAAATTGACTGCCTGCGCCATCTGGTAATTAGATTCGTAAGTTTGATGATAAGGCAGCGCACTCGCTTGTGATTGGCTGCTAAAAGCGCGCTATTTTTAAAACAAGTCCAAATTTATATGATAGTGTGAAAGAACCTTTAGGTAAATGTAAAGTCATATACACAATGTTCATAAAGACTCTTGTTTTTTCGATTAGAAGTTAGAACTAGGCAATGAGTGCAAATAGAGCAAACATATATCTCTGTCTCTCTCACACTCATGGCCTAGTTGCAAAACGCAACGCAAAACGCTGTCATAAGGATGGAGTCCCATGGTAGCGTTTTGCGTTGCGTTTTGTAACTAGGCCATGAGTGTGAGAGAGATACAGATATAGGTTTGCTCTATTTGCACTCATTGCCTAGTTACAAAACGCAACGCAAAACGCTACCATGGGACTCCAGCCTAAGGCTGAAGTCCCATGGCAGCGTTTTGCGTTGCGTTTTGTAACTAGGCCATGAGTGCAAAATGCAAATATAGCGAACCTATATCTTCATCTCTCTCACACTCATGGCCTAGTTACAAAACGCAACGCAAAACGGTGCCATGGGACTGCACAGGCAGGCAGAGCTGTGAGTGCTCCATTATGTGTTTACAAAAGTAAATTATTCTTTTTCCCTAATTTAAAAAAACTAATGGCATGAAAAATGTTTTAAAATAATTTAAGAATAGTGACTAAAATTTTCAGCAATTTGAAATATTACGTCTAGGTTCAGCTGAAAAATGTAAGACTATTATCCCTATTATTTAACCTCTGTTCATAATTATACACCTGCGATTTATTTATCAGTAAATCGAGTAAATTATCGTTGTCAAAGTGTAATTCAAAAGTAATTTAAAAATACAAAAATTCCTTTTTATTGTTAATAGATTTTCATAAAAACTACACGTTTTATGCATTACAAAATTAACATTCATAAAACTTAAGAGGTTATGTAGCACTAAATATGAATATTCTTTTTAATATAAAAATTAGAAACGAAATTAATAATTATTCATCATTAATTAATTAAAATGACTATCTCTTTAGTACTTTTTTATGAAAATTTATTTCTTTACTTTTTTTACAATATTCTTTTTTAAATATCTTTTAAATAATTTATTCTGAAAGTTAAAAATCCGTCAGTCTGATAACTTAATTTTTTGATAAAACTAGATAAAAAAATGTCTTTTTTGGACAAAGAGAAACGTCAAATATGTTGGGATAATAGAGATGCATTTTGGAGTTGTCTGGATAAAAATGAAAATGCGGAAAGTCCATGTGCTCAATTTAGAAAACAATATGAACAAACATGCCCAATTCAGTGGGTAAGAAATTTTCTCGTAATATTTAAGTAATAAATAAATAAATAGAAATAGCGAATAAATTTAATGTCTAAGAATAGTTCTTGTTAAACTAAATAATTAGGAATATTTCATTTTATAGTTATAATTTCTTTTGCATTTTAATTTAATTTTACTTTACCTAATTAAATAAATTAAAATTATTAATTTATAATATTAATAATTAATAATTAAATTTAGAAATTTATAATTACTACTTAAATTTTTTAATTGTAATTATTAAGAATTTACATCAAAAATCTCTTTAAATAGATTCGAGTTTTTAAAAATTTTGTGTTATTTTACAGGTGAAACACTTTGATAGAAGAAGGGAGTATAATAAATTTAAGGAACAAATGGAAAAAAAAGGATATGTGCCGAATTTTCCAGAAAAACAGGGCGTTAAATCTTAAACAATTAGTTAATTATACAATAGAAATGACAAAACTGTAAAATATTTTAATTTACCAAAAAAATATAAAAGAAACGTTAAGTTTAATTAAATTGGAATAAATCCACACAACTTTACCAAATTCAAATTCTAAAAAAACTGTAAATTATAGCTAATTTATTTTCAATTTTTTCTCTTATTTTTCAAGTTTAATTTATTACGAAATATTTACGATTACGAGAAATTTAGGAATTTGCCCTCAAAAAATATAAATTTTAAGAAACTTTTTTACACGATATTTAAAAATATATTTTGCTATAAATATATGTTGAGTACTCAACAGTTCTATATATAAATATATATATATATATATATATATTATAATATACATAATTAATAAAATAATAAAAGGTTTTTCAATAGAAAAACCTTAATTTTTGATTTTTATTTGATAACATTGATTAAAATTCTAGTTGTTTACTTAAAAAAATAATAATCACTGGAGTTGTGTGTTTAAAAACAAAAGCAAAAAATAGTCAAAACATAAAAATCAAAGTGTAAAAGAAAGAGCCAAAGCTTGGGCAGCTCGACTTCTCACATGAGAATCATTATCACGCAATAACTGCAACAATCTTTGGACATCCTCTGGTGTTGGACGACCAAAAAATCCTAAAATTAATGCAGATGTTGCTCTCGTCGAGGTGAATTCTGACCGTGAATAACCACGTACAACAGAATTTCTGCAATGCCATGAAAATTACATGCCAGACAATTGTTTTTGTTTTTCAAAGCGATTCATTTTACAATTTCTGATATTATGTTTTTTTTACAAAAATTTTAATTTGTAGAAGAATTTTAAGAATATAAATTGGAAAACAATTTATCAATTATACTTGTTTTCTAATTTTTTATTTATTTTTGGTTCTTTAATTTTTGTTTATTTTCAACTTATTAATTTTTATTTATTTTTAACTTTTCCAGTTTTGTTTATTTTAAGGTATTTAATTTTAGTGTTTTTATTTACTTTTAGCTTCTTAATTTTCATTATTTTACTTTCCATTATGATGTTTAACATTTTTACAGACACTGTTGGAAATGAATCGCTTTAAAATTAATTTTAAAACTAATTACTTAAGGAATTTAATATTTAGACAAATTTTATCACTGACCTGAGTTCTTCGGCTCTCTTTGGTAATTCTTTTCGTAAGCATTGTATGAATTCACGAAGGAATATTTCAACATTTAAACTAACATTTGGTCCAAGATGAATGTCTATTGCTCGTACGAGTGGTTCACATTGCAGAAGTTTTCCGCAATTACACAAAATTTCACGAACAAACTAAAAATAGAAGACATTATTATTATTATTATTATAGTGAATTAATTACAACAATAATTATAAAAATTAAATAATGGTAATAATATTTAAAAGAATCCATATTAATAATCGTTGTATTGCGGTAATCTGTTCGCAGTTTGAATATAGTTTTTTTTGTTTGCTTTTTGTTTCCTAATTCTTTTGATAATTTTTCTTCTTAATTTTTTTAAATAATTCAATTCTTTCAAGAAAAGTCATTAATTATGAAAATAATTGAAATTTTGATAAGAATTTTATTAAAATTGTATTAAGTAAGTGAATTGTTTTAAGGAATTTAATTAAAATTCTATTAAATATATTTCAATTCTTATAAAGAATTTAATCAAAAATTTTAAAAATAATTGAATTATTGAGAAGAATTTTATCAAATTTTTAAAAATAATTATAATTAATTAGTAAATTAGTTAATAATTGAGTTTTAAAATAAAATTTTTTTTTAATTTACATAATAATAATAATAAGAAATGAAACACCGCGTTTCGCGCGTAACACTTGCTAGTTATTAATAATTATTATAAGTTAATTCTAAGAATCTGATTTATTTAATTTTTAGCAATTACTCACCATAATAATTGCGAGATTTGGATCTTCAAGTTTTATCACAAGACATGGAATGCAACTGAGAAGTTGATCGGTTATATCGTCATCAACGGCATCTAATGTCGTTTGCCAATTTCGAACGGCTGCTTCCAATGCACTCACAGCAGCTAATCTCAACTTTGAATTTTCCTTTTCAATAAATGGCTTTAATGTGAGTATTATTCTTGGACTAACGGGTCTTCCAATTTTTATCGACAGCATAACTGAAAGGCCATTCAATGATTCAAGAATAACATCAGACGCGCCCGACGGTTCCTCTAAACCCTCCAATAGAGCCGACATTGTATTATCAAAATATTCCTCAATCTAAAAAAGAAAAAAAGATGAAAATCTCCATTCTCTCAAAATTCCTTAATTTAAATTAACAAAACAATAAAAAAAATGTTAATTTTAGTTAATAATTAATTTGTTTTTTACTCATTTTTTCAAAAATAAATAAATTTTTTTTGTATTAAAAGAAAACTTCACCTGTTTAGGTTTAAGATAAGAAATATGTGTGAGGCCAATTAATGCTAATTTCCGAACCAAAGGAGAAGAATCGGCTCTCGCTTCGTGCAAAGTATTAATTATTCCATCAAGCCAGATTGAATCATGATTCACTTTACCGACAAGTTCAGCATAAAATGCAGTGGCAATTGCTCTTTGCACCGGAATTGTGCTTGTCATCAATTTTTCAACAGAACGCGCCAAATTCATGATAACTTCAGTTTTATCCGACAAGCATCGTATCACCGAATGGACTATCGATACCAAATTATCCTCCGCTTCCGCCGCTGAATCGAATTCCTGCAAGAGAAAACAAATTTTTCATAATTTTCCAATAATAAATAATATCAATTTTTCAATAAAACAATCAAAAAGAAAAAAAAGTAAAAATACTTTACCAATCAAATATTTTATTAACTTAATTAAAATTATAATTAGTAAATTATAATGAACTGAGTTAGATAATTAATAAAGTAGGCAAATAATTAACCACGAGGGTAATTTTTAAAAAGATAATTAAATAGGAGCAAATTGTTTTTTTACATTCTATTAATATTAATTAATAATTAATAATAAATACAATAAGTAATTTGAAAGTTAATAGGTAATAAATTAATAAATATTAGTTGTACATACTGTATTGTTCAATAAACCAGACGCAGTGTGTGAATCAACGGCTGTTAAGACATTAACGAGAACCGCATAGACTTCACGGTGGGGATTTAATTTCGAAGACTCTCGATTGGGAACGAATCCAAATTTTGTATTTGTAATTGAGACAGGCGCGTCTACGTGTATCCAGCCTGATAAGTACTTTAATAATACGCCAAGGACTTTAGCCAATTGACTTTCAATTAAAATCTCCGAGTTTGGAGACTGAAGAAGATAACCAAGTGCGACAATTGCAGCCAAAGAAGAAAATGCCGCTGTCCCATCTTTGCCTGAATTCGATGTACTATCCGACAATACACTATTATTCTCAAGGCGTTCCAACAGAATTCCAAGCGTCTAAAAAATATTAAAATATTTTTAAATTTTATTTTTCTATTAAAATCCAACAGAATTCCAAGCGCCTAAAAAATATTTAAAACAATATAATTCATTTTTTTCATTAGTAAACAAATTTTTTACGAAAAAAAGTAAATTAAATTATTATAAAAAAAGGAATTAAGTTGCTAAAATTAAAATAAATTGGAATAAAAACGTAGGTAAAGTTCACAACGTTTATGATTCAACGAGTAAAAGAATAAAGTATTTTCTAAATTTACAAATTTTTAGTTTTTGAATCGTTGATGTTACGAAAAGTTTTTAGCCAAAATTGTAGAATTATCACAAAACTTCAAATTTTAAAATCCGGTTTAGCAACAATTAGGAATTGTTTTTTTTTCTGTTACTGACTTGCAAACCGAATTCTTCATGTGTTCCAAGTTCTTTCCAACATTCCTGCGTTCCACGATCTAATGGCAATGGTTGATGAAGCAAATGCTCGAGGACAACTTGCGAATGATGTTTCATGAGATATTTAATTGTCATTGCTGCATTACGTAAGCAACTCACGTTTTCCATCAGTCTCATTTGATTTATTATATTATCTGTAACGTAAAATTATTATTGCTCATTAATCTGACTATACGGTAATACAAAAAAAAGAAGAAAGGAAAAAAATCAATAAAATAATAACTGACCAATTAAGGAAACACTCGATCGAGGAATTTCCGCGCCACGTATTTTAAAAAGTTCCGCTAATGCAATTCCAGCCGCTAAACCACCTTCGCCACGAAAAAGTAAACCCTCTATTAGACCTTCAGCGAGACTGACAATTTCACCACTCGCTATCCTCTCACAGGCCACCACGGACAAATTCTAAATTCACGATCAATTAAAATATTAATTCTCATTTATTTTAAATTCATTTTTAATTCATAATTTTATTTATTTCTAATTGCAAATTAGCTCATTTTGAACAAATATCAGTCGAAAAATTTGTATTCTCTAAATTATTTCAATGTTAAACTTTTTTATGTGCAATTCAACTTAAAAATTTAAATTAACTTTAATTTAAAAAATTTTTGAAAAAAATTGTAAAAATGAATTTTACAGATATTAAACATTATTTCTACAAATTATGAGATTTTACTAAAAATAGACCGCAACGACTTTAGGTGAAATATAATGGAACGACCAATTTATTTTAAATTAAAATATTTTAGTATTTGAAAATAAAATAAAAATAAAATGGCATTTGAAAACAGAAAAATAAAGTGATATTAAAAAAAAATAAATAAAATGGTACTTGAGAAAAAGAAAATTAAAGTAATATACCTTGACACCTTCGTAAAGTAATTTAGGATCTTCGTTGACAATTATTTTCTTTGTCTCATTGAGATCTTGATTTAAATTATTGTCGGGCAATATAGAACGATGACGAGCGCCAATACTTAGAGTTAAAATAACGCAGTCAATCACCAATGTTCTTAATGCTGGTTCAGGATCTGCGCTCCATGATAAAATACGTCCAAGCAGTTTCCCTGGTTCCAATTTCCCCCCTGGGAATGTATATTTCAACGAGTCATGGTATGATCTACCGGAAAAAATAATGGATTACAAAAATTTGCCTAATAATATAGTAAAGAATTTAAAATTCGCCAGAGAAAATATTAAACACTATTATTTTTTTATTTTCATAATTATACTGTCCTCACGTGAAATTAGGGCTTTTTGTCTTTTTGATTTTAAATTCTTTTACTGCTCTAATTTTCATGTCAAAAGTTTGACATTTAATTTGTAAACAGAGTGATTAGTGTTTTAATGAAATAATTCCCCTAGAATTTTTACAATAACAGGATTTTCACAGGACAGGGAATAAGTAAAGGAAGGAAATTTAATCCAACAAAATATCAAATTATTGAAAATCTTAGATAGTCTATGAACTTACTTCCTCTTTAAAAAAAAATCTGTATGTACAGTTACAGTTGAAAATTGAAATAATCAATTATTTATTTTTGTATTAAAATAATTAAATTCTCATACAACTTTTTAACAAGAATTGATTTGAAAAAGAATTTTAGTTCAAATTTTAGAAAATATTTCAAGAATTGTAACAAATGCAGTTTTAACTTTTAGAAATAATAAATTTCAAAAGGTTCTATATTGAAATTATTTGAAATTTCAATTAAAATAAAAAACAATAGATTTTGAAATATTTGTTTAACAAAAATTATAGAAAACTAAAATTACAGATAACTAAAATTACAAATCCAAACAAAATAACATCGTAATAAAAATTATAGAAGTTTTAAATAATTTAATGTAAAAATTCTAAAAAAAATTGGGTTTATGGAAAATGCCAAAATGGTAATTAACAGTTTTTTGAAGATAATTAAAATCCCGAAAAGAATTTAAAAAATTGAAACAATTAAAAGTTTTGTCAAATTTCATTGAAATAAATTTTATACTTGAAAGAATTTAATTTTAGTACTTTTAAAAATTGTTTTAAAATCTAATAGTATTTTTGAAGAATTATATTTTGAAAAAATATATTTTTTAAAAAGTAAGAAATTTTCATTAAATTTCAAAAAGAAAGTTCTTGCAACTAACAACGGGCATCAAAATTTCACGTGCGCGTAGTTATGCTAGTATGTTAATAAATTAAAAATTAAAATTCTTCCGAAAAATGAAAAATTATACCAAGAATTCAAAATAAAAACATTAAAATCGAGACAAATTTGAAGAAAATATATAAGAAATCTCTAACAAATTTAAATAAAAAAAAATGTTTAAATTTTTTCAAGAAGTCAAAAGCAGAAGATTAAAAATTTAGAAAAATATCCAAGAGACCAATTAAAAGTTCATTAAATTCTCTTTCAAAATAGCCTATGACATATTATTAATAATTCCTTTTTTATAGAAGAAAATTCACTTAAAAAGTACTCTTCTCGCGATCGCCTTTTGTAGATTGAACGGTTTCAAATAGAAAGCCCCATTTAATTATTTAATGAATAAATTAAGAAGAATAAGAACCTTAAAGTATATCTGAGAACAATTAGGGTCATTTTACGCTCGGCTGTTGATTTTGATTGCATCCATGGTGTGAGAATTTCAACAACTTCTGCCAACATATCAGCCGAGTCTGTTATAATTTCCCCACAAACTGTTCCTAATTCCGTTATAATACTTTGTGTAACTTTGGGCGATAACATCGTAGCAATCTGAAGAATCACAAAAAAATATTATGTAATTAAAAGCAACTCCTTGCTCTTGTTTTGAATTTAAAATTTAAATTCAATGAAAAATTAAAGAAAATTTTTGTGAAATTCTGTCGAAAAATTGTTTACGAGAAGATTTGAAAAATGAAATGTTAATTAATATTACATAATAAATTGAATATTAAGCATTTAAAGAAAAGAAAAAAAATACAATTGAAGGTATAAGAAGAAAATTTATTCTATTTAATTCATCAGAAATATGTACGAATAAAAAAAGTTTTCGTTACCTCAGAACTGGTAGCAATCATTTTATCCAACATTGTACTGATTAGAATTTCCTTCTCTTCTTGAGTCAATTTTGGTGGTATTTTTCTGATTTATTATTCAGGAAAGTACTTCTTATAAAATCACTTTAACAATTTTTAAAAAATTTTAAATATGAATTTAATTTTTAAAATTAAATTTAACATTTGATAATATTTAATAAATAAATAAATATTTTGATTTAATTTAAATATATTTGATTATATATTATTATATATGAAAAATATATGATTAGAATAAATTTTATATAATGCCTGCAAAAGCTTTTCTTAAAATTTCGAAGTACTAAGAAATGTAAGAAAAAGAAAAAAAGTAAAGAATCTTTTTTATTCCACAGACTAGAAGATATTAATAAAATATAAATTCAAAAAGGATACAATAAGGAGATCATTGCTTGTAGAATGAGTGAATAAAGTTGCAATGGTCGATAACCAGAAGGTGACTGAAGAAGCGCCAATAAACTAGCAAGAGCTGTGGCTTTTGTTTTCAATCCCGAAGAATCAGGTTGCGACACTGTAAAAACTACTTTTCCTACCTAAAAAATTGTTTTCATCTCATTTTATTATTTGCAACCATAAATGTTCGTTTTTCTATACACTTTTTCAATTTTTATATGAAAAGTTAATAAATTTGTGTAAATTAATTCAAATTATTATAATTTCCATGAATTAAACTTTACCCAGATTTTAATTATTTTAAATATTTCGATTATTATCATACAATTTTGAATTGATTTTTACATATTATAAACGTAAAATTAGTTTTTATGATTTTAAACTAAAAACTAATAGTTTATACAAATTTAAAATAATTTATACAAATTCCAAATTAATGATTTATTTTGATGATTATTTTGAAAAATAATTATTCGTTTAGAATAAAAGAGGAAATATTATAAAATAGGTTTTAAACTTAATAGAACTAATTGTAGTTCAGAATAAAAAAAAAAGTTTCTCTAATTGAATAAAAAAAATTTTCTAATTTTTAGAAAAAATTAGAAAATTATAGAAGAATAAACAATTACAAAAAAAGAATAAATAAATTAAGATATTAGTCAAAATCATCTAAATCATCTAAATGCAAAAAAAATTTAAAAACTCACTTGCTCGAGAGCAATTAATCCCGCCTCTTTTGCCGTTATTTCTTTACAATCATGTAATTGACGAATAATCCAAGGCAAAATGTGTCTCTCAATTTCAGGGAATAAAACTTGTGGATTTCCTTTACGCATTATTTCTGCGTAACACTTTAATAATCCAGCCTTTGCATGTTCAGCTGTTATTGTTGCCTTCACATCCTTAACAAGACCCAATAGCTTAACTGGTTGTTTACGTGAATCCTCAGTATTACACGAATCCTCCATTAATTTTAAAACAATTTCCAAATGACGTTTTGCACTGATACCAATAGCTCGCGAATATTCACCCGAATTATTCGTGGTATGTAAACGTGAAAATGCAATTAGAGTATTAAAATGAATCACATCATCCGTTACTGCACCCAATAGTGGTCCAATATGAGGTGCAGTTATTTTTCTCGCCAATTCAACGGCCAAATTATCACTCCAATTTTCACCTTCAGCTTGAACACTCTCCTCTAAAAATTCCACGAGTCTTTCCTCCCATTTCAATGATCTGAGAAGGAAAAATTAAAATAATCAGTAATTAAAGGTAAATTGAAATTTTATTATTTTGAATTTTATAGAAAGTATAATTTTTCACCTTTCAATTGATACAGGTGATGTTACTTCCTCTTCGAGTATTTCCATAAGTTCCTGTAATTTTACGTCCCATTTTGATTTAAGCATGTGACCAATCAATGGAGATGCACAGCGTAGAAAATTGAGAACAGCGACTCGATTTTTTTTATCTTCCAAAAGTTCGAGACAACGGCAAAGTACTTTTATACTTGGAAAGTCCTTTTGCACGATATTAATATTTTCATCGCGTATTACTTTTCCAGCGAGGGGTGAGAGAGCTCTTAATACAGAATTTGCCTGCAATTTTTTTTTAATTTTAGTGTATGAGTGGAAAAATAAAATATTTTTAAAATATTAAAATATTAACTTATTAAAATATAAAAGATTTAAATTAAAAAATTAACGTGACATTACAGTAATATTTAAATTTTTATTACAAATTAACTTAAATTAAATTTATTAAATATTTAAGTGAAAAAATTATGTGAATTTAAAAATTAAATAAAATAATAAAACTTTTTTTCTTATTTTCTTATTTTAATTAAGACATTGAGATTATTTTGAATTAATAAAATCTCTATTAGTAATCGTTGTATTCCAATAATATGTTCGCAGTTGAATTTTAAAATTAATGAAATTTTAATTAATTTATTTATTTACAAAATCAGTTCCCGTTCAATTTAATGCTTTGAAGATTAAAAAATACCAAAAATTAATTAAAACAAATTATTTTTAGTCATATTTCTATTATAAATTATTCTATTTATAATTTTTAATCTGAAATAATTGAATTCTTATAAAGAAATTTATCCAAATTTTTTAAAACAATTAAATTTCTTACGAAAAAATTAATTAACATCCGTAACATCCTTATAAAGAGTTTTATCATAATTTAATTACTGCTAGGAATTTTATTATTTAGGAAAATAATGAAATTTTTTCAAAATATTTAATTACATTTTTTTCTTATAAAGAATTTAATTCAAATTTTTTTAAATAATTAAATTCCTGCAAAGAATTTGATTAACTATGAAAATAATTCAATTCTCATAACCGACAGATTAGCTCAGTCGGATAGATGCCTCGCTTGGCGGTCGTTTAAGGACCAAGGGTAAGTACCCTTGGTTCGCGCCCATTTGGCTTGGTATTTTTCTGGCACGTGAGACAATCTGAGCGGGAGGTTTGACGTCGAGGTATAAAGCGCAAAACTTAGTATTAGAAAATGTATAATAAGAAATATTTGTAAGAGAAACACTTGTATAGCCAAGTATGTAAGGCTGAAGACAGGTGTATAAACCAATAAATAACAATTCAATTCTCATAAATAATTACATCAAAACTTTTCAAAGTAATTGAGTTTCTGCGAAGAATTTTATTAAAATTCTTTAAAATAATTAAATTCCTTCAAAATATTTTATAAATTATGAAAATAATTAAAATCTGGCTAAGAATTTTATTAAAATTTTCGAAAATAATTGAATTTTTTCGATGAATTTAATTAAAATTGTATTGAAAATATTTCAGTTCTTATAAAGAGTTCAATAGAAATGTTTTCAAAATAATTGAATTTCTGCGAAGAGTTTTGTTTTTAGAAAAAGAATTACATTTTTTCTATGTATTAATTTAATTACATTTATTTTATTATTAAGAATTTTACTGAAATTTTTCAAAATAATAACATTTTTTCGAAGAATTTCAATAAAATGCTTTGAAATAATTAAATTCCTGCGAAAAATTTGATAAATTGATTTCCTACGAAAAACTTTATTTAAGTTTTTGAAATCAAAATAAATAATTTTAATTATTTATAATATTTATTCTTTCACAGTTATAGTAGTAAAATTGAAATTAATATTTGAAAAAAAAAATTTTTTAATTTAATATACTGATAAACGAAACACCGCATTTCGCGCGTAACATTTGCTAGTTAATAAAATAAAAAAATTAAAAGTTTGAAAGAAAATGAGAAAAATATAAATAATAATTACGGATAAACTGCACAGAGGATCTAATAAAGCTGTGATTAGTGACGGCCACAGCCAGTTTTCAACTCCTTCAACAGTGCTCGACAAAAGATGGAGAGCTTCGTCGTAGGCAAGCGACTCCTCGTTTTTCGCTGCACAATTTGTTACCTGCAATTTTTTACTTTTCTTTAATTTCAAGCTTGAATAAAAATTTTAATTTCTCAAATGAAAGGAAACATTTTTCTATAAATTGAGTGAAAAATTTTGAATTATTGTTGTTTCTGAAGAACAATAATTTACAATTTTGTTTTTTTAAATAATCTGTGAATATTTACCATAAAGCGAATGTATGTAGCTCTTTGTGATGGCAGAAGCGAGAGATTTGGGCGAGCCATCAAAGCGACAATTGCACCAACCATTTGATGAGCGCTGCTTTCTCCAAGAGAGTCTTGCAAGCTCAAAGCTATTCTCTGCATTGACGTATCATTTTCTTCAGGAAGTGCGTTTATCAAATGCTTCAGGACCATCAGAGCTCGAGAGCGAATCGTTAAAGAATGCGACTTTAGACTCGATAAAATTCTAAAAATCAAATTTTATTAAAAAAGAATATACTCAACATTATTTTATTTTCTACAATTTTTAAAATAAAATTTAAAATATATTAAAATATTTTATTATACCTATCGAGTCCTTCTTCGGGATAAAGAACGACAATTGCGTGAAAGCATTTCAAAACTTCATAGTGCGTTAAAAGTGTATCACGATTCACTGTAAATGGAGTGATGCAAACATATTCAAATAATACTTGATGAATATTTTCCAAGTACTGTCGCAAATTTTCCTTGTCTGCTTCTATAGCAGAACTCAATATCACAGCAAGCACCCTATTAAATAAATTATAATAAATCATGAACAAATCAGTTACGAAAATAAAATTTTAAACATTTATTTTATATTTAATTTTAATAGGGATTTTATTCGTTAAAAAAAGTATTATTTTTAAAAAATTTAATTAATTTTGCTACTTTCGAAGTAAATTTTACTAATTTTTACAAAACATTACTTCGAACGTAGCGAATTTTACTTGGAAAATAATAAAAGTTGCTAAGTAGAAATTTGAGAAATTCATAAGATTTCAGGTTTTACTATGAAAATAGTAAAAGTTACTTTATCCGTTTTTTCCCGTGTAAGAATAGTTAAAAATGAAAAAAATCCTTTTAAGGAAAAATTAAGAAAAGAAATTGAAATAATTTTTTTGATCAACATTTTTTTCTATAAACATCTACCCGTATGTAATAAATAAATATGTATATAATAATATTTTTAGTAATATTAATAATAATAATAATGTTTGAATAATAATACCTCGTAACTGACAGACGAATATTGGCGAATTTTTTACAAAGATTTAAAAGAATTGGAATTAACTTGACAGTATCGTTGTGATTGGAATTTTTTGGTAGAATAGGCAGAAGTGAACTTATAGTAATTAATACTCCTTCAATTATCTGTGAATCACGACTGCCCCGCAACCAACTGTCAATTAACGTTGTAAAAAGCATATTTCTCATCATTGTTATTTCAACATCAAGGTTTTGTGAAGATTCCCTTAAATCATCAACTTCATTGTCAGAATTTCTTGGCTCCTCATTATTTATGAAATAATCGTTTATTGCTTCGGCAAATTTTCCAAGAGCTATGAAAGAGGAAAAAATTAAAAAATTATTATCACTGAAAATACTAAATAAATAATGAAAGAAGAGACTTTCTTTCTGACTCATTTATAACCGTGTAAATAAATAATAAAAATAATAATTGCTATGTAAATAAAATATTTTGTAAACACCATCCTAAAGTTCTAAATGTTCAAATGAACTTTTATTTATTTCTTCTTCAAATTAAATTTTTGTTCCAATAATTTTTTGTCACTATTAAAAAAAAATTTTTTAAGTTTTTTTAAATTGTCGAATTTAAATTATTAATTTTTATTTTACTTATTTTATGAAAATATTGTTAATAAGAAAACGTTAATTTAAACGTTCAAAACATATGGATCATTTATAAATATTAACATAAAATTATACAAATAAATAAATATAAAATAATTACATAAAAAAATAAATTACTAAAAAAAATTTGCTGTTTGATTTTGAAACGAAACGGCAATTTAATCTTCGCGCTCCGGAGCGGTCACCCGGGGTGACCAAACAATGACAAAAGTTGAAAATCTGCTCGACTTTTGCATCAATCGAATCACGATTTTAAGTCACTGAACAAAATTTTATCTATACTTTCGAAAAATAAAAAAATTTCTAAATCATTTCTTCTTGTTTATTTATAACAATTAAAAAAGTATGTACGACACTACTGAATATTGCCCGGGTGTTTAATTTTGTATATTTCAAAAAAAATAAAAATAAAATCATCAAAGTTTTACAGTAAAATTGTTTTATGTCAATAAATACAATATATTTTGATGTTACAATGAATTTGTTATTTGTTTAAACAAATTATTGTTGTTATTTACCAACTTTTTACTGAATGCACCTAGAAAGTTGTAGTCTTTTTCCTAATTTTGTAATTTACTAAATTCTATATGATTACAGATAAAGAAAAAAAATTGAATTATTATTTAAACAATTTTTACATAAATTATTGTTGTTATTTACCAACTTTTTACGGAATGCACCTAGAAAATTGCAGTTTTCTTCTTAATTTTGCAATTTACTAAACCTTATATTATTACAGATACTACAATTTATAGACAAATTATTAATTTGTTTAAAAATTGTTTAAATAATAATTCAATTTTTATTCTTTATCTGTAATCATATAGAGTTTAGTAAATTGCAAAATTAGGAAGAAAACTGCAATTTTTTAGGTACATTCCGTAAAAAGTTGGTAAATAACAAGATAAGAATAATTTGTTTAAAAATTGTTTAAATAATAATTAAATTTTTATCTGCAATACGCATGAAAACATTATTGAAATACAGTATTTGTATTAACACATAATTATATGAAAAAACTTTGATGAATTTAAATCGTTTTTGGAAAATAAAAATAAAAAAGCGTTTGGTCACCCCGGGTGACCGCATCGGAGCCCGCGTTATAAAAAATCGTTGGTAGCGCGAAGGTTAACTTTAAAATACTTACTAAAGCTTATTGCAATTTTTAAATGTTGGTCGTGTATTCGATGCATTACAGGCATCAATAAATTTAAAAAAATACGAATATATGGTATTGTGTCATTAGCATTAGTGACAGTAATTAAACCTGCTACTTTAACAATAGCATGATTTGGTATCTCTGATAAACTAAATCTAGAAAGAAAAAAGAATTATTTTTTCATTTTTGCAAATTTTTTAAAAATTATTTTTTTCTCTCCTTTTTACCTGGCTATTACATCACTCATTGCTTGTTTACAATATGCTCTACTCAATGCAACCAGTAATTGTGAGGCTTGTTCTTCCATATCTCCATGCAATTCATCAAGGGCTAATTTAGCAACTTTTGATGCTGATTCATCGTCTAAAAATTCTGTATCTTTCAAACTTTCAGTCATTATTTTTAATAAGGAAATCGTTTGATCTGAAGACATCTGAAATATTTCAGATAAAAATAATTTTATTCCAAATTTTTAATATAAAAAATACATCAATTTCAAATTTTCTTAATTGTAATTTTTAATATTAGAAAAATTAAAAGAATTATTTTCCAAAAATAATTTTGTAGTCTTTTTTTTAATAATTTTTGTTTCTAATTTATTAAAATAATCGAATAGTTTTTTTTATACCTTTCTATGAAGTTCCCAAAAATAAACAGCTGCCTGAATAACAACCGCAGGATATTCATCAGATAATTGTCGAATTGATTCTGTGACAGATTGTTCGACACTTTCATTTTTGTCATTTAATAAAACCTCTAATAAAGCGCCAACCACAGCTGAAAAAAATTTTTAAATTCATTTTTTAAATCTTTATTAATTCTACTTTAGAAATAATCAATTTAAATATGACAATTTTTTAAAATTCAGTATTAAATTGTTTTGATATTCGAAATTAAACGAGATCCTGACCTCATTATATTTATACATTTATTAGTATCAAAATACTGATAATTAATTAACACAGTCAATTAACACTCTTGTAGCAGAAAAAAAAAAATAGATGTCAGTTAAAATGAACCATTTCTAGTACTTCATGAAATAAAGAATAATTTTACAATTTCTATTTATAATGTTAAAATTGTTGATATTTAATAATAATTTAAAAAATTGCATTTTATTATGAAAGAAAAAATTAAATCATTTGGTAAAAAATAATAACAAATAGTGATTAACGATAAATACCTGGAAGTTCTGTCATGCCAATTGCTTCGTTAACCTCTTTCATGTTTAATTATATAAAAAACAGATGTTTCTTTAATAAAGATAAAATAATGACTGTCAAAAGACGTTCTTGTTTGTTAATTAATTGTTTATCTGCGACAACAATGACAGTTGCCATAACCTAACTTTCGATTGTCAATATGTATATTATCAGGGTTGGGAAATAAAATTTCATTTATCACTTTTCGCGCGAAATTTAAAGTATAATTTTTAAAAAGTTAATTATTAAACACGAGAGTATTATTATTAATAACAAAAATCACCCCCTCTATGCACTGAAAATAGATAAATATTTTACAAAACAACGAGAAAGGAAAACATTTCAAACATTTTTAAATAATGCGCTATCAACTGCGCATGGGTATATATCTTTCAACCAATCACAAATTCGTTCATCCCTCTGATTTTTTCAAAATTTCAAAAATTTCAAAAAATAATTCAAATAATATTTTTTCACACAATTCACAAAAACTTTTTTGTAGAATTCTAAGAAATAATTATTAAAAAGTATATTTTCTATATATAGTCAAATAGAAAACAATTTCGTATTTTTAAACTATTTATAAATAAAATTTCCTAAATCTATTTATAAACAATCAAGGAAGAATTCAAGGAATAATTAATTTTGTAATGAACCCGAAAACAAGGTCGAAATAGGAAATAAAAAAACGTTTCTTGGATTTTTTCGTGGTAACCTTTCCTTTTACGAAAATTGGCGGAAATTTCCGAACACCTGTCATCCAAGCTCAGTAGCGGAGAATAAATCATTGGCGCCTAATGTTTTATTTCAATGTTTGTATCATTTGTATAAAGAATATTATTAATAAAACGAACAAAATAAATAAAGTAAATAATAGATAAAAATTCAAAACAAAAGAAACTATTTCAAATATAAAAAAATTGAAGTGTTTATTATTGAAAAAAATAGAAATCTGAAAAAAAAGTCGAAGGGAGAAAGTTTGGATTACGATCCTGAATGCGACACCACACACTTGACAAGTAACAAGGTTGCAAACTACTTTGCACAATTTGTATATACATTTACAACATTTACAATTTACATTAGTCATACATCACTTGGAGAACGAGAAGGTTGTGAAACATAAAGTGGTGGCTTTCCGGCACCGATAATTCAATAGACTGGCAGCACATTATATCGTGGAAGGTGGAATCGTTGATATCACAACGAACGGGTAGTGTGTGGCGCATCAAGCTGGAATTCTCGTAGTAAAAAGTATAAATTAGGTGTGTGTGCGAGGTTTGATCGCGATGGTCGCGATCATATTTCGACGAACTATTTCGATGATGGCCGTGTCGCATTTAGTTTTTTTCCTCTTATTTGTGATTGCAACAACGGTAAGTGATATTTTCATTACAATACAAACTCGTGCAGAGAATTGCAAAATTCTTCTTGTGTTTTAACTTTAAAATGCCCCACCCCTGAAAATGTTCGTTTTGTTGATTTCTGAGAAGTATAGAAAAAAAATTTGGAATGACGTCAGATGCTTGTAACGTCTGAGGACTTATCTAAATTGACAGTCGGCTTATTAAATTTAATTATATGCCCTTGTGAAGGCTTCCTTAGATACAATTAAGAAATATAATTATTTGTCATTAAGTTTGCAACTAAGATATTTTAGATTTGTATAATTTTTTCTCTCGTTTAGAGAAAATTCTTAATTCTTAATATATAAAAACAACGAGAATAGTATTTTTATTCGTGTTTTCTTTTATTGATTTTGTGAAAAGAAACTTTATTGTCATCCTAAAGTGAGACGTTTTATAATACAAGATAAATATTATCTTGTTTGTTTATTAGTCACATATTTAGATCTCATTAGTCATTTTTCTTTTAAATTCCAGGGCGCAGGTGTCTGATCGATTCAAACATTCTTATCATATGAAAAGATTTAATAGAATTTCTAACTTTTTTTATATGCCTTTCACACCCTTCCTGAATAATCTAACTCGATAAGTTGGCAATGTTAAATATTCATTGTCTCAAACGTCAATTTTAATTCGTTTTAAATAGCTAAACAATTCTTATAAAAACAAAGAAGTAAGATTTGAAATAATTTTTTTTCCAAATGTTTACAATAAAATTTTATATTTAAAAAAACAACTACAATATTTATTACTATCCATTATAACTTTTAAAATAAATTTCTTTTTCTGACTGTTTATTTATTAAAAAAATTGCTTTTATTTTTGTAAGTAAAATATCCATTTATCTGTAGTGACATATCAGAAAATGGTATTTTAAGTATTTTACTTAGTTATTATTTTGAAAGAAAAAGAAAAAAAAGTTTACAGACTGAATATTTTAAAATGAAAATTATATTAAATTGCGAATATGAAGTTTTTATTTCTATTATTTACATTGATTGAACTCTATAACCTTGTGGATGATTTCTGAATATAAATGAAACGTTAAATTGATATTCAATCAAAGATAACAAGTACTGATTAAACAATATATAATTATAATAATTATTTTTAATTCTGTTCAAATTGTCTTGGAAGGAAATAAAAGAGAGAAAAGAAATTATTTCTATATTAATAAAAATTACAAATCCCAGGGTGTCAATTTCAAAAGTGTTTTTGCAACACGTTGCATTCCTCCAGTTTATAAAAATAGCTTCATCGAAAAAGAAATGAGAGATTGACCTTAAGAAATTTTAGTGGAAAATTTTTCCTAAAATTCATTTTCTGCATTCAGAAATTTTTAATTTAAATCCTTTAAATTTTTTATTTGGTAGGTTTTTTAAATTCTGACTTGAAATAATTTTTTCAACTTTAGAAATCAATTGTTTATTTCTTTCTTATTTACATTTACTTATATTATTATATTGATTATTGTATTGATATTCTAATATTTAAATTATATATTATTTATATTTGTTTTTGATGATATATTATTTTTTTTGTAGGAAATTTTTAGAAAATTATTATGTGGAAAAATTGAAATTCTTTTTTTTTATTGTAAAATAAAAATTGTTTCTTATAGTAGAATTAAAATTGTGTTTATGCTAAATTGGAAATATATTTTTCCTATAGGTAGGAAACTAGATTATTCTGTCATTGTTATTAATAAAATTATTCTTTTGTTATTTTAGGTGAAGGCGCAGAATGAAGGCCACTGTATTTGGTATGGCGAATGTAATCTCGATGATTTTCATCGTAAACAAAATTGCCCAAATACAGGTCCAGCACAACCGCTGGATCAAGAGGGACAAAATCTTTTGAGGAAACATTGTCCGCACATGATGCAAAATGAAGTAAAAACATGTTGCGATACAAATCAATTAAAAACATTGGATAATAATATTAATTTAGCGGCAAATTTTCTCCAACGATGTCCCAGTTGTCTTGATAATTTAGTGAAACATTTTTGTGAATTCACATGCAGTCCACAGCAATCAACGTTTATCAACGTTACCGAAATATTGAAAAACAAAAACAGTGAGTTAAAAAAAAGTGATAAAAATAAAAATAAAATATAAAGATAAAATCCAAGTAACTACGAGAAAGTAGTAATAATAATATGTGTTTTCAATTGTGAATAATTGTTTGAAAAATGAATATATTGAAAATCGATGTGAAAGTAGAGCGAGACTAACGAAATTCGATTCTTATTTATTCTTTTTTCAGATACTTCCTACATAAATGGAATAGAAGTTTATATAACAAACAAATACATTAATGGCACGTTCAACTCATGTAATAAAGTCTCGGTGCCAAGCACCGGACAATTAGCATTGGACATGATGTGTGGAGATTGGGGTGCAAGTAGATGCAGCGCAAAGAGATGGTTTGATTTTTTGGGTGATGCGTCAAATATTTATGTGCCTTTTCAAATCACCTACAAGACAGTCGATCACAATGAGGATGGTTTTGAACCAATGGATCCCAAAGTTACGCCGTGCAGTCAACCTCTGGATGTGAGGAAATAATTTCTTTAAAAAAACTAACATTCTTTTTAATATCGATTCAACTTTTTAGAATTAAATTTTATTCAATAATAGTCAAATTTTCACTCAATATTAAATATAATCTTAATCTAGACTAAATAAATTTTTTATTTTATTCGAAAATGAATTAAAATATATTTTTAATTTGAATCGAAAATTAATTAACATAGGGTAAATGCACTAGTAGTCGGACACTTAAGGATACGATTTTATATTATGCTTTTTTTCTTGAAAGAACAAATATCTACTGTGTTTATAAGCACATTATCAATTAAAGGAGTTCTTCAGGATTAAAAATCATGTAAATTTGTTACAAATACTTGAGTATTTAATAAAATATAAACATTTTAATGAAAAATTCCGAATGCTTTAGTAGTCGGACACTTTTTTCCCTTTTTTCTATAGTCGGACATCTGTCAGATATTTTGGATTTATAAAGTAAAACAGATAATTTTTTAATTGCTATCTGCTGGAAAATGGAATTAAAGCAAATTAAAAGTTATTTATATAATGTTTAAATCCTATAAGTTTTAATATTTATGATTAATTATCAACAAAACTTTGTGCTACTCATTGCGCTACTCGAAAATGGTTGTATCTATAGTCGGACACCATGATTTTTAAAATATTAAATAAAATATTTTTTGTTTAATTATTTTTTTAAATAACACTAATTTCATAAAATATAAACTTTACACATTCGTCCAGTATATTTTTTAAAGTAATTATCACAATGCATTATTATTTATTTGCCAAAAAACACGAAAGTGTCCGACTACTAGTACTGTCCGACTATACCTGCACTTACCCTATACTTTAAATTTCAACCGAAAATGAATAAAAATATATTTTAAATTCAAATCGAATATGAATTAAAATATATTTTTATGATTTTTAATTTCAGCAATACATTTTATTTTTAAACAATAAAAGTGTGTATATATAGTATGTATATATACATTTTTTATTTTTTTTTTATTTTTATTTTTATTTTTATTTTTATTTTTTTTTATTTTTTTTTTTTTTTTTTTTTTTTTTTTTTAGCAATACATTTTTTAAATATATTTTTAATTTCACTCGAAAATATATGGAAAAAATATATTTTGAATTTTACTCTAAAATATATTAAATAAATATATTTCAATTTACTTTTAATTTAAGTAGATTTTTACTTTTAATAGTAAATATATTTTAATTTACTTTTAATTTAAAATATATTTTAATTTCATTTTAATCGCAAATATTTCAATTTAATTTTAATTGAAATATATTTACAATTGCAATCACAAATATAATTTAATTTTAATTCTAATAAATATTTTAAATGCATTCTAAAATACTTGTTTTACTCTCGATTATTTGCTTTCGTAGCTGGAAACAAATTTTATTTGAAAGTATATTTTAATTTCCTTTTAATCGAAAATATATTTTAAATTCATTTTAATCGAAAATACGTTTTAATTTCATTTTAATTGAAATGTATTTCTAATTGCAGTTGTAAATATAATTTAATTTACTTTTAATTGTAATAAATATTTAAAATTTTTCAATTCAATTGAAAATATTTTTTCTACTTTTCGATTATTTGCTTTGGTATGGAAAAGCAAATTTTATTTGATAACATATTTTAATTTAATTGAAATTGAAATATTTTTATAATTTTAATCGCAAATATAATTAAATTGGGTTTTAATTGCAATAAATTTTTTAAATTCATTTAAAAATAGTTTGGAGACGTAAATTTGTTTTCAGTCAAAATCGCCAGCGTGCAGTTGCGTGGACTGCGAGGCAAGTTGCCCAGTGCCACCTCCGCCCCCACCAAGAGCAAAGCCATTCACTTTAGCCGGTTTCGATGGCTATGGAGTAATTATGATAATTATTTTCATCTCTGGATCAACTCTTTTTCTACTCTCGATCATCTGCTTTAGTAACAGGAAGCAAATTGGTAAGTCATTGCTTATATAATATGAAACTTGATTGAATACCTCGCGGTTCAAGAGATCATCACTAATCGTTCATTATAAACCAAGATTTCCAAGTTCACGTTTAAAAGATAATGGAAAGAGAAAAAAATACTCGCAGAAATGATACATTAACTTTTAGTTCCCGATTTCACATATTTTTTGCTCTGTCATTTAAAAAAAACTCTTTATCTCCTTCATTATCTCGAACAAAAATTTTCAATCTTTAAAATTGAATACAAATTTTCAAAAATTTTCTTCAATAGATTTTACCAGAAAAATAAAATATTTAATAAAAGAAGAAAAATAATACATTTTTTATAATTAATCGCATTATAATAAAAAAAACTAGTTTCGAAAAAGCAAAATTGTAAAAAGTTAAAAAAAATAACAGTCAAAACTTGTTTAAAAGTAAATTGGTAAACTAGTAAAAAGTAAAAAAGCAAAAAAAAACTCTGGATTAGTTAAATAACAGATAAAAGTAGAAATAAAACTATTTAAAAGAATAAAAAAAGCAAAAAATACACAAGATACAATGTAAAGCTATTGAAAATAGTTTCAAGAAGTAAAAAAGCAAAGAATAACCAAAATGAAAGACTAGTTGAAACAAATAACTAGAAATGAAAAATGCTTCCTGCATGAGGAAGCAATCAACATAATATAATAATTTCAAAAAATCTTGATAATCGGTGATTAAAATATAATTCGCATCTTTCGCTCTCGACGTCAATATTGGAAAAGTCGTCAATTACTTAAGTCACGCAATTCCAAATAAATACTGCGAATTATTACATCATCTAGTAAATTGTCACTTAAAATGAAATATTAATCCATCTTTTGTAGTTTCTATATTTTTCCCTTTTTTTTATTCAACCAGAAAATTGATTAATTCTTATACTAATTTCTCCTTTTTTCAAAAAAATATTAATTTTGTATTGAAAATTTGAAAGCAATGAATAATTAGTCGTGTTTTACATCCCTTCAAATGTTGATAACAAAATTTTATGACAAACTTTTTCTTTCAGCTCTATAGACACATATATATATTTATTTTCACCCTGTGAACTCGATTATAATTAGCGTGATTCATTCAATTAGAATTAAATGTCAGTCATTGAAATAAATGAATAATACCGCCTACTTTAGCGTGGTTAAGGGATTGAGAATGTAATTAACAATTATTTATATATGAAAAAGAATGGAAGGTGGTGGAAATTTTGCAACAACAAAAAAACCATCTTTTGGTTGTGGTTTGTTCTTTTTTTTATTTTCTTAATTTTTCTCTCTAACAAAATTTACTTCTTGAAAATTTCTATTCAAATTTTTTTCTGTTTAATTTTTTTTATTTCTCGTTTTCTCATTAATTTCTTCTATTTAATTTTTTCTATTTAGTTTTCTCCAATTTAATTTTTATCCAATATAATTTATTTCTTTAATATTTTTATTCTTTGTATTCAATAAAATTTACTCGGGAATTTATATAATCTTTTCTCTTTTTATTTGTGATTCATAGATTTTATATCTTACGATTTTTTTTATATTAATTTCAATTTTATAGTTTCTTTATTCTAACTTTCTTTGTTGGAATATTTTAAAAATCATTGGAATTTCAATATTTTTAAATTTAATTGCATTTGATTTCAATTATTTAGAAAAACGAATTGTATTAAATTTCAATTATTTGACAAATTTAATATTATTGAAATGTAATTGTATTTCGAAAATTTAGTTTAATTAGAAAATTTTAATTACATATTTGTCAAATTTAATTTAATTAAATTTCAAGAGTTTAAAAACCTTAATTTCATTGTTGAATTTGAATAATTTTACAAATTTAATTTCATAATTAAATTTTAATTATTTGACAAATTTGTATTTTAATTGAATTTCAAGTATTTAATTTGAATATTAAATTTCAATTATTTGGCAAAATTAATTTCATTACTAAATTCCAATTATTTGTCGAATTTAATTTAATTAAATTTCAATTATTTGACAATTTGAATTTTATCGAATTTCAAGTTTTTTTTATAAATTTAATTATTAGATTTCAAATATCTGACAAATTTAATTTTACAAAACTTTATGGATTTGAGAAATTCAATTTTAATTAATTCAATAATTTGAAAATTCAGTTTCATTATTAAAATTTTGATGACTATTTATAAATTTTTTTTTCATTTCAAATATTTAAAAAACTTAATTTAATTGAATTATTTAAAAAATACAGTTTAATTTTTACATTTTTATTGATTTGACAAGTTTAATTCGATTAAATTTCAAGTGGTTAGACATTTAATTCAATGAAATCTAATTCAATTATTTGAAAAATGTTGTTTCATTTGAGTAAATTTAGTTATTTAATTATCAAATTTCAATTATTTGAAAAATTTAATTTTACTGAATTATATTTGGAAACCTTAATTCAATTTATTGTAAAATTCCAATGATTTGCTTAATTTCAATTAATTTGGCAATTTTAATTTTATAAAATTTGAAGTTTTTTTTTGAAAAATTTAATTATTAAATTTCAAATATCTGACAACTTTAATTTTGCAAAATTTTATGCATTTGAGAAATTCAATTTGATTAAGTTTCAAATGATTAGAAATTTAATTCAATGAAATGAAATTCAATTTTTTGAAAACTTTTATTTCATTTGAGTAAAATTAGTTATTTAAAAAATTAAATTTAATTATCCAATTATTTGTCAAATTTAATTTAATCAATTTTCGATTTTATTTTGTTGAAATATTTAATTATTGAATTTCAATTATTTAACAAATTAAATTTGAATATTAAATTTCAAGCACTAGAAAAATTGAATTTCATTAAACAATGGAGAGAAACAATTTAAATAAGTTCAACTAATTGAAAAATTAAATTTTATTTTTTAATTAAATTACTTTTTATAATTTAATGGAATGTTGAATTAAATAATTTGAAAGAAAGAATTTTTTTTCAAAAATCGAATAGCTCTTTTGAAAAAGAAGAGAAAATTTGAAAAAATATTAATTTTTTTCCCAATAATGTCTATAAAATTTTGCTTTTTGAGAATACTATTTTTATAACATAGTACTCTGTAATTAATGAATTTTTTATTGAAAATTGGAAATATAATTTTTTGGAGTTTTATTGTGAATGAATGGGAATGTGATGTGTATAGTTGCACGAGGGGAAGAAGTAGGAAGGCAAGTGGGTAGGCGTCTAGCCGCTGGACTTCATCATCCTGGAGATAGTGCTCGTATTGCTCTTGCAGCTGATCAAGAAGACAGTCCACTACAATCAAAACGTTCCAGTATGTCACTGATCTGTCATTTTTTTTTATTCCCAGCAAACACAATGCGTGAATGTTCTATCGCTTCTTTCTTCTACACACACATTATAATGTCTCTCGCTTACTAAACTCAAAAAAAAAAAACAAACAAAAGAATAACAAATTAATCTTCACTAACAAAAATGAAAAATTTTCCTCATGTCAAAAATTATCTTCTCTGATAAGAAATATTATAGTCAAAATTTGTTTTCCTCGCATTAACCATGAAATTGCATGTATTATTTATTTAAAAAAAACTAAAAAACGATTCCTAAAACAAAAATTTTAAAAATCATGCTGTAGTAAGGCGAAAAAATTTAATTCTTTTAGATTAAAAGTGAATATTAATTCATAGTTCATTTAATAAAAATTATGAAGTAGACATTTTTTTAACCCCCTTGAAATGAATGATTCACAGATATGAATACGACTTATTTGTCTTAACTGATAAGCTCGAGAAACATTTGCATATCAATTCGGAATATTTTCAGTTAGGAGATGCACTTTTTTTATCGTTAATTATTTTTATTTATAAATTATATGTGCGTAATTTAATCATTCTCCTTTGTACTGACGAAAACAACGAATATCTTCTTTTAATTTCTAAATTCTTTAGTTTGTATAATAATTATATATTCAATTTAATAATTGAATAATTATATTTTCATCGTAAAATTCACATTATATTTAATTATTTATTTATTTAAACGCTCTAAGGGCTTACTTTATTTATAAATTTACAGAAAGAAATTTTTCCTTTTTATTTTAAAAATTAATTTTTTTATTTTCATTTTAAACAATTTAATTTAATTTATTTAAAATGGAAATGTAAATTAATTTAATTATAAAAAAAAATGTTTGTAGAAAAATAATTTTTCCTTCATTTTTATTGTTTCTTTTTTACTAAAATTTGTTTTTTAAGATGAAAAAGTGATTCAAATAGAATAAATGAAATATTTCTTTTATATTTGTTTAATAAATTTTTACTTTCAAATCAAATTGATCTTTAGCATTTTCTGGATAATGCATGACTTGTTAACGTCAGTGTTTAATAGTTAGTGATTATTAAGCAAATTTTTTTTTGTTCAACCAATGTTGGTAACTTGACTCATAAATTAAGAATTGCAATTAATTATATGTGATTTTTCACTTTGCTCATTAATTTTGTTTTCAAACAATTGTACGATAGATTTTTCCTAAACTATGTACTTTCATGTTTAATGATTAGTAATTAACAATAATTGCAATTTTTAAATATTTTTTTTCCTTATGTTTTTTTTTAATTTTTTGACGAACTAATAAAACAAAAATTCCTTGCAAAATTTATTTTTCAGAAAAAAATTATTTATTGAAAGAGAAATAAATTAAGAATTTTTTGTTTATTATAAAATTATAAATTTTATAAATTTTCCTCACTGTACTTAATTTTTGTTTTATGAATTATTTATTTATATTTTTTCACACTAGACGTACTTAAAAAGTAGAAAAAAGAAGTTAATTAATAAATTCAGTTGCAAATTGTAAAATTATAATTTTTTAAATTACCTTTTTTGTATTTTTTAAATTTATATAATTAATACATAGTAATATTAATTTCTAATTGATTTTAATATTAATAATAATAATATTGCAAAATGTATTCACGAAAGAATAAATTTAAATAATACAAAAAAGATAATTATTATTATCATAAAATTGTAGATTATTTAAATTTTTTTCTTTTTTTTCTACTAAAAAATCGATATAAAGAAATGATGAGAAATTGTTTATTTAAATTTAAATTAAAAATGAATTTTTCTTTTATTTTTAGTTCGTTAGAAAAAAAACGTGCTACTCTCAATGTTTCCTGTGATAATAATTAAAAATACACACTTCGTTCTCGTTATTGAAACTTGTTTTCATCAATTAATGTTAGTTGTTCTGTTTTTTTCTAAATGTTGCCATTTTTATAATTTTAATTTTTTTTATAAATGTAAATAAAATGCTTTATGTGTTTTATGTAGTCGTCGCTTTTCAGTTGATATTCATGACATTAATTTTATTTAATTCTGTGAAATAATTTTTATAGGTGTCATATCTGCTGATGATTTACCAAGTACTTTTGAAGATGAGCAGTCAACATTCTTGGAACGTCTCGGTGCAGGAACTGACAAATTCTTGCAAGAATTTTTCTGCTCTTGGGGCACCGGTGAGTTTTTTTTTTTTTTTTTTTTTGAAGAAAAATTGTTTTATTTTAATTTATTCTTTTTCTATTTTTATTGATTATGTTCATTATTATTCAAAACCAATTTCTTTCTATTGACATTTTTGTTATTATTTATTTTACTTATTTTTATTATTCTATTGTCATTAATTATTCCCTTTCCGGGTTTTTACATATCTAATTCCCCACACTTTTAATTTTTAATATCTATTTTTATTATTTTGTATTTGTCATCGTTATTAACTTTTTTATTTGGTCTACAGTTTGAAAAACGGGAATTTAGAGGAAATAAAAAAAAATTGAATAATTGAATTGAATAATTTTTCAGCTTGTGCGTCACGTCCGTGGCTTGTTCTCTTTATGGGATTCATCTTTATCGTGACCTTGGGCCACGGAATAAAATACATAATAGTGACAACCGATCCAGTTGAATTATGGGCATCACCAAATTCAAGGTCTCGCGTTGAAAGGGAATTTTTTGACAGTCATTTCGAGCCTTTTTATCGAAACGAGCAAATTATCATCACGTCAATTGGACTACCACCGGTAAAAATCATTTCTAATTCAATTCTTTTCAAATTTATGCACGGAGAGAAATCTGTTGCGAATAATGCATAGAGTAGAGGCTATGAATATAGCATAAGCACTTACTAGCGAAAAGTATAAGAGGTCCGCCTGAATATCAGTCGACTCCGCCTAATATTCAGGCGGACTCGAGCAATAAATAGGCTCTCTGTTAGGATTTTAGCATCAAAGAATCTATGGAAAAAGTATATGAAAAGTTTCGAGCATTAATCCTAACAGATTTCTCTCCGTGTGTCAATTTAAAGAAGAAAGGAAGCAAAAAAAGAGCAAACAATGAATTTTATTCTCAATTTTTTGTTTAGATCGTGCATAATACATCGAATGGTCCAATAGCCTATGGTCCTGTATTTCATGCTGATTTTTTGAAAAAAGTTTACGACCTACAAGAAGGAATCAAGAATATTGTCATTTCTGATAATCGAACATTGGCCGATATTTGTTTTGCGCCATTGACAAGTCCATATTCAGGACCAACCACTGTCTCAAAATGTACAATTCAAAGTATCTGGGGATATTATCAGGACGATTTGGAAACATTTAATGAAACTTCAGAGGATAAAAATGGATTTGTTGTTAATTATTTGGATCACTTTAAGGAATGCACACAGTAAGTTTTCTTTTTTTGGGGGGGGAAATTCATTTTTACTCTGTATTATAATTATTTATACAAAAATTTATACCGAAGGGTGATTAAATTTCCTTCATGAAATAGAATAAGTTTATTAAAATAAAGCTTGAAAAGGATTTATTGAAACGTTTTTTTACAGGAATCCGTACAATTTGAATTGTTTGGCACCTTATGGTGGACCAGTGGAACCGGCGATTGCCGTCGGCGGTTTTGTTAAAAGGGGAGAAAATCTTCGTGATCCACCGTACGAGAAAGCGACAGCGATTATTTTAACTTTCCTTGTCAACAATTATCATAATAAAACGAAACTTCAAGCTGCCATGGAATGGGAGGAGAAGTAAGTTTTTAGTTTTAATTATTTGAAGAAAAATGAGAAATGGAACAAAAAATTAATAAAGGTTTCGATAATCTGTTCGCAGTTGAGAAAGAATTTCTGGAACGTGCCACCTAAAACTTGAAAATTTTTATTTTTCCCTGTAGCAATTTAAATATAAAATCACTATGTAAAAGGATTTTGCAAAACAAAATGTATACTTTTGTTATTAATATATATTTGAAATTTTTTATTACTTTTTTTTAAAATTAATTTCAGAAAAACCTACTGACCGATTTCAATGATTCAATTAGCATTATTTTTGTCTTGAATCCAAATTTCAATTAAAAATTATTTTGTTCAAAGATATTGAATTTTAATAAACAAAAAAATTGTAAAATACCACTTCATCCATGAAATTTCAAGTTGAAAAAAATTGGACATATTCTTTAAGCCTTTCTAAACAATATTCCAAAGAGAAAAAAACACGCATTAAGAAGTAGCTAAAATAATTATTTTTTGATATTGCATAAATGTATTACGTGTGTAAACAAGAAATTTTTTATTTGAAAATTGGATTCAAGACAAAACTAATACCGGTTGAATCATTGGAATCGGTCATCAAGTTTTTCTGAAATTAATGATTAAAAAAAAGTAATCAAAATTTTCAATTGTTAATAACAAGAGTAAAAAAATTTTTTTTTTGAAAAATCCTTACACCTATAGTGACTTTTTATTTAAAATGCTACGGGAAAATTAACATTTAGGAAAAAATTGAATTCTTTCCAGTATTTTATTATTCACGGAGAGAGAATATATATTAAATTTTGTAAAAATATTTTCAAATTGGGGAAAAAGTGCAACAAAGCGAAATTTTGATATAGAAAATACTAAACTTTAAAAAAAGTTTTGTGAAATTTATTAAAGTTATGTTAGAATTTAATTAATATTCTTGATATTTGATATAATTATACTAAATTTCACATAAGTTTTTTTAAAGTTTAGTATTTTTTATATCAAAATTTCGCTTTGTCGCAATTTTTCCCCAATTTAAAAATACTTTTACAAAATTTAATTAATTAGTTAATATGTGAATTTTTGAAAATTTTGAATCTGAAGTTAATTGTAATAAGTAATATAAGAAAATATTATTAATAAAAAATATTTCGTTCATTTGAACGTTCAAAACTTTTTGCTCATTAATTAGGAAGAAAAACTAAACAAAAAATTTTTTTTATTAAATCAGAAAAGTTAGAGAATTTGATCAAAAGTTGAAAAATATTAAATTTTTAGATTTAATTAGAAATTTCTAGATTTGAAATGAATTGAATTGAAAATAAAAGGAGAAAAAATAAATTTACAAGTTAATAAAAATTAGAAACGAATTGACTTGAAAATAAATGACGAAAAGAAAAATTTGTTGAAACGAACAAAATTCAAAATAATGAAAGAAAGAGAAAAATTAACCCGAACCGAATTTTGAATGTATTTTAAATTTTTTAGGTACATTAGTTTTATGAAAAATTGGACACAAACGGAAAAGCCAGCGTACATGGACATTGCATTTACTTCCGAGCGTTCGATTGAAGATGAATTAAATCGTGAATCACAGTCCGATATTTTAACAATTCTTGTTTCCTACCTAATCATGTTCGCCTACATTGCCGTATCCTTGGGACAAATTCGAAATTGCAGTCATCTTTTGGTGAGTTTCTTTTTCAAATTTTTATTTTTATTAATTAAATATCAAAATGAATTTAATTAAAAGAAATTCAATTTAATTTCACTTCTTTTCATTGGATTTCAATTTTTAAAAAATTAAATTTATTGCAATTATGAGTAGCGAAAGAGAATTTTTTAAATTTTTTGAATTTAATTTCAGTACGATTCGAAAATTACGCTCGGCTTGGGAGGTGTTTTAATTGTCCTGGCATCAGTGATTTGTTCTGTTGGAATTTTCGGATTTATCGGAGTACCAGCGACATTAATTATCATCGAAGTGATTCCATTTTTAGTGTTGGCTGTTGGTGTTGATAATATTTTCATTCTAGTGCAAACAAATCAAAGGGAAGGAAGAAGACCAAATGAATCGATACCTGAACATATTGGACGAACTCTTGGTCAAGTTGGACCCAGTATGTTATTGACAAGTGTCTCCGAAAGTTGCTGCTTTTTCCTTGGTAAATTATCTATGTACTTTTTTATTTTTTCTATTCTATTTAAAATATTTTGCAATTTTTTGTTGTTGTTGAAATTTGCAAATTATTCTATTCTCTACAGTATTCTGCATTCTTTTGAAATATGTATTACATTTTTTTTTAAGGAAATACTTTTTTTATGAGAATGTCAAAAATTTCGAAATTGTTTTAAATTTATTATAAAACAATAATAATTTACCTATTGTTTTGAGTGGTTCATAATTTATTTGTGTTATATTTTTAAATTTTTTGTTAACAGGAAGTCTTTCCGATATGCCGGCTGTTAGGGCGTTTGCTCTATATGCTGGAATGGCGCTTTTAGTTGATTTTCTACTTCAAATCACTTGCTTCGTCAGTCTCTTGACGCTGGACACGTTCCGCCAAACTGTAAGTTTCCGTCAATTTACTAATCTTTATAAATTTTTATTATTTTTTTACACGATTAAATTCAAATTCGTTTTATTTTACTTTTTAGTTATTTTTATTCTATATTTTATAGTTTAAATTCTATTTATCTTATTAAATAAATGCTGCAGTCTCGAAGACCAAATAGAGGATTATTTTACATTTTAATTATTTTTATTTTCTAATTTTTATTTAATTTCAAGTGAATGAATGCCAATGAAATAAATACTTTTCCATTTGTAGAACAACAGATTAGACGTTTGCTGCTTTATTCGCGGGTCGAAAAAAGACAGTGGCGAGGAAGTGGTCGATGGATTACTGTACAAAATTTTCAAAGTCGCTTACGTTCCACTTTTAATGAAAAAATGGGTGCGAGCTAGTGTTATGATTGTTTTCTTCGGTTGGCTCTGTACCAGTGTTGCTATGGTGCCGCACATTGAAATTGGATTAGATCAGGAACTCTCGATGCCAGAAGACAGTTTTGTACTTAAATATTTCAAGGTATGTAACGTAGTATAAATGCAAAAAAAGTATTTTTATTTTAATTAATAGTTCATTAATAAGTAATAAATAATTTATTCATCTTTGTTATTCATTGTATGTAATTTCTATTTTAATAATTTAATTTAATTTTCTGATTTATTAGTATCTTAACAATTACTTGTCTATCGGGCCGCCAATGTACTTTGTGGTGAAAGGAGGTTTAAATTATTCGGACACAAGAACACAAAATCTGGTCTGTAGCGGTCAATATTGCAATCTAGATTCGGTCACGACACAAATTTTTACCGCTTCTCAGCAGCCAAATACGTAAGTATTTTTCTTTTATTAATTCATTTGATGCATTTTATTTAAATTTCAATTTAATTTAATATACAAGTATTTAATTTTATTATTTAATTTAAGTTTTATTTTAAACTACTTGGAAAATATTAAATTGTATTTAGATATTTCAATTTTAACAAAATAATTTAATTTTGCAGAAGTTACATAGCAAAACCTGCTTCATCATGGCTTGACGATTACTTCGATTGGTCTCTTTTATCATCTTGTTGCAAAATGTCAAAAACCAATGGATCCTTCTGTCCACATAGCAGTAAGTATACAACAAATTTTATATTTAAAAAACTATGATTCAGGCCTCGGATAGTATGATTTTTCGGACTTTTCAGACTTATTTACAAAAAATTTCAAAATATTGCAATAAAATATCACTTTTTTTATATAAAAAAAATAAAATGCAACTTATTACGATATTTATAAAAATGTGAAAAATAAATGTAGTCAAATCATTCAAAAATTAATTTTCAATAATTTTGTTAAGATAATTAAATTTTTGAAATATGTAACTAAAAAGGTTTTAAGTAATTGAAATTTTGTAAAATTTTATTGAAAATAATTGATTTGTTTCAAAATATTTCATTAAAATTTTTGAAAATCAAATTTTGAAAAATTTTAATTGTAAATTCTGTAAATGGGTGATTCTCCCGAAATACTCCTTTTTGTGAGTTACAAACAGAAAAGAAAAAAAATTATTATTTATGGATTAATGCAGTCAGTTATATTGAGCTTTCAAAAATCTACCACCTCTATAGCATGATCATGCTAACTTTTAGCTTTTAAACTATATATTTTAAATTAAAATTTTCAAAAAAAATTAAGAGGTTAAAATTTGGCGCCGGCGTTTTTTATTATATATATTTTTCTATTTACAAAAAATTATTTAAAAATTATAATTTATTAATATTATCTATAAATTTTATAGATTTTGAAATATTTACAGTTATCAAAAATCTCTTTAAACAATTGTCAAAAATTATTTTTCATACATTTTAGGTTCACTTTTCACTGGCAGTTTGTAAACAACCGACAATCATATCAATTTTTAATTTTTATTCAAAAAAGTGAGAGGAATGACGGGTGAGAGGAATGACGATTTCAACATTTTTTAATTTTATTTAATTGACAAATAATTTTCCTCCAGCTTAGAATGCCCTATCATGTTTATAAAGGATAACTTTATGTGAAAAAAATTTGCGATCAATTTATATATATTAATATTGTTTTTATTAGGGGTGAGAGGAATAACGCTTTAGGTTGTGAATCTCTGCTTATGTCTCAATTTTAATTTTTTTAACGCAAAATAATGACATTTTTTAAAAAGTAACTTAAGAAATTAATATTAGAGATGTTAATTTAAATATTGATCACAATAATTAAGCAATATCTCTACCCACAGCAAAAATATTGGATAATATTAAACGAGTGAGAGGAATGACGCGGTACTACATGACAAATTTCATTTTCTATATTTAAAAAAACTACACGACATATTTTATTTATATTTTTGAAAATTATTCTTAAATATCATAACTTTTAGAAAAAATTAATAAAGTACCAATTTTCATGTTTTAAATAATTGTTTTACCTATTGAAAAAATGAAAAGCACTTAGATGACAGGTTAGAAAATCGATTTTGAGGTGGTAAAATATTTTAAAAATGTATTAAACAATAAAATTTTACAACTTTTTCTTGCAGAACATTTAGAAAAAGTGATAAAATAGGGAAATATGACTTGGTATTTTCCCAAATGATTATAATTATTTAGAAAATCTTGATTACATGCAAAATGAGGTTTTTTGGAGAATCACCCAAATATTTGAATTCTTAAACATTTTAATGAAAAATCTCCAAATGAAAATGAATGAAGATAAGCTTCAAAACATTATATTAAAATCTTTTTTGAAAATTTAATTCTTAGAATTTTTTCCTTATAAGTTTCTAAAATTCATTTCATCTGCTTTTTCTTTTAAAATAAGAAATTATGAAATTGGACTAACTTTTGTTTTCACTGTCCGTCAAATTCTTCGTTAATTACATATATATATATATCCGAATATTCAAAAATCTATAAAAAATAATTGAAGCGTTTTGTGCAGAAACAGCATAAGTCCATAATTCAAAATTGTTCAGGAATCAATAAAAACTTTTTCTCGTAAATGTTAAGATTTTTTTTAATTCGGCTTTTTGCATTATATTCTACTAACCTATAAGTTAAAAAAATCAATATGATTAATTAATTATCTACTTAATATAAAAAATTAAAAAATACATTAACATTTGGACTTAATATGCTGTTTCTGCACAAAATCAAATGAAAAACACAGAAAATTTATTAAATCCAGTGAAATATCAAAGTTTTATGAAATATTTAATAACATTTATTTAAAATATTAAATTTGGATAATTTTTAGTAACATTTTATAAATAATAAAATTGTTTTAAGAATAAATTTAACCAATTTTCAATATTTTCTAATTTTAAAATAATTCAGTCACCACTGTCACTTTTTGCTTCCCATGAGTGTTTTTATTTATAATATAAACTGTTTAATATAAATTATTTAAATACGTCAAGAATATCACAAATAAATATCAAACTTATCATAGACTTGTGCTGTTTCTGCACAAAATGATATTTTAATTATTTTTTTAAGGGTTTAGAGTTTAGTCACTTATGTAATATTTTACCAGATTGAAAAGCTTCATTTAAAGATAAATTTTCAATAAAAAAGTGATTTTCGAAAAAAATGGACTTATGCGGTTTCTGCACAAAACGCTTTAATTACATTACAATTTTTTTAAAAATCTAATTTTTTAGAATTATTATTAAATTTTTTTTAAGAAAATAATCATTTTCAAAATTTCTGATTAAAATTCTTCAAAGAGTTGATTATTATTTGAATATTACAAATTACATTATAAAAATTTTGAATAAACTAATTCTAAGAATTTTTTTATCATTGCTTTTCACAATTCAATTATCATAAAAAAGTAAATAAAATTTTTTTTTTAATTTATTTTTTATACTTATTAAAAGTTTGCAAAAGTTATTGAAATTTTGAATTAATTTGGTAGAATTATATATTTTTATAAATTTTTAATTAAAATTCTTTAAAAATATTCAATTCTTTTTAAAAAATTTTACTCACCTTAAATTATTTAGAAATTTTTCAATGATATTATTTTTAATAATTTCCCAAAAATTCTTTTAAAATATTTAGTTCTTTTTAAAAAATTTTACTCAACTTTAATTATTTGAAAATTTTTCAATTATATATAATTGAAAAATCTATTATCTTTCAAAAATTCTTTAAAAATATTTTTAAAAAATAATTAAAGTTCTGATTAATTTAATTTAGAAATCAGTGAAAGATCAAGATAATACAAAATGAAATTTTTTTTCAACAACGAATAAAATAATCGACTAGTTTTGTATCTTTATTTTGATTAAATTGACTTTAAGGCTCAAAAAAGTGCCTTAAATTAAATCCGCTGCCTGATAACAATTCAAGATCACATTTTTACCAAAAATTTGCAAATATTAATTTAAATTCTATTATCAAAATGAAAAATGTCAATTAAATTTAAGAAAAAATTATTTAAAAATAAATAATCGAAAATGATAATTAAAATTACAGTTATTAATTGAAAATTTGAATTAATAAATTGCAAATTGTAATTTTTTAATTTGTTTTCTTTTTTCTAAATTCTAAATTTCTTTTTTATAGGTTACTCGTCAGAATGTAAAGCCTGCAATATATCAGTGAACATGTACAATCGACCGACAACGAACGATTTTGAAAAGTACATTTCATTCTTCCTGCAGGACAATCCTGACGCAAGTTGTGCAAAAGGTGGACACGCTGCCTATGGACACGCGGTTAATTATTATACAAATGAAAAAACACATAGATCGAATGTTGACGCCTCATATTTTATGGCCTATCATTCAATATTAAAAACATCGTCCGATTATTATGAATCGATGAGAGCTGCACGTGAAATATCGGCAAACATAACGGATATGCTTAACAATAATCTGGCAAAATGGAATGAAACAACGAGAGTTGAAGTTTTTCCATACAGTGTATTCTATGTGTTTTATGAACAATATTTGACAATGTGGCCTGATACTATTAAAAGTATTGGTATTTCATTACTAGCAATATTCATTGTCACATTTTTATTAATGGGTCTCGATATATTTTCCTCAATTGTTGTCATTGTTACAATTACAATGATTGTTGTTAATATCGGAGGTCTTATGTACTGGTGGCACATTACTCTTAACGCAGTGTCGCTTGTTAATTTAGTTATGGTAAGTCTTTTCCTTTTTCTTTCTTTTCTTTTTTATTTATTTTACATTTTACTCGTTTTATTTTTTGTTTATTTCATTTTTTTTTTATTTTATTTAGAATATAATTTATTTCTTGATGCTACAAATTTTGTTTTACATCTTATTTATTTTATTTTTTGTTCGTTTCATTTTTTATTTATTTACATTTATGGTCAATTATTAATTTCAAAATTTTTATATTTATACAAAATGTATTTTCTTCTTCTATTTTTTAATTTGATTTTCAAAATTTATAATTTATCGTTCGTTTTGCAGAAGAAAATGTAATTAATGAATGTTTGTTTCTGTGTTTCTTTCAGGCGGTTGGCATCGCCGTAGAATTTTGTAGTCATTTAGTGCATTCCTTCTCTGTGTCAGTGAAAGCAACACGAGTTGATAGGGTGGCGGATGCTTTAACGAACATGGGAAGTTCGGTATTCAGTGGAATTACACTGACGAAATTCGGTGGAATCATTGTTTTAGGTTTCGCCAAAAGTCAAATTTTCAAGGTAGTTTTCTAGAGAAAATTTAGAGTAAAAAAAAAAGTAAAAAATAAAAAAAAATTAAGTAGATTTTTTTCAATTATTGAAAAAACGGAAAATTAACGAAAATTATTTTTCAGGTATTCTACTTTAGAATGTATTTAGGAATTGTGCTCTTTGGAGCAGCACATGGACTTATATTTTTGCCTGTCCTTCTCAGTTATATCGGTAAGAAAAAATAATTTCTCTTCTTTTTCCGAAAATTTTCCATTTAACACAATTTTTTCTTCTTGCAGAATTTCTCATTAGAGGTAAAATTAAATAAATTCTGATGAGAATTAGAAATAATTTTTCATTCTTTTTGCAATAAAAATTTTTACTTCTAATTACGAAAAAAAGTTTGATTTTCAATTTTTAAGTAAAATGATATTTTATACAAAGAACTTTGCAATTAAAATATAGTTTTCCATAAAAATTGATTGAAATCTTTGCATGACATTTTAACACTAATTCTCGGGTAGATTTATAATAAAAATTCATCGTAAGCTTTGGCGACAATTTTTTCTCTCTTTTTTTTCAAAAAAACGATTTTAGAATAAGTAGGAAATTTTTTTAATCATTAAATTTAGATTCAACAGGGTAGAGGGTTTTTGAAATCACAAGCCTCACGTTCAAGAGTCAATTTAAAATTCTAATTAAATTATTATCAATCTGTCACGAAATTTCACAATCGTTTATTATAATTATTGTCAAATTTAAAACACGCTTTCGCAATCAAAACAATATTTTAATGATGCTTAATTAACAATAAGACTTTATCGAAAGGTTTCAATTACAGTCATTTAATTTTTTCATATTTTGTTTGTTTGAATTGTTTATTTATTGCTTATTTGTTTATTTAGTATATGGATAAATTATTTTCTTTATTTTAAATATTTTTAAACCAATTTTTCCCGTCATTTTCAACATTAAAGTAAATACATTTTTCAGTTATTTTGAAAATTTTATTCCTTAACATTTTATTGAGTATTCAGAATAAATATTTTGAGAAAAAACTTAATTAGCGGCAAAAACAATTGTAATTTTTTTTCTTCAGTAGGTATTAAATGGAGAATTTGCATGTATTGTATTAAGAATGTTTTTTTCATCCTTGAAATACACATAGAGCAATGAATGATATACGTAATATGGAAACCTTGAAATAAAGTGTAATATAAAAGATAAAAAAATAGAAAAAAAGAATTAAAATTACCTTGAATAATTTTTCAATGAATTCATGAATAATCATGAATTAATTTCTTTCTTTCTGCCAATTTCGGAGTCTGATTGAATTCAAATCAAAATAAATGAATTTTTGTATGAACATTAAAATTTTTAAAAAAATAAACACGTGAGGTTCATGGTGTGGCAATATTGGTGATTTTAGGCTCGCCAATGAATCGGGAGAAGCTGGTCAATCACAAGAAAGCCACGAGAGGAAATCTGGACAGCATACAAGAAACTTCCATGAATCAACGTGTAAGCAAACCCAAATCAAGCACAACTACCGTTCCCACTTTTCGTATTCTAGATTACAATCAATAGACTCCGTGGCGATTTTTTTCTTTAAGAAAGAAAAATAATCACAGTCATAAAAAATGCTTCTTTTGTTAATTAAGAGTCTAATTAACATAATATACACGTTGTTCGCCTATTACAGTTTCTGCTAAAAAGTTAATTTTAGAAAATTCAAATTATTGCTTTAATTGTTACGTATTTTTCTATTTATATATATATTTTTTTGTTTTCTTTTCATATTTTCCACTTTTGATTGTTGTATTTCGTGCCTTTTATATTTTATTCTTTTAATTGTTGCATTTCGTATTTTTTTTCTAGTTGCTAGTTTTTTTTCTTCTTCAAATTAAGAAGATTTTGTTTCTTTTTTTCTATTTGTATAAGAACATAAATTTTGCAAAAAGTACATCTTACAGTATTTTCTAGACGAGATATTTGCTATTTAGAGAAAAAAAATGTTTTATTGTTTTGGGTTTCAAACAAATTATTTTCTAAGTAATTAAATTACTTTAAAAAATTAGGGCTTATTTATATTAATGAAATTAAAAATTTACGTATAAATTGATACATAAATTAGAATTGAAATATTAATTAATATTAAAATATTAATTAAAATTGAAGTATTCATTAAAATTTAAGAATTAACTAAAATTGAAATTGCAATTAAATTGAAATTATAGGAAATAAGACAAATTTCATAAAATATAAAATTACATAAAACTGAAATGTTATAGAACATAGATTAATAATTAACACAATTATAAAAAAAGAATTTTGTTAAAAATTTAAAAACGTTTAAAATAACAATATTTTTAAAAAATGTATAAATTAAAAATATTTAAAAATAATTAAAATCTAAAAATGTATAGATAAAAAAATGTTTTAAAAAATGAAATTTAAAAATGTATAAATTAAAAATTTATTTATTTATTTATTTAAAAATGTTTAAAAAAATGAAATTTAAAAATATAGGTATGAATTAATAAATAATTAATTAATAATAATTCCGGGAAAATTCTAATAATAAAAAAAATAATTAAAAACTTGAAATTTAAAAATGTATAAATGAGCGGATGGGAAGAAGAACTCGCCGAGCGCGCGGTTGTAAGGGATAATATCAGTCAGGTAGCAGTGAGTGCCTCTGGGCCACACACTGCTACCTGACTGGAACTATCCCTTTCGGTCGAGCGGTAAGAAATTGAAATTTAGAAGTGTACCTATAAATTAAAAGTTTTAACAAAAATTAAAATTAAAAATATTTAAAAAAAATGAAATTTGAAAATGAATTACAAATTTTTAATTAAAAAAAGCACAAATTAAATGCAGGTATTTAAAAATCCATATTAGAAAAATGTTTAAATTAAAATTTATTAAAAATTGATAAAATAAAAATATTTTTAAAAATATTAGGAAATTGAAAATATAAAAATGTATAAATTAAAAACTTTAGAAAATTGAAATTATACAAATGTGTAGATTAAAAAAAATTATAAAACTAAAAGTTTTTCAAAATTAAATATAAGAAAAATATTGATATATATCGTTAGCTTCTTATATTAAATAATTAAATTATATTTAATAGTAAATAAAGTAAACTAAGAATAAATAATATAAAAATAAAATAAATAATATAAAAATAAAAATTTTCACATTCACGGAAATTGAATGTTTTGAACATTATTCTACAAAAAATGTTATTTTTAATAATAATTTTTACTAATAATAATAATTTTTTTAATAATTATAAAATTTATTTAAAACAAACAAATCTCGTCTAGAAATTAAAACGGATTATGAATTAAATAAAAACAAACTATAAATTTAATTTAATTTAATTATAATTATAAACAAATTAAGAAACGAAAAATGAAACAAATTTGTTTCTTGAATGCTTTACAGAAAGAAAAATATTTATTAACTTTTATACAGAAATTGTTGAAAGGCGAACTACACGAAAGCGACGTAATTTTTTTTTTACTTTTTGTATACGTAATTGTAAAAAAAAGCCCAACACAAAGAACGGTAACTGTGATATAATCTGCACAATTTTTTTTGCATATAAGTTTATTATTTACGCTTATATATGCTATAATGTTTAATGCTTAATTAAAAGAGCGAAAATTAAAATTTTTTAATTTTCGCTCAAGTATTACTTAGGCACGATAATTTTTCTTATTTTTTTAAATCATTTGTAATATTTATAAAATTTTGGCTAATGTACAAAAAAAAACCCGTTAGTGTTCGAAAAGAACAAAAAATATTTAATAGGAAGAAATTTTTTTCGTTCTTTTCGTGATTATTTTTTTAAAAAAGCGCTCAAGAGTTTTGTTTTTCAAAATGAAATTTTGAAATAGCCCAAAGACCGTTCTTGAAATTTCTAAATAATTATATATGTAACAATATTTTTTGTTGTTTCAATATTAATTCAAGACTGACGAATTATTTGCTCCGTCCGTAGTATTAATTTTATATAGGATGCACTTTTTTTATAATTATATACATATCATGAATGTTGTCGCCTCTTTTTTTTATATGATTTTGTATTTTTATGCGTTTATATTTTATCTTTTTCTTTATATAGAATAAACGATTTGTACAATTTCAAATTTTATTTCTTTTTTTCCAAATTTCGTTTCCTTTGAAACAGATTCCAAAATTTTATTCCGAATTATTTTTATAAATATTATTTATTATATTTTTTAGTGATTTGTATTATTGCACTGTTGTTAATTTGTGTGTGTGTGTGTGTGTAATAATTTGTAAAATAGTAAATAATAGAATTGTAATAAAAATAATAGTGAAAATAATAATCTAGGTAAATTATTATTTATATTATTATTGATAATATTGATTTTTTAAAATTAATTTATTACAGAGATACGAAAATTTCGCTATAAGTAGATGTGACTAATATGTTTTTTGTCGCTAAATTAGATTTTTTTCTGACACTTGAACTTGTGGTGGTAATTGTTATTAATTAAATGTGAATAAATGAAATTTGGGGTGTGTGTCAGGCAATTATAATTTTTTGGACGAATTTTATTTGCAGATGTGATGCCCCGCCGAAGATATAGAAGATTCGAGCAGTTCGATAGAATACGAGGAGAGACAAGTCAGAATGAACAGGCTACAAGTTCTGTTTCACCTCTTCTTAGGAATAATCCACTTCAGGGTACCGCCTCCTACGCAAGTGTAAATGACTCGGACAGAATAGAATCTTTCTAACTAAGAAAAAGAAGAGGAAGGAGAAGAATATTTAAGTCACTCTTAATAAGGGAACAAAAGATGTTAGATATATAGTCAAAAAAGTACAATATTTGAAGTAGAAAAATTTTTCTTTCTCAATTTTTCACTAAGTTCAATATTTAAAAAACTAATTTATTATTAACTAATTTAAAAATAATAATTGCTACCGAAAAATAATTTCAAAAAAGAATAGGTATTTTTGAAATTAATTTTCAAACTGTTAATTATTTTTGTTAATTTATTCTAGCAAATGTTAATTTCTAGTCAGCTAGAAATATTTAAATGAATACTGTTGTTTCTAAAAATTTTAACTAAATTATTAAATAATCAAATTTAAAAGAAAGAAGCAACCAAATTAATTTATAATTTTAGAAAAATTCCAAATTAAAAAACAAATTTCAAATTTTCAAAGATTTTTTGAAAAACAAATTCCAAACGAAAAGATATTTTAGTGGAAATTTATTTTTAGTATACCAATCTAGGAAAAATTACTAACTGAAAATTACAATTTCCCAAAAAATAAAAAATTGAGAAATATTAAATACTTCTTAAAGAATAAAAGAAAATATTTTAAGTTTGAAAAACTAAAAACTATTGAATTAGAAAATTATTTAAAAATTTAATCACAACTTAGATCAATTTTGTAAATATTAGCAAAATTTGAAAAAAAAATTAAAAATTTGTTGTAGACAAAAAAGAAATTATAAATGTTATCTACTTTTGAAATATTTATACATACATACAATTAATTACGTTAATTAATTAAAAGTGTACATGTATACGAAATTGGAATTGTCTTTAAGTTTACTAGTATATTTAAAAAAGAAAAAGAATCTCTTGATTCTTACGAAAGTATTTTAAATATAACAAGAAGAAAAATTATTTATTCGAAAGAAGAAATTCTCTATTTGAAAATATTATCTCAATTGACTATATATAGAGTATAAATAATTGAAAAGTATTATGAAGTCGAGCTCTCGTGACGAATGTCCGGTGTACGCCTTGTAGAAATGATTACAACGTTAATTTTACAGGATAAGATTTATTTATTGTTTTTAGGTTGTTTAGTAATTTAAGGACGTCAAAAATATGCTTATTGGAAATCGATTCTCGTAAAAGTTCTGATAGCCTTTTACCACATAATATACATATAAATATAACTGACGGTTTTGTATCCTCGAAAAAAAAGTAATCCGTCGAATAATTATGATAGTAATTAAGAAATCAAAGAAACGTCGAACGCTTTTTGTAAATATCAAAGTTTCTTGTTTTACGTTTTATTTTCTTTTATACAAAAAAAACAAAGTGAATTTACATTTCAAACATCAATCACTTAATTTTCATTTTAAATCTTAAGATTGTGCCTTTGTACCTAAGAAACTTATTTTACTATACATACTGACCATATAATGAACGGCGTTTTGACGTTTCGAAACAGTACGAATTATTAACTTAAAAAAGCAAACTTAAAACAAAACTATTGACCGAGAAATTAATGTACATGTAATTTGAAAAGTAACCTCGAGTTCCTAATTTTAAAAAAATAAGGTCAATATTGTTAAAAGAAAGAGCAAAAATAGTTTTGTTTCAATAATTTATTTATTTCGCCGAAAGAAAAATTAACGAGTCTTTCCAAATATTAGGAATTCAATTTTTTTTCAATTTCTCCTAATTTGTGAATTTTTATTTTCGAAAGATAGAAAAAAAGAACATATAGACTCTCATTTTAGTAAGTGCAAAAAATTCATTTCATTTAAAGCATTCTTTTTTTAATAATAATAATATTAATAATAATAATAATAATACATAATAATAATAAAAACAAACGGACTGCCGTATGCGTGTTTTCTCGAATGAAAATATTAAAATAATTGAAATAGTTTTTTATGAAATACAAGAAAAAAAAACAAAGTACTTTTGTATGTTAAAAGCAGTCAATGTTCAACTAGCCTATGTATTATTTTAAGTGAAAAAAGCGCTATATAATTATAGCTTTAAATATCGTGAAATTGTAGTTGAGAATTTGTGGGTGATTTAATTATTATAATTGGTGTTAATAAAAAATGAACGATCTTTTTTTTAAAAAAGCACAAATTTGTCATTTCATTCTTTCAAATCCATCAAATCATTCAAAATTATAATAACTAAATAAAAATAAACTAATAAAATAACAATAAATTAGAATAATAAAAAATTAATCAAACAACTTTTAATTAGAATACAAAAAATGTTAATAATATAAAATAACTTTTATACATTTTTTCCAATAATTCGAATAAAAAATTTAAAAATAGAAAAAACATAAAAAATATTATAAAACCAGAAATACCGAAAAACATGAAATATATGTTTAAAAATAGAAATACAAAAAAAAACAAAAAATATTTAACAATAAAAGTACAAAAAAATATGCAATTTTGGAAATAAAAAATAGCGATAAATAATAATAAAAATAATGTCTACGAAAAATAAATAAAAACAATAATATTAGTAATAATAATAATAATAATAATAATAATAATAATAATAATAATAATAATGGTAATAGAAACAATAGTAGTAATTACACTAATAATAATAAAAAAATAATTTTAATAATAATAATAATAATAATAATAATAATAATAATAATAATAATAATAATAATAAATAAATAATTGTGTTTGAAGAACGTATGTTTGAAATTCGCGCCATATTTCGACCAATGAGCATCTCCTATTTCTCCATAGCAACAACCAATAGAATGCCAAGTCAGAGATAAATAAAAAAACCATTAAAAACAGAACAGAAAAGTCGTCAGCTAGAAAGTTTATATAGTTTATGAAAAAAAAAATCATTTGTCCCACTTTCACTGTTGGTCATTTTGATTTTCTTTTCTTTATTTTCTCCGTTTTGATTCTCATTACGAAATCAATTATATTTGCGAATGATAATAACAAAATGAAAATGAATGTCGATTATTTACGTAACAGTTATTTTAATCAAAATATATCGTATTTATTTATTTTTCCTCTTTTTGTTTTTAATGCAAAAAAAGCAAAAGTACAAATTTTTTTCGACAGTTACTTATGTTTAAATCGTTTAAATAGACGTTTTATATAAATGTAAACTATTTGGAAATTTTGTACGCATTACTATATGCAAAGAAAAATTAAACATGTAGCATTTTGACGCGTGTTTATTAAAAATGTGCCACGAAAGCAATTTCTGCTTTTAACCAATGAAAACAACTTGACGATATCTTTGGTTCTTTATTGGCGGAATGTTTCCCAGGATTTCCAGCTGTTAATTCTACAACAATCGGTGTGTCTTCATTCTATTGTATTTTTCTATATGTAGTATTTAATATTTTTCCAAAAAAATATAAAAAAATTATTTCATTTCATCTAATACTGTCCTACTGAATACTTAAAAGGTTTAGTTTTTATATTGCTCGTTTTATTTGTTATTTTTTTTCTTTTGAAATAGTCTATAGAGATTATTTGTTAAAATATTCAATCGTAAAAACAATAACAAATAAAGTTTAGAAATTAAAAATTTCTAAATACAATTCTTTTAGTAAAAGTTCAACGAAAAAATAATTAGTGCATTAAAATAAGTTTTGTGAAAACTATGTCAGCTGTCAAAATATGTTTATTATATTTTTACTCTTTTTTTTGATTTAGAAAATGACATTCAACAGGCTTCAAAATTAAATTCACTTGTTTCGTTATCACTGAAAAAAGAAATAACAATATGTTTTGATTGTTTCAGATGTACTTCATAATTGTTAGTGTTTTTCTTTTTACTGCCTATTGTTCAATTGCACAAGAAGTTGATCCAAAGGAATTACGATGTTTAGGTATGTTACATTTTAATTAATTTCTTCAAATAAAAATTTATACTTGTAACTAAATTTTCAAACAGGAACAATTTTTATTTTAAAATAGAACATTTTTTTATTCAATTTTTTTTTATTTTAAGAATATTTTATTTATTTATTTATTTTATTTTATTTATTGATTTATTTATCTATTTATTTATTTTTACCTTTTTTCAAAAATTATTTTTGATCTTTTCGATTTTAGTTTGCAGAAAAACAGTGGACGAACTGCAAAGTAAATTTAATAATATTGATTCGTCAAAAACAGTTGAAGTGGGACAATATCGTTTAGATGCCGATGGGAATACTTTGCACAAAAAAGTATGTTTCTTTTTATCATATTCTTTATTTAAAAATAAAAGAAATCTTTTGTTCTTCTGTTCATTGATAAAAGTACAAAATTAACGTCGTTTATCTTTAACAGAATTTACAGTGTCTGTAAATAATTTTCTCCAACTAAATTTATTTTTCATTTAAATTTTTTGTTTCTTTTTTGTCTTGAAACAAAAATTGCATTTTAATTAATTTTATTAGATTTAAAAAAAACCTTGATATTTTTATTTTATTTACAAAATATTTTTTTAATTTTTTGAGTTTCTATAAACATTTTTTAAAAATATCAGGTTCCACTGGCGAAATCCGAGATTTATATTTCGGAGACTTTAGATGAAGTTTGTGCAGCTTTCGACAACTATGCTAAGGCGACATATAAGAATTCGGGAAATTTAGTACTCATTGATCTTCAGAATCCTTTCAACGATAAAAGTCCTAAAATGGATCAAGTTAATTTCATTCAAGACGGTGATCTAAATAAGAGTCTAAAATTTTTGGTAAGTTTCTGAAAAAAATTTACTAAATCAAAATTTAACTCTCTTTAATATCTAATTTGATTGATTAAAATAATCTTTCTTTTCCTCTTTCAGTGTGAAGATATCGTCAACGATTATGAAGAAACATTTATTAAAGTATTTCGAGAAGACACATCAAATGCTCACAATGATATTTGTACAAATGCCGCTCGATATTGCGAAGAAGATTTATTTTATGGTCTCGAAGATGCCTCCGACAGTATTATTGATACCGATAAATTGGACGATATTGATAGAACAGAATTATAATAATCAACTATTATAATGATAGGTAAATAGTGAAATTTCCAAAGTTAATTTTACAAAAATTTCTATACGAAAAAGTACAATCGTGACACTATGTATTTAATATTTATTTATTTTTCACTGTCAGTACATAAGTGTTGGAATTACAAGAACTGTGACAATATAATTCTACAAATACTATAAACGATATTTTCCTATTATACGATTTTAATAGTTTTATATAAACAAATTTTGTAAAATAATTTTTAATCACAATAATAATTTTGGTAAATTGCAGACAAAAATGTTGTTTGTAATTACAAAAATTATCACTCAAAAATGTTCATTATTTTTCCTTTACTACGTACTTATTAATATTTCCAAATATTTCACTTTAAGTATTGAACATTTTTCATTACCCGATAAATATCGTTCCATTGTCAAAAGATTGAGAAAAATCTTGTAAATTTTTTTAAAAAACAAGTTTCAGATAATTTTGTATAAAAAATCAGAAGTAATTATATTTGAATTATAATAAATATTAATTTAAATTGTAATAAACATTAATTTAATTATAATAAACATTAATTTAAGTTATAATCAACATTAATGTAAATTATAATAAATAGATTTTAAATTAAAGTAGAAAATTAGATTAAAAAGAAAATTATTAATGACAATTTATCTTTATGTAGATCATTAAAATGTTCGTATTTCCACGGTAACTTTTCAGTAAAACAGGTAACTTCATAAAGTAAATTACTTTGAAAACTTGTTTATAATTCGAACAAAACTGGAACCGCCCAAAGCGAAATATTACCAAACAAAAATATATACACAATGTAGAATTTTATAACTTTTTGTGCATTTTTCTTAATTTTTCCGATAATTAATAATTTATAAAATTCACGTCACCTCTGGTTCTTTTTATTTTTCTTCGAAAAAAATATTCTGAATTGAGGTCTTCAACAACTCTCACATGATTATTATTATTACTAAGCATATACATAAGCAGACAATCGGTTTTCAATCTTTATATTATGTTTGGTTGCCAAGAAGAAGCCAAAGAAACTATATAGATATTCACGATAAGTATTTTCCCTGTGAAAATTTTAGGCAAAAATTTTAATAATCGGTAAATTAATAAAAACTTAATTTTCTCATGAATAATATACTTTTAATATTTTCTTTTTTGTACAACAAAAGTTTTATTCTGGCATATAATAGCAGAAAACTGCGCTTGCGCGCATAAATAAAGGAAGATTTTGACATCACTGTCGCCAAGGATGGGGAGCTGAAGAGGGGAAATAAGGGGAAGGAATGACGTTTCCTAATGCGTCCTATAGGGGGCGAAAATTGGAGTGGGAGTTGAAGGGGGCAAGTAGGGGCGGTGGACTATTCCATTTAGCGAAACAGCTTTTCAGCTTTGTTCATGAATTTAAAATTACATTTTCCCCCTTTTCACCAAAAAAACAGAAAATAATCAAAACATAAGAAAATCACTTTTTCCCTTATTTTGGAAAATAGTCTCTCGAAATGAAACCGATTATCTGCCTTTGCAAAAAAACTTTCAACCTTTTCAGTAATAATATTATTTGTCGGAACTGATACTAAATTCAAGTGTAAATTAATAAACGATATTTAAACACGATTTACAATCATTTTGAACAATTTAGCTCTCACGATACACACAAGAAAAGGCCACTTGCGTTTTAAAACGAATAAATTGAGAATTTACGTCTCAAAACGAGCACCACACGAACACCAACACCAAAGTGGATTTCGACAGGCAATTGCCACCAATCAACGCGCAGCTCTCTCAACCCAAGGAGCCAGTCCTGTTCATCGATAAAACGAGTGAGGAAGGCAGTCTGGTTATTGGAAGAGTCCACAAATAATTATATTCCAAGCGAGCATATATTTTCATTTTCTATATCATCAGAGAAGAAAAAAAAGTCCAAACAAAAATTGAGGTATTTCGCGCACTGAGCTCATTTTTCACGACAATGCAACATTTTCACCAAGAGCTAAATTATTGCCGACGAAAATCACGGATTCAAAACGCAGTTTCCATGACCCAGATAATTAATGGGGATGTTCGGAAGTTGGAATATCTCCCCTTCAGTTGTTGGAAGCGGCGCGAAGAAGTTACAGTGGGTGCGCGCGCACCTTGGCGGCTTGTCGGAGCAGGACCGTAGGAATGGTATGAATTGTCGAACAAAAGCCTCTCCCTTCCTGAATCCTTACAGATATATAGAAGGGGTACAAGTGGCTGGATTGTTTGAAATTCATATGAAAAATTTCAAGAAATTCGCCCTTTTTTAGACATGGTTTTTTTTTATTTCAATTTTTCATTTATAGAAAAGAAAATTTTCGACAACAAAATTTATTTACAATTAACAAGAAAAAATAAGCTATTATTTTTTTAACTAAATTTTATAAATTTTTTTAAAGAATAGAAATTTTCCTTTTTAATAAAATATTTAAACATTTATAAAAAATTGTCAGGTTGCAGTAGAGAAATTGGGATTAAATGGAAGAAAATACATCTATATATATATATATATATATATATATATATATATATATATATATATATATATATATATATATGGCAAAATTTAGGGGCTTGACATTTAAATCAATACTGGGCAATAAATCAATCTTATTTAGCAAGCAGGTAAAAATTACCAAAAATTTTTTCTCAATGGTTTAAAATTTAAAGGTACAGACTTTCCAGTAATGGAAACATCCATGGATGAAGAAAATATTCTTGCCCTCGACGAAATTCGATAACCCTTTTGCGGGACGAAAATGTAATAGAGGAGCTCGCGAGAAAAAAAGAGATCCGCTCGCCGGCGCGTAATACTGGCGAATGGGGTGGATCAGGTTGTCTCGCGAGCTTGATACAGCCCTGATTCCCCACTCTTGTCGTTATCCCGCTATACTGCGAGTCGTTCCTTGTTTGCCTGTTTGCCATCCTAACAAAATCCAATAGTTTGCCTTGTACATCGCGCGGAGACAGTATGACTTTCGTATTTGATTTTTTGAGAAAGCGCGGTGGCGAACCCTTCTTCAAGAAGTACGCAAAATTATGCATTCTATCGTTAAATACAATGTGTCGTCAGTTGTAGTGTTGTAAAAAAGAAAAAAAGTCTGAGTAAACCTGGACCGGCCCCTTCGTTGGGGGTACGTCGAAGTTTTTATTCGATTGCAACCGCAAGAGGTTCTCTTTATACAAAACTATTCGAGAGCATTATTTTTTTTTCGATCATTGAAACGCGTTTTTAAGTCTCGTGATTGAAACACGAAGATCTGTGTGATTCTCTCTATCTCTCTCTCTTCTTTGAGAGAGGAAAAAAAGAAACGCAACGCCACGCAAAAAAAAACGTCAGGTTACACCAGGACAAACGCTGATAAAGAAGAAGAGTGCACGAAAAGTGTAAGTTTACAAGTTTTTTTTCCTTTTTTTCTTGTTGAAAAAATGGTAATGTTTGTAAAGTTTCCCTCGCCCCGGTTTTCCCCTCCCTCCCTCTCCCCCCCGTTAGCTTATCGACATCGTCTTCGTCGGCTTGGAGAAAAGTGATGGTCGTAATAAGTTTTCTCACATCAAAAATGTGTTTCTTGATATTTACGTGTAATATTGCGTAACTTTTAAGAGTCTGTGAGGTTTAGAGTCCTGCTCGATGGAAACACCGAAACTGGCTGGCAGGGACGACCAAAAGCCGTGCGCGTCCATCCCAGCTGGGCTTATCGGGTCGACCCGAGTGCCTCTTTTCCGCAGCGGGATATCGTTTTGATGACAGTGACCCCACACGAGAATTTCAATTCACTAGGTTTTTACATCATTTTCATCGTGAACGAAAAAAATTCAATTAACCTCACAACGAAAACTTGAAAAGTTCTTTTCACTTTGGTTTTTTGACGTAGTGTGCGTATGTATATATATAATGCGTGTGTATAAGTGTACTTGTTACCAGTGTGATAAAAATTTCCTCTTGATAAAATTTCTTAAGTCTTACCATTTTCTTATGTTTACGTTACATTATGTTTCGTTTCCATTATTCACAATTCAGTCCCCTTTCTAGCGCCGTATTTGAGCCGTGTTTGAATTTAGTTTTAGTTGCGCCTCACAAATTCCTGATATAGTTTTATCGGAAACACATTTCACGTTCGTTTCCCACCTTTTTTTTGTCTCTCTTCCTCTCGCTCTCTTTTTCTAGTTACTAAAATAAGGGATATATGAGTGAAAAAAAGTTGTATTTTCGTGTATTAAACGCCCGTGTCCCGCGAAGGCATGGCCGCGATCATTATTCTTTTTATCATGAAAGTTATGCACTGTTTTTTCCCCTCCCTCTCTTCGAAAGTCATCGTGTGTATACGTGTATATGCACAGATGAGAATATTACGCTCGCGTATACAAGTGAATTGCCGCAGTCACGTTGAACGAAATTACCAGCGTTTCCACTTAACTCTCATACCAGAATATATGTATACACACAAATACAATACAATATCCCCCCTCCCATCCCCCCAAAAAAACCAACGAATTTTCATATTCTTGATGAATAAATCTTCCAAATTAAAAATAAATTCCCTTAAAGAATTCCAATATAATCACTTTAGAGAATTTATTCACCAGAAAAAAAGTGTCACATTTTTCTAATTTTGGGGAGAAATTTAAAAGTAAATAGATTAATGAGTGAATATTGATATTTTTTGACAGAAATGTTTTATTTTTTAATTTGAAAAAAATTTTTTTTTTCGAATTCTAATGAATTTATTTATTGTTTTCAGCATTTCCAATGTAATTTGAGATGAAACGTGTTTGTGGGGTGGACGAGGTAGATTCGTCAGCGACAGTGACATTGAAATCATCCTCGATTGGTGGTGGAACAATTTTAGGAAGCGGGGGGGCTAATTTGGATTATCATTCTAGTGCTGGAATTGGAGTAGTATCTGGTCAAACAATTAGACCGATCACGACGAAAGAAATGCCAGGAAGTATTCAATTCGGCACTGCTCAAGCTCAACAGCAATATACAGGTGCAATTGTTATGCCAACAGCAGCTCCTTCACCTGTCAAGGTATCTATCACTTTTCTTTTTTTTTTTATTATTATTACAAAAATCCAAAACAAAAAGAAAAAAAACAAACGAAGAATTCTAATAATCACTCGACAATAAGAAATTTTTATTGAGGTATTTAAAGAGTCGACAGTCTCTGCCAAAAGTTAATCCTGTAAATTGGATTGATTTCAAGCAATTTATTTTTTTAATTATTCTTAATTTTTTTCGTCAAAGAAGAATTTTTTTCTTTCTTTCCTGAGAATAGGTATTGAAAAAAGAGAAAACAATTTTTTTTTTTGTAAAAGTAATAATAATTTGTAATTTATAGAGTCAAAAAATAGTTCTTTGTGCAAAATAATTCAATTTATTACATAAATTAACTGTTGATTGAAACTGTTCTACAATAATTCCCTTTTACGATTTTTTTTCGAAAACAGAAAAAAATTAAAGAAAAGGTTGTGTTATTTTGTAATAAAGTTAAAAAGAAGCAAATAAATAAAATATAATTTCATTATAGACGAATTCAACCATTATTAGTATAAATTATTTTTTCTACATTCGATTATTTAATTTTTTTATTTATTTATAATAAACGGGACAATAATTCTTATTATGACATAAAAGGAAAATAAAAAACACAATACAAGAATTTACTTTTTTCTCTAAAACTAAAATCATAACATTTTGTATTATTTTCTAGAAATAAATTATTCTCGAAATTGTGGCCGAAAGTCGTCTGATTCAATATGAAGAATAAAAACTTGTCTCACAATCCAAATGAAAGACATCGAACTATATTTAAGTAAGGGTTGTTTTTAGGGAAAAGTTAACAATTCATAGAACAATAATTAAATATTATTTACTTAATTTTTAATTAATTTAATTCAATCATTCAATAAATATTAATTATTTACAATTAATATTAATTGTAAACAAACAATTAATTTATTTAATGAACGTAATGAAATAGCAAAATAAAACAAAATAATATAAATAATTTTCTGGTGAATGATTTTAAACAAATTGGAAATTAAAGGGAAATTTTAATAATCGGTTATAATCAACGTATAGAAGAATAATAAAAGAAATAATTATGATGAATAATAATGAAGAAGGAATTTTTGTTTGTTGAAATAAATTTTTGGTAATAATTAAAATTTTACAACAACAAAATTAATTAAATTTAATAAATAGTTTCATTTAATTTTTTTAAAATAATTTTAATAATTTTAAAATCAACCACGAGATTAATTTTATTAACTTCTATTTAATTTTTATAATAATTATCACATATATTCTATATATTAATAAATAATTATATCATTTCTACATTTTTAACAGAACTAAATTAGTAATTTTGTTAATTTTCAATTTACCAGAAAATTACTACTGTCGCTAATTTCTCTCTAAATTAACTAATATATAATCAAATTAATTTAAAAAAAGTACTAATTTTTTCCTTTTTTTATTATTAGTGTTTATTATGTTATTTATTATTATAGTTACTACCATTATAATTACGATAATTATTTATAATCGTTTATTACTCAACTTTATTATTATTATTATTTTTTAAAAAACTTTTTATTCCGTTTTTACAATTATTATTCTATTATTAACCCCTTAATTGCCCGTGTCAAAGATTTTTGCCATCAAATCCTTGCCATTGCCCTTAAGGGGTTAATGAACTACTTGATAATAATATAACTTAATCCTGAAAAGAATCATAACATTTGTCGATGTAAAAAGTTAAATAGAGAAAGTGGAAGAATTTTTCTTTCAAATGCGTTTGAAATAAGAAAGAAATAATAAGATTTGGATTATTAGGAAATCGAGAATACCTAATTTTCTTCTCTCCCTGATCAATTAATCAATCACTCTTTAACCCATTTATATGAGACTTAATTTTTAAATTTTACGTTTTTTAAGGGGAATGTGCCTACGGGAAGTCTGAGTTCAACCTGCAGTGCAAGCAGCATAAATACTGGAGGAGCATTGCATAATACTGGGATAGGAACAGGAGGAAATCATAGTATTGGTCCACAACAATCTGCCCAAGGCTCGCAAGCCCAGCCTCATTCCCAGCAACCTTCTACTATTAGACATAAGGTACTCTAAGGACCTTTCATTTTCAAAAAATCGGGAGTCATTTTTCAATTTTACTGCAATAGATTCTTAGGCCAATTTTTTTCTGTTATTTTTAGTTCATTAATCATCTTTTTCAATTCTTTGATTTTTTCTTTTTAATTTTTTTTAAATCCAATATTTTTTATTATGAATTCAAAGTTTTGTAGCAAATTTTAAAAATTATTTTAAATTCAATTTTTTTAAATGCTCCTAAAAGTTTTGAATTTTCAAATAAACGACGCTATTTTTTACTTCTTTTAATTTTTATTTTTTAATAAAAAAACTAATTTTGTATATTGAAAAAATTAAGTCTTGAATAAGAAAATGTTTCATTATAATTACATTTTTTTGTGTAGTAATTTTTAAAAAAATATTTAAATAGAAAAATTTTTTGTTCATTTGGACGTTCAAAATTTTAGGAAAATTTTTCTAAATTTATAATTTAATGTTTGTTTGTAAATTCGAGAAATTTTATTCAAAATGTAATCATTTTTGTTTGTAAATTTAATAGTTTCGGGAGAATAAGACGTCTTTTTAATTTATTATTTTAGACATATGTAAATATAATTTCAATTGAAAATTTAATAATTTTAGGACATTTTTTTCTAATTTTTCGTTTAGAAAAATTTGTTTAAAATTAATATTAAATATAAATTAAAAAAAGGTTAATTAGGTTAGGGTGGGGCATTACTATTCTTGTTTGGATTTTTGAGTCTAAAAAGGGTATTTAAAAAAAAATAAAAAAAACTTGACTTCTTAGCTACAATTTTGCCATGTATTATTTTGCTGTAACTCGATTGTGTTCCGAACTACAGCGATTTTACGAATTTTTTTTTTTTTTTTTGATGTCGAAAAAAACGAGGGGCGAAACTATTCTTGCAGCTATTAATGATATAATACTAAAAAAAATACAAAAATTAATTTGTTAATTGGAGGAGTCTTTCTCTTCCAATTTCTTACTATTCTAACCTGAAAACAAGCACAAAAAAAATACACTGTTTCGTAGTTTTCGCTGTCATCAGTGGGCGAATAGTTACGCCCCATCCGCCCATTTTTTGAAAAAACACTTGTAAAATTTTTGAACAATAGAATATAAAAAATCCATTATGATATTTGTGTTCAGCACTAAATTTGACTTTAGAAATAATTTTTCCGATAATTTTTCCGACCGTTTATCACTATTTACAATGGCAGACGAAATGAGTGAAAACATGTAAGCGAGTATATCAAAATCACATTTGAGTACCTAACTCTTATGATAGATGGCGCCAGAAGCTCAAATGTGGCGTACAATGTTCATTTCACATGACAAGTATACAGTGTAAAAAAAACTTCAATCGGATGAATAGTTTTCTCTCCAGGACTATAGAATAGTTTCGCCCCGCGAATAGTAATGCCCCACCCTACCCTACTTATTAAAAAAAAAAATTAAAAAATCTTTCTACATTTATATTATTTAAAAATTCTACTTGAAAATGCAAATTAAAAATTAAAATATTTTGACATCTATTTATATTTAAATTCAATTACGTACTGGAAAAGTAAATTATAGTTATAATTGAAATATTATATACACAAATAATATATGAAATTAAATTTTTTATTATTTCTATTATCAATTGTTTAAATTATTTTCATTATAAAAATTCAATTCAATTGTAAATTTCGAAGAAGGCTCAATTCTAATAACCGTAATGGTCATTTTCACTGACAATTTTGTTATGTAAAAATGAGACTTACGTTTTTTCGAGTTAAGCCCTTTTCAAAATTTACGATTCAATTTTATTAATTATTCAAATATTGTTACAAAAATATTGACTTTTTTAAAAATTTGAATTGTTATAAAATTAAAGAAAAGAACTGAAATAATTCACAAATATTGTTAAAAAAAATATTGACTTTCTTAAAAATTTGAATTATAAAATTAAAGAAAAGAATTCAATTAAAATATTTTTACAAAAATATTGACTTTTTTAAAATATTCGAATTGTTATAAAATTAAAGAAAATAATTAAAATAATTCAAATATGTTAAAAAAAATATTGTTTTAAAACTAAAGAAAACAAGAAATAATTCAAATGTTGATTTTTTTAAAAATTCGAGTTGTAAAATTAAAGAATGAACTCAATTAAAATATTTTTACTTAAAAATAATTACATTTTAAAAAAAAATTAAATTGTAAAAAAAGAAAAGAACTGAAATTTTATTTCAACATTTTTAAAAATTTTAATAACTTACTATTTTTTTTTTATTTCAATTATTTTCTTTTTTAAGTTTAATTATTTTTCTTTTCAATTAAATCGTTTTACGTAGAGAGGTAAATTTATATTTGAAAAATAATGTTTCAGATGCATCCTAGTAACGCGCCAACTTTGCCGGTAACGCCGCCGAGCAGTAATTTAAGTGCCGGCACTGGCGGACAACAATTTCAAAGATTAAAAGTCGAAGATGCACTTTCCTATCTTGATCAAGTCAAGTACAAGTTTAGCGATCAACCGCAGGTAATTCACTCTTTTTATGCAAAAAAAAAAAAAAAAAAAGTCAATTTTCGTTTATTTATAACGGAAAAAATAATTAAAAGTTAAAAATAATTTCCGTCGAATAATTAAAAAAAGAACAATTTAAATTTTGTTTACTGTTTTAAAAATATTGGTATTTAAAAAAATGTTCTTTTTATGATTTTTAACAGGTTTATAACGACTTCTTGGATATTATGAAGGAGTTTAAATCGCAAAGTATCGATACCCCCGGTGTGATAAGAAGGGTGAGCCATTTATTTAAAGGACATCCTGAATTGATTGTCGGTTTTAACACTTTCTTACCGCCGGGTTATAAAATTGAGGTCCAATCAAACGCAAAGGGATACGCGTATCAAGTTTCCGTGTGCGTACCAGATGAATCGCCGGCCCATATGGCCACTGTTTCGAAACATCATTGTACCGTGAGTCTCAGTTCGTTTCCGACCTCTCATCCCCCAATTCAATCGACAAAAACGCCACCTGTTCTTCAAAGTATGCCCGGGTAAGTTTATCTATTTATCAAATATAATACTAATCGTAATTGTTGCAAATTAATGAGAATTTTATTTTTTTATTTTATTTTCAGTTCTGGAAATATTCATCATCCACAGGCGAATAATATTTCGAATAATAATATGACGGTGCATGGTCCATCGTCACCGCCAATTCAGCCCTGTAATAATTCGCATGTTGCCGCAGCTCAAGCGCAAGCCGTGAGTCAGGTATTGAGTCAAGCACAAGACGGTGTTTCCAATAGTGGACAAACACAACAAAGTCAACCAGTCGAGTTCAATCGCGCCATTAATTATGTCAATAAAATTAAGGTAGGCATACCTTCTTTCAAAAAAAAGGACAAATTTTAGTCCTTTTAGTCCTTTTTTTAGTTATTTTGAAAGTAAATAATTTTAAAATATTTCACGAATTGGCAACAGTTTTTTTATTATTATTTTAGTATATAAAATTTGTACTTTCATATGAATACAGAAATACTTTCTCTTTATTATGAGATTGGAAAAATTTTTATCTATTTACTTTCAATTTTGAAAACTTTCGTTCATAGAATTTTTCTTTGATTAAAAAATTAATAATTAAAAAAATATTTCACATTTAACAAATTTTCTTCATTTGTAGAAAATTTGTATTTTCATACAAATCCAAAAGTACATAAAAAAATTAAATACTTTCTTTTTATTATGAGAGTAGAAAAAATTGTGTGCTTTTGTTTACAATTTTCGTTCGTAAAATTTTTCTTTGATGAAAAAAAAAATAATTTAAAAAATATTTCATATTGACAAATTTTCTTTATTTGTAGAATTTGTATTTTCGTACGAATACAGAACTACTTTTTCTGTATTATGAGAGTAGAAAAGAATTGTTCATTCATTTATTTACAATTTTGAAAAATTGAAAAGCATTTTTAATTTTTTCTTTGATAAAAACATAATTAACAAAAAATATTTGACATATTGAACAATTTTCTTTATTTGTAGAATTTATACTTTCATATGAATACAGAAATACTTTCTCTTTATTATGAGATGAAAAAAAAATTAGTTAATTTATTTATTTATAATTTTCAAAAATTTTGTTCGCAAAAGTTTTTAAAAAATTTTTAAATTTAAAAAGAAAATTAATATAATTTAATTGTGATGATAAGCAAAAATTTTTGGAAAAATGTTCTAGAACCGATTTCAAAACCAACCGGAGAAGTACAAGAAATTTCTAGAAATTTTACACACATATCAGAAAGAGCAAAGGAATCTAAAACTTTACCAGCATATGGGCGATGGCAGTGGAAGTTCACTATCAAGCACTGGGAAGCATTTGACTGAAGCGGAAGTTTACAGTCAAGTGGCGAAACTTTTTGAAACCCAAGATGATCTACTTTTAGAATTTGGCCAATTTTTACCTGATGCAACGAATCAACAAAGCGCACTGGTGAGTTGCTTTTATTGCAATTTTTTTCGCTCTATGATTTTTCATTCATGAGACAAAAATGAAGTTTTAAAAGTTTATATTTTTATTCTCCGGGACACTTTAAGGAATTGCAAAAAAATTGAAAAATCCTAAAGTTTTAAATGTTTAAACAAACGAAATAAAAATTTCATTTGAAGAAGAAATAATTCTTGTTCAAATTAAATTTGTATTGCAATAATTTTTCGTCAGTATACAAAAAAAATAATTACTAAGTTTCTAAATGCAAAATTTAAGTTTTTCATTTTTATTGTGAACAGCAATTTATAAACATATTTTTAATAAAAAATATTTCGTTTATTTGAATGTGTTAAAAACTTGGGGATCACAAAATTTAATTATTTTTAGTTAGAATTTTCATTTCACTGAATTTTATTATTTTATTTTTTATTATTGCTTAGTATTTCTTCTAGTGTTTAAAGGAATTTAAAATAATTCCAATTTTTTACTTGGCAGAGTATTTTTTTTAATCCAATTTTTACAAAATTGTGTTTTTATGGACTTTTTATTTAACTTACATATATTTAACAGATTTTTTACGTAATCTAATTTTGATTTAATAGAATTCTAATTGAACTGAATTTTTCTGGAGCAGAATTCTAATTAAACTGAATTTTTCTAGAGTAGAATTATAATTGAACTGTTTTTTTCTTTAGCATATTTCTAATTTAACTGAATTTTTCTTTAGCAAAATTATTAAATAAATTTTTCTTCCGGCAAAATTCTAATTTAAATAAATATTTCTTTAGTAGAATTATTTTTTTAATTAAATTTTTTTCAGGTAGAATTCTAATTTAAATGGATTTTTCTAACGTAGAATTTCTTCTTGACCAGAATTCTAATTAAACTGAATTTTTTTAGAGACGAATTCTGACTTAATCGAATTTTTTTAGCAGAATTCTAATTTAGTTGAATTTATTTCACAGAATTCTTATTTAACTGAATTTTTCTTTATCACAATTAAAATTTAACTTAATATTTCTTTATCTTCTTTTTCAACTGGATTTTTCTTCAAGCAGAATTTTAATTTAAATGATTTTTTCTTAAACAGTATTCTAAGTTAAATGATTTTTTCTTAAGCAGAATTCTAATTCAACTGAATTTCTCTTGAGCAGAATTCTGATTAAAACTATTTTTTTAGCAAAATTTTCATTTAACTTAATTTTTCTTGAACAGAATTCTTATTGAACTTAATTTTATTTAGCAGAATTATAATTTAGTTGAATTTTTTCGCAAAATTCTTATTGTACTTAATTTTTTATTGAGCAAAATTCTCATTGAACTGAATTTTTCTTAATCAGAATTCTAATTTAACTGAATATTTAGTAAATTTAGTAAATTTCTAATTAAAAATACACCAATCAGAATTTTCTTTCCTTCGTATTTTTCAAAAATTTTAAGAATTAGTAGGTACAAAATAAAAATACAATAAAATAAAAATTCTGCTACTTAAAATTTCTATTTTTCTGAAGTTTGTAACGTTAAAATAAACGAAAAATTTTTTCTGTTTAATTATTTGGAAAAATTACTGTTATAAAATGAAAAATAATTAAAATTAAACATTTACTTAGTTAAGAATTAATTTTTTAAATATAGGTACAAAGTAATTTTTTAAATGAAAATATCGTTCTCACTAAAATTCAATAGAATATATTCGATTCCATAAAAATTTCTGTTAAATAAAATAATTCACTGTTAATTTAAATTCCATTGAATAAAAATTTCAAGAAATAAAAATACAAACTTGAAATAAGAAATACGATTGAAAAAAATTCTATTAACTTTATTAAAGTCTGTGGTTTTTCATTCTGTCCGTTCGCAGTATGAAGTTAGTTGTTAGTTATCATTTGCGAATTATTATCATGATTTTTTTGTTTGTTTATATTTTTCGTGATGTTTTGACATTTCCGATGTTATGTTATGCGGTAGTGCGGGTGTTTTTAAAAAACGTTAAATTGTGACAAGAATTATTGTGTTTGAAAAATCGTGGAAAAATATCTGGTATCAGGCGAGAGGTTACCGTTTTCAGTGGAAAAAAAACTGTAGATTGGTAAATTCTAATTATTAATTAAAATTTTCTTCTTAATTAAATCATTTATATTATTTCATTTTATTTTGTTAAATAAAAATCTCAAAATAACTTAAAAACAAATTTTATTCGTATATCTTATTATTATTATTATTATTTTTTTTTATTTATAATTATAATTGATAATATTTATTGTATTTTGATTTATTATTATTATTGAAAATTTTATGCATTTTTAAAATCTAAAAAAACTGAAATATCGAATTGTCAATAAAAGTTGTATTATTTTCAATTTTCAACGATTATTAATTTTAATTAAAAAATTCAATTTTCCTGAATCAATAAAAAATATCGTTCTAAATTTTATTACATTGGTCGTTTTCGTAAATTACTGTTCAATAATATTAATTATTCAAAATAATTAATTTTTTAATATTTAATTTTTCAAAAATTTAATTAATCTTCAATTATTAACTTATACAGTGCAGGATCTAGAGTCTAAATTTTTTGGGAAGAGCGATCCCTTTAGTGTGTGCTTTTTTTGATTGCTATTATGAGTGATAATAGCTCCTGGTTCTTTTATGTTTAAAAAATTGTTCGAAATAATTAATTTTTCAAAAATGAAAAAAAAAAATTCAATTGTTTCAAATTTTAATTAATTTTAAAAAAATGATTTTACACAAAAAATTTATTCATTTTTAAAAATAATTGCAATTCAAAATCTATTTGAATTTAGTATTTTAATAAATTACTTTTTTATTATGTTAAAAATAAATTGTTTTTTTTAAATATTTTATTAATTTTTTACAATATTTGAATTTTAAATAATTCAAAAGTCAATTATTAATTATTCAAAAATAAATCAAACAATTTTAATTAATTCAAAAATAAATTATTCTGTTTTTAATAAAAATTTAATTATTTTAAAATCATTGAAAAATGTAATTGTTCAAAATAATAATTAATTATTCAAATATCAAAAATACAATTAATTCAAAATTAAATTATTTCATTTTAAATAAAAAATTGAAATTAATTTATTGGCACTTACGTAAAAAATAAACGTATTTCTGTGTGTGTTTGTGTGTAGAATTAACTTATAAGTGCTTTCTTTTGCAAGAATTAAACTTATCGTTATCTTCTGTTCAAATAAAATATAAAATGTTAACGTTTTTTTTAACACAATATTATAGAAAATAGATTTTCTAAAAAGAAAAAAAAATAATGAACTTAAAAAAAATACTTTAGGCACCGCCTTTCATTTCAACTATTTAAATACTATCAAGTCTTTTAAAGACTATATAAAGTCTTCAAATCATGAAAAATACATAATAAAAAATTGAATTATTCCGAAATAAAATTCAAAAATCAACAAAACAATCAATTTACAATTAGGGCCATTTGGGGTAATTGTAAACAAGGGATAAATGTAAACAATAGATGTTTCAACTAAATTTACAAATTTAAAAATTAGTTTTAAAAACTTGAAAAAAATTGTTCATAAATTTAAATTACTTTAAAAATATCCAATTAAAATTATTAAAGAAACACAATTATTAAACAAAAAATAAAAAATAATTCTTCAGAAAAATTTAATTAGGGTTTCCAAAATTGATTTAATGATTTTTAGCGAAAATTGAATTATTTTCATAAATAATGACATTTTTTGAAGAAATTCAATGATTCTCAAATTTTTTGCAAGAATTTAAATGAAATTCAATATATTAATTTTAATTAAAATTAAAAATATTGAAACATAAAATTATTAAAGAAGATAGGAAACAAAAAAGTAAATTACAACTAAATCAAAGAAGATAGAAGAAGAAGAAGATATTAATATAGAGAGAAGATATAAAGATAGAAGATGTTAATTGAATAATTTTATATTTCTAAAAAAAATGTATTTTTCATTCTTTTTAGCATTTCCATTTTTTAAATTTATTTAAAACATTATAACGTCATAATAATAATTAAAATATCCTTAAAAATAATAATAATCATTTTAAAGAATTGCTATTTTAATAGAAAAAATATATTTATATATATATTAAAACATAAAATTATTAAAATATTAAACAAAAAAAAAATATAAACTGCGAACAGATATTTTCAATTAATAAATAAAAATTTTAATTTATTTATATAAAAAAAGAAAATGCAAAAATATATTAATTAATAGAAGATGAAATAATTTCTTTAATGGCATTTGAACCATAATGACGTCACAATTTGTTCACAGCATTTGCTAAAAAATTGTGACATCATAATGGTTCAAATTCGCTGAAAAAATAAAGTTTTAATTATTTAAAATAAAACGTTGAAAAAAAAATGCACGCGCGCTCGCGCGCGTCAGTTTTTGCTAGTTTTGTAATAAAATTTTCGTGAAATAAAAATTCTAACCAAATTTCAATACATATTTAATTGAATATTTTTATTCAATTGTGAATTGAATTTTGAATATCTATTCTCAAAAAATGGAATGAAACGAAGTTTCTGAATAATTAATCTCTTGCTTCTTTATGTAAAACATAGATCCCTAATTTTCACATCGATGACAAATCTAACACTGATTGGCGCCAGTCTGCTATGTTTCAGACTAATAAAGTTGGTCCTGTTAATGATCATTCAACAATAACAAAGAAACCTATAGGTCTAAAGACTTCGTACAATAATTCGGGTACATTGCCAAGGGATCACAGTGATTCAAGTGGAATAGGCAGTCTTGAACGTGACAATCGTGAGCATCGTGAACGTGAACGCGATCGGCAAAGTTCACGTGAAATTGGCACTGGACAAAAAATTGGCCACAGTACGGGACAATTAAAAAGAAGTCCATCATTCTCGACATCAATGTCAACGGGAAATTCCCATCATATACAGCATGGACCACCACCGACTAAAAAGCACAAGGTCACTTCCGCCCGTGACACTTCGATCGCGGAAGTTGGAAAATACGGCAGCTTGAATGATTATGCTTTTTTCGACAAGGTAAATTCACGTTTGCCACAAAATAGATTCTTTTAATAAATTATTTTCAAAATTAAATATGAAAAAAAATGATTTTTTTCAGGTGAGGAAAGCATTGAGATCGCAGGAAGTCTATGAGAATTTTCTCCGTTGTTTGGTATTGTTTAATCAGGAGATTGTATCAAAGTCTGAATTAATTCAATTGGTGACACCTTTTTTGGGAAGATTCCCCGAATTATTACGTTGGTTTAAGGATTTTCTTGGACATGTACCGGATCAAACGAGTACAACATCGACGAATTTAACATCGCCATTGGGTATTGAGGCATTACCAAATAATGTCGTGCGAAGCCATCAGGATAGACCGCAGGGTGATCTTGCTATGGAAATTGATTATTCGACATGTAAAAGGTTAGGTGCATCGTATTGCGCGCTTCCAAAGTCATATATGCAGCCAAAATGCACGGGAAGAACGCCACTTTGCAAAGAAGTCCTCAATGATACATGGGTGTCATTCCCAACGTGGTCGGAGGACAGTACTTTTGTCACTTCCAGGTAATTATTTCATTTCATTCAATTTATAACAATCTTTAGAGTGACACGCTGACCGGTGATTTTGAATTTTAAGGTTCCTGAAGTTAGCGTCGATGCTTTTTTTTATATTTTTAGTGGTAAAATTTTTATTTAACAAATTTCACTTCTTTCATGCACCGAAGAAGTAAAAAACTTTTTAAGAGTAGGGGAGGATCGTGATGGTTGGTCCATGTTCTAGGTTGTGTCAGCGCATGATCCTAAAGTTCTGAACGTTCAAATGAACGAAATTTATTTATTTCTTCTTCAAATTAAATTTCTATTGCAATAATTTTGAGTTGCAGTAAAAAAAAAATAATTAACTAAAATTTCGAAATGTAAAATTTTTAATTTTTACTGAAATTTTTATTGCAAAACTTTTGAAAATATTCTTAATAAAAAGTATTTCGTTCATTTGAACGTTCAAAAATGTCAGCGCAATTATTCCGTTTTAGTAAAGTAGCTTTATAAATTTGGGCCTACAAATTCTTTCTAAACAACCTTTCGTACAAAAAATATTTTTCGATGCTGAGCATCGGTGGCAACTTCAGGAACTTGAATTTTTTAAAAATAAAAAGTGTTTTTTTAAATAAAAACACTGGTAATTTGGTGAGAAAAAGTAAAAATACTTATTTTAAAACTTATTAATTATATTTCATTAAAAAAGATTAAACGTTCTTCTATAAAAACATTATGTTAAAAAATACTTAAATACATATTCAAGGTTGCCACAGGTCAGGGAAAAATCAGGGAATTTGATCAAAATTACTCTAAAAATATTCAATTTCTAAAATTTCTAGAATCTTAAAGGCAACAGCCTTTAAATAAAAGAAAATATTCAATTAAATTTTAAATTCTTTCTATTTTTAATAATAATTGAGTTTTACAGATTTGAAATTGAATTTATTTCAGATAATTTTGCGAATAATTTTATTTAAAAATTCAAAAAATAATTGAATTTTATAAAAGTTGCACTTTCCATTTTTATAAATAATTGAATAACCAGGAAAACTGTCTACTTAATAATAATAATAATAATTATTATTATTATTATTATTATTATTATTATGTTGATGATTGATTAATAATTGATAGTTAATAATAACATTAATTGATAAATGATCAGTTTAATTATAATTATGTAAATTACAAAATTTTTAATTTTCAAAAATGATCTTCAATTTTTAAATATTTTCACATAGAAAATTAAAAAAAATCAACTTTAATAAAATTCTTCGCAAGAACTTCAATTATTTTCAATATAATTTTAATTAAATTCGTCGAAAAAATTAAGATGATTATAATAGTTTAATTGTTACACAAAAGTTACACAATTTTTAGTTTTTAAAATACCAATGTGCAATTCCACGCCACTTCGACAACGTTTTGGAGTAAGCAAATGGATTTTAATGAAACTCAGGGATTGTAATCTATATGTAAAAAGAAATATTTTCACCAAAAATGAAGTCAAAATATTCGCTACTTTTTGAGATAGCAAAATTTTGAAAAAATTTTGAAATCGTTATATCTCCCATAAAACTTTATAAAAACTAAAAATTTTTTTTTTTTAAATTCAGGATGAAAAAACGAAAAAAAAATGTTAATAATGTTTATATAAAATTTTGTTAATTTTTTCGTTTTTTCATCCTGAATTTAAAAAAAAAAAATTTTTAGTTTTTATAAAGTTTTATGGGAGATATAACGATTTCAAAATTTTTTCAAAATTTTGCTATCTCAAAAAGTAGCGAATATTTTGACTTCATTTTTGGTGAAAATATTTCTTTTTACATATAGATTACAATCCCTGAGTTTCATTAAAATCCATTTGCTTACTCCAAAACGTTGTCGAAGTGGCGTGGAATTGCACCAATAGTTTCATAATTACAATAATATAATTTCTCACCAAATAGGGTTCAAAATTAGGTCAATTGAAACGTTTTTTAATGATCTACAAGTTGATTTCGAGACTTTTAAAGTTACTCCTACATTTTTTAACAAATTTTCAAAAAATTCTTATTTTCCAAAATTTTAGATTTTTAAAAATATGGACGATAAATGAAAATACTCTTATTTTATGTCCCCCGGGAAGACCTACAATTTAAAAAAAATTGGAGCCTACAGCTTTTTCTGGTTCTGAGGTATTGAGGCAAATGTAATGCTAGTATACACACACACATTCGGACATTTTTTAAAAATACGTTTTTTGGACTCCTGAGGTCAAATTACATCGAAATATATCAAAAAATCACAATCGAAAATTTTGCCAATACAATCCTTCCTCTAGGAGAAAGCAAAAATAACTAAAATTAAATATTTTATTTTTTAAAAATTAGTTTTTATTATTATAGGTAGGGGAATGTAGTCAAGGTTGGCCTACTGTCTAGGTAGGCCACTCGCGTTTTTTTGTCAAGTTCACTAGCGCCACCTACGCGCATTTTTGTCGAAGCTTGTCTTAGTGAAACCTAACTTTTTGTTCAATTACATTTTCGGAAAATCGAAAATTGTGTTTTCTGTGACGTCGGTACAAAAAAAGCTCAAAAAAAGTTTTGTGCATAATGTGAAAAACCATTAATAAAAGATAAAAAACAAATTGAATCGTCAAGGCAAGTATGCAGAAAATTTGTGGGACTCATGGTTGAAAGGAAAACAAAGTAAAAAATCGAATCCCGAAACGTATTTCTTTTTGTTTACAACAATTCGGTAATGTTACTTACTGTCAAGGTCGGCCACTATGTGTTTAAAATGCGCAAAGTTGAGGACGAGCTACTTCATTTGCAAAAACTGCAATTCTGTATAACTCATAATATAATTGATCATCTTATTAATATTTTTATTTAATTTTATTAATATTTTAGTGCAAAACTTTTTTTTATTTATATTTATTTTTTTATATTGTTTATTGTTATTATTTTGTTATTTCATTAAGTTACAAACTGTAAACAATAAAGAATCAATTTTCCGTAACTCCAAACATGTTATTTTATTTTTTAACGATTAATGCCCTTTGAATTTTAAACATGGCCGACCTTGACTGTAATGGCTAACCTGGACTACAAATTTTTTTTTTTTTAAATCTTTATAACTTTTTCATTTTTAAACCTGTCAATTTACTTTGTACAGAAAAAATGTTCCTATTAAACAGGACTTTCCAACCATATACTTCAATTGTCCAAATTCATTTTTAAAAAAAAGTTATAAACAAAAGTCAAAAAGGTGGCCGACCTAGACTATGTTCCCCTACAAAATAATTTTCTTTTTTAAAAAAATACAAACTGAAAAAAGTAAAAAAAATGTTCAATTGAACGTTCGAAACTTTAGTAACATTACAGTTGAATATTCATAAATTTTTTAATGTGAAAAACAACATAAAAATAAACTAAACTGCATCTAAATTAATTTAATTTAAGAAGAGTTAGAATTCAAATTTGTAGTTTATTTTAAATTCTAAAAAATTTGTTTCTTTACAACTTTTATTTATAATTTTTCAAGATATAATGGCATATTTGAAAATAATTAAATTGAAAAAATTTTAAGTAATTAAAATTTTGATGTGAAAAAAAATTGTTTTGCTTGTCATTTTTTTCTTTTAAGTATAATTTAATTTTCTTTCTTGGGTCTTGTAGATGGTCTTGTCCTCTTTAAAATCCAGTTTGAAATTTGAAAAAATATTTAAAATTATAAAAATAGAGGATGATTTTCTGAAAATAAATAATATCAATTTTCTCAAAAACACCACCTTTTTTTCTATCCAAATTTTTACTACAAGTTCTAAAAATAATTATGAACATTTCCTATGAATTTCAAGCGGGCTAAACCATTCTGGCAATCAGAAGAACTTTTTTCTGAAATATTTATTTTCGCAAATTTTCAAATTGTTAACTTGCATTTTTAAAAACAAATGAATCGTTATAACATTGTCGACGTGAACGTTAACAATTTGAAAATTTGTGAAAATAAATATTTCAAAAAAAAGTTCTCCTGATTGCCAGAATGGTTTATTCCGCTTGAAATTCTTAGGAAATGTTCATAATTATTTTTAGAACTTGTAGTAAAAATTTGGATAGAAAAAAAGGTGGTGTTTTTGAGAAAATTGATATTATTTATTTTCAGAAAATCATCCTCTATTTTTATAATTTTAAATATTTTTTCAAATTTCAAACTGGATTTTGAAGAGGACAAGATCATCTACAAGACCCAAGAAAGAAAATTAAATTATACTCAAAAGAAAAAAAAATGACACTCAAAACAATTTTTGTTCAGTGTTCATTCGAGTTTTACCACTCAAAGTTCAAATGTGCGTAACATGAAGGAGTATAAGGAGAAGTATGTATATGTATCCCTTTAAGCCCTAAGCACAACTGATAGAGCACTCACAGCTCTGCCTGCCTGCGCAGGCAGTAATTGGAGTAAGAGAGAAAGTCAATTAGAGTGAAAGAGACAGTAAATTCAAATTTGTATGCTGCCTACTAGCTGTGAGTGCGCCTTAAGTCGGGTGCGGGAGACGACTTCAGGCCAACGCAGAATAGATCTGTAACCGGAACCGCAATCGTAACCGTAAACGTAAGAATGAGTTAGAGAAGGATAAACAATATACCTATCCTTCTCTAACTCATTCTTACGGTTACGCTTACGATTGCGGTTCCGGTTACAGATCTATTCTGCGTTGGCCTTTCAGGATATGGGCTTCCTAACCTCAAAATGTATGTAAATCTTACATATCCCGAAACCGTCTCCCGAAACCGAACAGTTGTGCTTAGGCCTTTTGACTGTACTTGACTGCGTAAAATCGCCATGCACGCAAATTGGCATACCGGAAATTTGTTCACTGATATTAGCGCCCCTACAGGAGAAAATATATACCCTCCATGCTGTTCATGATAAGTTTTGTTTACGTAGTTTTTTAGTTATGTACCAAGTTGATAATAACAATAAAATAATAGTAATATGAATTGTTTTATAAAAAATTGCATGTCTAGTTATAAAGCAAATAAAAATGCTTCTTAAAGAAGTGTTTTTTCAAAGCACCGAGAATGATAAGTTTATTTAACCTTTAAAGTGCTATGCCGGTCTGACAGACCGCTATTAAAATTTTCTTTGCTTGAAACTTTTTTTCAAAGTATAATAAGAACTTGAACTTTTTAGTAGCTTCATATTTTATGAAAATCTGTTAGGAGACAACTTTTTCAAAAATTTTTATTCGTTAAATTTTGTAATATAAATAAATATTTGAAGTATAGCGGTCTGTGAGACCGGGGTTAGCTTTAAGTGAAAGTATATTCCAGTACATTCCCATGAGTGACGTCTGCGCAACTTGACGCGCAGCTAGTTCTACTGACAGTTCTCATAGACTGCATTTATAAAATAAATAAATGCATAATACAGAAATGACTTTTTTTGTTAAAAAGTAAAAAATATTTATAATAGTTGTCTTTTAAAAATGATAAATGACTAAAAAACTGTCAGAAGAGAATAGCGGTCTGACAGACCGGGGTTAGCACTGAGCGTGATTTTTCAACACTTAGCACTTTAAAGGTTAAAAAACAAACCGTATCTAGCACGAATCTAGGCCTTCTCATTACTCAACAAATTACAATTTAAAGTTATTAGTCAAATATTTAAAAGAACAAACCCTTGGTTTAAAGAAAGACAATTTATGTCCTTCTTTAATTAAAAGAGGAGAAGTGCATTTGTCCACTATTTAAATTTACAAAAATTTACTGCTGTAGGTTATGTCATGTGTTCTTGTTTACAACCAAAGTACAATTTTTATCCACGACGGGCGTGACGTCCGGGAAAGTAAGACGAGAGGACTTGTAGTACGAAAAGGTGGCACACTTTTCACATCATACTGGCATGACCGTTAAGTCTCCTTATATTACTCCATGGATAAATCTAACACAAACATAACCTACAATTCGCTTGCTTCTTAGATATATACCTTTCTTGGGAGTGCGTCAAAATTATTAATATTAAATTGAAATTAATTCACATAGTCATCTATTTATGAAGAAACTTCCATGTCTCAGTGCACCTTCAAGAAGATCCAAATTTCCCAACAGCAGCTTAACACTTTCACAAGAAAACACTCAAAAATATTTTTCACAAATTCATAATAATTACCCGAAATTTTAATATTATTTTCGAAAAATTAGTGTTCACGCGTATCAATTGAAACGAAATTTTATAAATTTTAATGACGATTAATATAATTATTTGGAAGAAATCAACAGTGTGATTTCATTTATTTCCCTTTCTTAAAAAATATTTTTCTAGTCACTTGTTTTTCGTGAAAAAAATGCCCTATATTCGCGAATAGAACAACGTTAACAAGTTTAAAGAATTAAAAACGATAAATATTTATTATTCGTTAACAAGTTGCCTCGGAATCCTCGGTTTAACAGGATCTTAGAGGCTGATTTTTAGTTCCGGAATATTTACATAATTAACCGGGATTTTACAATATTTTCGAGCTTAGTGCTCGTGACAAGTAGAATTTAAACTCATTTTGATTAATTTCATCTATAATTGTTGTTTATTCGTAAATTATTCAATTATTATTTTGATTCAACAATTTTTATTAAATTCTATAATTTATTATAAAAAGTTTTTTTTAAGTACTGTTCACATGCACGATGACAAAAGAGCAATGGCGGAAATATTTAAATTTAAACATTTTTGTTAATTTATTAATTATTAGTAATTTAATCTTGTATAATTTCAAAATTAATTGAATTGTAAAAGAGTTGCATCTACAATAATTTCATAAGTAGATGAACTTCAAAATGTTTCAATTCGAAATATTTATAAAATTTCAATTTTGAATGAATTTAATTGAAAATTTTAAAGAAATTAGATTTTTGAAAAATTTTAATTATATTCAAATTCATCTGAAATTAGTTAAATTTTTTAATGTAATTAATAGAGGTGTGCAAAAAGCTCGAAACCCGAAGCTCGAGCGGGTATTTTCGAGCTTTTCATTTTTCGAGCCGAGCCGAGCCGAGCCTATTCAGTTCGAGCTCGAGCCGAGCTCGGGCCGAGCCGAGCTTTATAAAAAACTCGAATAATTTCGGGTACTCGAATTTTTCGGGTACCCGAATGTTTCGGGTACTCGAAAATTTCGGGTACCCGATACATCGAGCCCGGCTCGGGCTCGGCTCGACTCGAAAAAATTGCGGCCCGGCTCGGCTCGGCTTTTCGAGCTTTTTGCACACCTCTAGTAATTAATTATTAAAAATAATGGATTCAGAAGAATTTTATTTAAAAACACTCAAAAAATTGAATTTTTGAGAAGTTACAAATTATTGCAGAATTTCAATTAATTTGAAAAATAATAAAATTTTTCGTAGAAAATCAATTATGTTCAAAACTTTAAAACAATTCTCGTCAAAATTTCAATTATCTTTATAAATAACAAAATTTAGCTCCAAAATTTAATTATCTTTATAAATAATAAAATTCTTCTTCAAAATTCAATTATCTTCAAAAGTTTTACAAAATTATTAACAAAATTTTAATTATTTTCAAAAAATTTCCTCAAATCAATGATTTTCAATATCTAATATTTTAATAAAATTTTTCAAAACAATTCAATTATTTAAAAAAAATTTTGATAAAATTCGACGAAAACAGTTAATTATTTTCATAAATAATAAAAATTTCGCAGGAATAGAATTATATTATATAATTAAATAATCGAAATTTCGTAAAAATGAATTGTAAAGAAATGGATTTGAAAATTCTCAAAGAACTTTTTCAAAAATTATTGAAAATAATTGATTTAAAGGAGAATTTTAGTTGAAAATTCTAGAAAATAATAATTGAATTGAAATAATAAAAAATAATTTTTAAGAAGTTACAGTAACAATATTTTTATAATATAAAATAATGATTTTATCACTCAGTCATCTTCAATTATTATAAAACATAAAGAAATCATGTTTTATATTAATATTCTTATAAGTTATTCAATTTTTAAAAGTTTGAATTTAAAATTTGTGAAAATCTTAATTCCTATGGAAGAATAGAGATGTCTAATGTGACGTCACCTCAGTCGGTATAGTCGCAGAAAGTAGAGCGATTATCTTCCAGGCCCCAATGTAACATTGGCTTATATGGGAGATTGCAGAAAATAATTTCTTTCTCTAAAATTGAAATAAAAATCATGATAACCAAGTGTGATTTGGATAAAGTAATGATTTTCACAACACATACGTATTTAAAACTAAGTTATAAATTTCCCAAAGTTTAAAAATTACAAAATACCAGTTCTAGCAGACGAAATTCTCTTCTGCTAGTTCTGCTAGAACTGGTATTTTTTAATTTTTAAACTTTGGGAAATTTATAACTTAGTTTTAAATACGTATGTATTGTGAAAATTTTTACTTTATCCAAATCACATTTGGTTATCATGATTTTTACTTCAATTTTAGAGAAAGAAATTATTTTCTGCAATCTCCCATATAAGCCAATGTTACATTGGGGCCTGGGAGATAATCGCTCTACTTTCTGCGACTATACCGACAGAGGTGACGTCACATTAGACATCTCTTATTAAAAATGAAGTTATTGATGTTTTCAAATAATTTTACAATTAGAGATATTCGTAAATAAATGTAATAGAAAATTTTTTGGGCTATCTAATCTTTTTTAGATTGAATCGAAATATTCTTTAGGTTCAGGGAAAAAGTGAAAAAATTTTGTTTGGAAATCAGGGAAAAACAAAATTAAATTTTTGTGGCAACCTTGTAATAGATTAATTAATATTATTACTAATTAAATGAAAGGACTGGAACCCGTTTCTGTTTGTAAATAACTAAATTGAAACATAATTTGAAAATAAATTATTTTCTTTTTTTTCCAGAAAAACACAATACGAGGAATTTATTTATCGCTGCGAAGACGAGAGATTTGAATTAGACGGTGTAATTGAGACAAATGCGGCAACAATACGAGTTTTAGAGGGTGTGCACAAAAAAATGAGTCGCATGAGCCAAGAGGAATTACAAAAATTCAAACTCGACGATTGTCTCGGCGGTTGTTCACCGACAATACATCAACGCGCTGTAAAAAGGATATACGGCGATAAGGCGGCCGATATTATTGATGGATTAAAGAAAAATCCAATGATTGCCGTACCCGTTGTTTTGCGACGCTTAAAAAATAAAGAAGAAGAATGGCGAGAGGCGCAAAAAGGATTCAATAAAATATGGCGCGAACAAAATGAAAAATACTATCTGAAATCATTGGATCATCAAGGTATAAACTTCAAGCCAAACGATGTCAAAGCATTAAGGTCAAAGAGTCTCTTTAATGAAATTGAAACACTTTATGACGAGAGGCACGAGCAAGTTGACGATAATAATGGCGACAATCAAAATAGTGGCGGTCCACATTTAATATTCTCGTATAAGGACAAATCCGTCTTGGACGATGCAGCGAATCTTTTGATACATCACGTTAAACGGCAGACTGCAATTCACAAGGAGGATAAGCAGAGGATAAAACAATTGTTGAAGCACTTTATTCCGGATTTATTTTTTCATCAGCGGCAAGAATTGAGTGACGATGAGAGAGACGATGATGAGGATAAGGATGAATCGGGTATTAGTTGCGGTAATAATACATCAACGGGCAATGCAACATGCTCCGTTGGTGGCCTTCAAAGCAGTAGACATAAATGTACATCGTCACCGGCTCCGTCTTCCACGACAACGATTAAAATTGAACCTGACATTAAATTACCAATTCATAGTCTTTCAACTGATCCCGAGGAGGAGTATGTTCTGTTCATGGCGAGCAATAGTTGGTATCTGTTTCTCAGGCTTCATCAAACACTCTGCGAGAGATTAACGAAAATGTATGAGAGAGCCGTTGCTCTCGCTGACGAGGAATCTCAGTATAAGCAACAACGAAAGGAGAGTACCGCTGTCGCACTGAGATTGAAACCCAAAAGTAAGTTTAAATATCAATCTTTTTTATGTCAATCGGGCTGTTATCTTCTCAATCAAATTTTTACTTAAAAATATGTTTTTTTAAGCAATTTTCACTTAATAAGGAAGAATCCAACAAAGAATCTGAAAGAATCGGAACAAAAGATGAAACTAAAGTTACCATCGTTTACGTCGACAAAATTAAATAAAAAAAGATTACATTTTTCAGTTATTATTTTGTAAATTAAAACATTTTATACTTTCAAGAATAAAAATCAGTTTTTAAATGATTACAGATTCAAAATTTTAAAAATTCACGTATTAAGTACATAATATTAAATATTCTTGTTTATTATTATGCAAAAATTTTAATAAAAATTTTTCGCAAGAATTTCATTATTCTCATAAATAATATTTTTAAGAGAGAGCAATGCATATTTTCAATAAAATTTTAATTAAATTCGATTATTTTCAAGAATTTTAATTTAAATTCAATTATTTTCGACAATTTTGATGAAAATCTTTTTTAAAAAATCATTATTTTCAAAATTTTTATTAAAATTCTTTCATAAAGAAGAAAATTCTTCTCAAGAATTAAAATATTTTCATAAATAATAAAATTCTACAAAAGAATTCAATTATTTCTAATACAATTTTGATAAAATTCCACGAAAGAATACAATTATTTTTAAAAATATTATTTAAAATTAATTATTTTCAAGAGTTTTAATAAAAGTTTAAATAGTTTCAACAATTCTGATAAAATTCTTCGAAGCAATTCAATTATTTTCAATACAATTTTAATAAAATTTATCGAAAGAATACAATTATTTTTTAAAATATTATTTAAATTCAATTGTTTTCAAAAGTTGTAAAAAAAATTAAATTATTTTTAACAATTTTGATCAAATACTGTGAAACAATTAAATTATTTTTATAAATTGTAAAATTCTTGGCCAGAATTCAATTATTTTCGTAAATAATAATATTTTTAATAGAAAATATTTCGTTCATTTGAGAGTTCAAAATTTGTAGATCATATCATCATATTATTTATGAAAATAATAAAATAATAAAATTTGAAAAAATAATTAATTCTTTCAAGAAATTTAAATGAAAATGTATTGAAAATAGTTGATTCTTGCAAAGAACTTATTATGAAAATTATTTATTATTATTATTTATGAAAATAATAAAATAATAAAATTTAAAAAAATACAAATTTAATTATTTCGAAGAAAATTTTAATTCTTCAGATTAGTTAAATTAAAAATTTTAAATTGTTCTGAAAATAAATAATTTTCTCTAAAAGATGTTAACAAAATTTTTAAAAATAATTGAATTCTGAAGAATTTTATTATTTATGAAAATAATTTAATTCTTGCCAAGAATCTTATTAAAATTTTTTTAAATAATTTAATTGTTTCAAAGAAAATTAAAATTCTTCCGAGTAATTTAGTGTAAATTGTATTAGAAATAAATTAATTCTTACAAAAAATATTATCAAAATTTTTTAGATGTAATTGAATTCTTTCATCAAATTTTATAAAAATTTGTAAAAATAATGGAATACTTTCGTGAAATTTCATTTAAATTGTGTTGGAAATATTTAAATTTCTGCGAAGAGTTTATATTATTATTTATCAAAATAATTGAATTTTTGTGAAGAATTTTATTATTTATGTAAATACTTGAATTTTTTGGTAGAATTTTATTAAATTTTTTTTAAATAATTGAATTATTTCAAAGAATTTTATGAATATTGTAGAAATTAGTTAATAAGTTGATATGTGATTTTTTTTAATTTTGAAGCTGAAATCATTCAAAAATTGTAGTTGATATTCGAAAATAAAAAAATTTGAAATTCGCATAATAATAAGTCAAATACACCGCGTTTCGCGCGTAATATTTGTTAGTTGTACTTAAACTAAAAATCAAATATATTTTAGACATTATTGAAAACTTGAAATTGAATAATTATTTTCTTCAGAAGGTAAACTTAAGTAAAAAAAATATATAATGTCTATGTGACAGTTTTTATTTAATTAAATTTCTATTCATTTGAATCATTAAATTAAATTTACATTTAAAAAAATTCAATTACATTTAAAGGTTATTTAAGTAACAAAAAATGTCATTTATTAATTTTTTTTTATTAAATAGATTATTATTAATATTTTTATTGGAACAAATTTTCACTAATTTGAATTCTTAATTAACAAAAGAGAAAATAGTTAGTCTACTTTTGGAAAGAATTGGAAAGATTTGTAAATTTTTCCATTGTTATTTTTTTTATTATAATAATAATTGTTCTTAAATATTTCTATTTCTATATTAACACAATCATCTTCTTTTTTGTTGCTCTCGCAGGTGAGATTCCAATAGAAGATTATTATCCGGCATTCTTGGATATGGTAAAAAATGTACTGGATGGTAATATGGAGAGTACGGCGTATGAAGACACACTTCGAGAAATGTTTGGTATTCATGCCTACATTGCATTCACCTTGGACAAAGTAGTCATTTATGCTGTGAGACAAGTATGTATTTTATTTTCTCGCAATTAAAATAATTCTTCTTTAGTGTTAACATTTCTGATGCTTTTGTACTTTTAATTTCATCAGTCAATTTTTTTTCAATGTTTGTAATTGCTTTTTTTGTAAATATTTCTGTTTTTAATTATACTTTAAATCATTTTCTACTTTGATTTACATTATTTTTTTCATTTTAATTTAATTTTCAAACATTTTAAAGAATTTTCTTTTTCTTTTATTTATTTTCATAAATAAAAGAAAAATTTTGTAGAAAACAACGAGTTTTTGAGTTTTAAATTATTTGAGAATTCTTTTTTGTAATATTTGGATTAATTATATTTAAATTGGAATAAATTTTCAGTTACAGCATTTGGTATCCGATCCAATTTGTCAACAGTGCATGGACCTTTTTCAACGGGAGCAAAGGCAACCAAAGGAAAGTAGTGGTGCTGGTGGACTTTGTATCACGGCATATCTTAGAATTGGTGCTGAAATGGCCTATCATAGGAAAGCCGAAAAGGCCATGGCGGAGGAAAACTGCTTCAAAATCTACATTGTAAGTATTACTTTTCATAAAATAATTATATAAGCAAAAATTTCTCTTTTTTTCGATATAAAAATTTTCTCTATCGACTATGTCTTGGTCTTTTAAATCAGTTATTATACTTTTTATTAGAAAATATTTTACTTTTTTCGTATTTTGTTTTTCTGCTTTCTTTATATTTTTTTGTATTTTTTTTGGGGGAGAGATTTTCGGTTCTTTAAAAATTTGAATACCAACTAAAGAAGGAAAAATTAAAAAAAAAACCAAAAAGTAATGAAAAAACTAATTTTTTCATTACTTTTTGGTTTTCTTTTTGGAATTTTTCCTTCTTTAATTAAAGATGCATTAAATATTTACTAAAAATTGGTATCTATCAACTAAAAAGAAATAACGAGAAAAAACGATTTTTGAAAAAACTACAAAACAATATTTGAAATAAACATGATAAACCAATTTTTTTTCTTTTTTTCTTTTTGAAAATATAAAATTGCTTGTAATTTTTTGACGCGCATGCTCTTGTGTTAATCTACTCACGCCTCCTCACGCGACATTCTCTCTCTCTCTGTCTTTTTCTCCAATTTATAAAACCGAGATTGTAGTATTAGTGTGCACTTTATGTACAACGAGCGTGGCACGGTTAATTGAGAGATGAAACGGAAGAACGATTCTCTTTTACGAAATACAATTTCGTCCCTCATTGTCTCATACATACAATTTCAATCACAACAAGAATAATCGACTCTTTTATTTGCCGTTAAATCTATTGATTTTTTTTGTATATATACAAGTGCAATGAAAAAAGTAAGAGAGAATTTTCTACTCAATTATCATCATTCTATGTTATTAAAAAAGAAACAAAATTCCATTGTCTCTAGATTAATAATCAAGATTGTCAAATAGACATAATATGATTTAATTATTTCATTAAATAAATTGGGTAATAATTCGGAAATTGATGCTAAATCGATAGTGATATTTTATAATATTCATTTTAATTTGATAATTAATATTTAATTAGTAATTAATTAATAAATAATTATTTAATAGTCAAGTAATTTATAATTTAATTTAGTAATTTAAACTTTTAATCTTCTATCTATATTAATAATAATTGTTGTCGGTAATCTTTTCGCAGTTTAAAGTTCGTCGTTTTTGTTTGCTTTTTTGTTTCAAAACTTTTTTAATAATTATTCTTTTTAAATGTGTTGAATACAAGAATTAACGAGATTCTAACTTTGAAGATTAAAGAATAACAAGAATTAATTGAGAAAAATTGTTTTGAATTAAAAATTATGTTTTAATTTGTAAATTTAATTCTAAAATATAAAAATATGAATATTTTTATATTTTAGAATGTTAAATTAAATTTTTCTAAATTATTGTAGAAAAATTAATTTGTATTAATGAAAAATTCGATTAATGTTATTTATTTTATAAGAAATACTGAATTTTATTTATTTTAATGTTCAGTTCTATGTATAGAACTAAAAAAATTTATTTTGATAAATTTAATATCTCCACTTTTGTTCTAATTAGTTAAAATTTTTACTAACTCGGATTTAGAAAATAATTTTTGTGATACTATTTTTACAAAAAAATTTAAACTATTTCATTTTTCAAAATTTTGCTTTAATAAGTGAATTTATTTTTCATTTTAGTGAAAACTTTTTTGTTAAACAAAATTTTATAATTTTTGAAACATTTATAGTTATCTGAAACAATTTAATTCTTTCAAATTTTTGAAAATAATTAAATTCTTAAGAATTTTATTGAAAATATAAACAAAAATTATATTCTTTCGAGCAATTTAATTTCAAAATTGTATTGAAAATAATTTTAAATATACATACAAAGAATTTTATCAAAACATTTAAAAAGAATTGAATTTTTCGAAAAATTTTATTTATTTATTTATTTACCATAATAAACGGGACATGCCCTTTCGTACAAAAGTACTTAAAAGAATAAAATTACAATAGTAATTACAAAATTTCATAACTAAAATCTAGGCTGGCTCAACATTATCGAAACTTAAAACTAATAATCTACGCAATGCTAAAGTAAATCTCTACTGTAAATTATTATCAAAAAAATTAATTCGATCTGAGATTGTATTAGCTTCTCTATTAATCCAACAAATAAGTTCATTATTTCCATAATTCGTTCTATGATAGTTTGCTCGGAAAGGTACAAAATGTCTAGTAATTCTAGAAGGAACAGCTAAATTGATCATTGATAAAAGAGCAGGACATAAAATAAACCCATTCAAAATTTTATACAAAAGCAATAAATCATTAAGAAGAAATCTTGACAAAACCAAAGGAACATTTAGCAAACTACGAAAATCATTATAATCATGGGCATGACTGTCAAATGGTAAATTAAGTTGCCTTGCAGCAAACCTCAAAAATCGATTTTGAACTCGTTCAATTCTAACAATGTTAAACACATACATCGGTGACCAAACAACAGAAACATACTCAAGAATCGTTCTGACAAGCGTAAAGTACAATACTCTTAACACATTAATATTATGAAAAACTGATGCTGTTCTCATTACAAATCCTAAAGATTTAAGGGCTCTCGAAACCACCCCAGATATATGATCATTAAAAGAAAAATCATTATTAAATAATAATCCCAAATCTGATATTTTAGTTCTTCTAATTATTTCTTCACCACCAATTGTATAACAATACACCAATGTATTTCTTTTTGAAAAAGAAATAACACAACTTTTATTGATATTAACAGTCATATGATTAAGGGAACACCAATCATCCAAACGATCTAAATCTTGTTGAAGTTCAGAGCAATTTAGACATGGATCAGTAGGACCAATAATCCTATAACACTTAAGGTCATCAGCGTATAAAAGAAAAAAAGAATTTCTAAAAACCAAATCAATGTCATTAATATATAAGATAAATAGAAGTGGTCCAAGATTTGATCCTTGAGGAACACCCGATGTTGCAAAAAAAGGATCTGAATAGGCCTGATCAATTCGAACAACTTGACACCTGCCAGAAAGATAGCTTTTCAAAAAACAAACAAAATCAACAGGCATGCCCATAACTTCTAACTTTCTCAGCAGAACATTATGATCAACTTTGTCAAATGCCTTGCTCAAATCAGCATAAATCACGTCAACCTGACCACCAAGTTCAAGGTTGGTGCTCAGGTAATTCACAAAAATTCCAAGATTAGTCAATGCAGATCGACCCCTTACAAAGCCATGTTGTTCATTAATAATAATATTCGATACAGTGTCATATAATGAATCAAAAATTATACTTTCAAATATCTTAGAAAAAACATTTAAAATTGATATTGGTCTATAATTCTCAATATTATTCTTATTACCACACTTGTAAACAGGGACAATGATCCCTCTTTTAAATTTATTGAAATTAAAAAAAAATCAATTCTTTCCGGAAATTTTATTAAAATTATATCGAAAATAATAAAAGTCTTCAGAAGAATATCATTATTTATGAAAATAATTGAATTAATTGAATAGAATTTTATTAAAATTTGAATTTAATTCTTCCGAGAAATTTTATGAAAATTGAATTGAAAATAAACGAATTCTTATGAAGAATTTTATTCAAATTTTTGAAAATATGTAATTGAATTCATTTGAAGAGTTTTATCAAAATTTAAAAAAAATAATTAAATTCTTTCGATAGATTTTATGCACAAAATACAAATCATTTCATAATTTATTAAAATAATTGAATTCTTATTAAGAATTTGATCTAAATTTTTGAAAATAATTGAATTCATTCAAAAAATTTAATTATTTACGAAATAATTGAATTCTTTGAAAGAATTTTATCAAAATTATATAAAAAATAATTGAATTTCTCAGAAGAATTCCATTATTTATCAAAATAATTGAACTTTTTGAATAGAATTTTTAATTTTAATGACATTTTTGAATATGCATAATTGAATTGTTTTGAAGATTTTTATTATTTATGAAAATAATTGAATTCTTTTGAAGAATCCCGTGTGGAAAAGTGGTGTTGGCCCACGCCGGGGGCCCGCATGGATCGCCCACATCCATGAGGGGCCCACGTGGGTGATCCAGGCGAGGCCCCTCATGGAAACGACATGTTGATCGAAGAGGGCGCCCTCGTCGGCCCCCTGCGTGGCCCTCGCGTTTACCCTCATCTTTGCCCTCGACTTACCCTCGACTTTATTTTTCAAAATTAAGTTAATAAATTAATTATTTATTAATAACAAGCAAGTTCAATTATTAATAAATAACATTGTTATTTAACGATTTTTACTTTTTTTAATTAAATCGTGACCAAAAAAAAAAAAATCTGACGCACTCGGGAATAGAACCTACGACCTACGGACTATCAGACAAAGGCTTTACCACTGTGCTAAAGGACTTACTTGAAAATTATTGCCTTATTGTAGGTGACTTGCTGACTTGCTTTTGAGGATTCAATAAAACATTGTTGACACTAATACACAATAACAAAAAACGTGTTTTTCATTGTTTAAAATCATTATAATCATTAATTTTTGTTATGTAAAAAAATATTTTTTGTTTGGACTTAGAAATTTTTGCAAGTCAATGCTGTGGGCGATCCATGCGGGCCCCTCGCGTGGGCCCTCAAGGATTTGCCCTCATGTGAGTTTTATATTTTTTAAAAAGTAACATTAAATATTTGTTAAAAACGTGTTTTTCATTGTTTAAAATCATTATAAACATTAATTTGTTGTTGTAAAAAAATATTTTTTGTTTGGACTTAGAAATTTTTGCTAGTGAATGATGTGGGCGATCCATGCAGGCCCCTCGTGTGGGCCCTCAAGGATTTGCCCCCATGTGAGTTCAATATTTTCAAAAAAATGTAAATAATTTTATGTGAAATATGTGTTTTTCATTGTTTATAATCATTCTAAACATTAATTATGAAGTAATAACTTAGAAATTTTTGCAAGTCAATGATGTGGGCAATCCATGCGGGCCCTCGGCGTGGCCCACATGGATCAGCCCTCACGTCGTGTGGGCTTGATGGGGGCTTTTTCCACACGGGATTTTTAAAAATTGTATTTAAAGTAAATGAATTTTGTATAAAGAATTTTATCCAATTTTTTAAAAATAATTAAATTCGTTTCGAAGAATTTAATTATTTATGAAAATAATTGAATTCTTTTTAAAAATTTTATTAAAATTATTTCAAAAATAATTGAATTCTTTAGAGATTATTTTATTCAAATTAATATCGAAACTAATTGAATTCATTGGAAGAATTTTATTTTTTATTTTATTTATTAAAATAATTGAATTTTTACCAAGAGTTTTTATTAAAATTTTTCAAAGTAATTGAATAGTTTCGAAAAATTTTATCAAAGTATTTGATAATAATTGAATTCTTTCGAAGAATTTTTCTATAATTTTTAAAGATAATAAATTATAATAATAATAATAAATTAATTAATTAAGAAGTGAACTTTTTTGAAAAATTTTGAATCCAAAATTATTAAAAAATTGTAATAGGTATTTGAAAATAAAAAATTTTGTGATTTGTATTATATTAAATTAAATATGTACCGCGTTTTGCGATTGTAACTTTTGCTTTTAATTAAAAAACTACAATAATTTTAATGGAAATAATCAAGATAATATAAATAAAATTAAAAAACAAAGAAATCCAATAAGTAACAAGTACTTATTAATAAATATTTATAAATTTGTTGTATTAGTAGCATATTATTTAGTAGCATTAAAGTTAACTTATTGAATTAATTTAATTAATTTCAATTAATTAGATGAATATTTATACTATTTTATGGGATGCCACTAAATAACCTAATTTAAATTTACTTAATTGAATAAATTCATTATTTTTAATGAATAGAAATTAATTTCTAATAATTAGATGGATTAATATTCATCTATTTAATTAATCTGAATTAATTGTGTTGAGGAAGTCCAGGCAAATGGAAACAATATTTAGATACTTTACTTAGTGTTTATATATTCAAGAAACTACAATGAGAAATACAAAAGGTTTAAACGAATAAAGTCCAAGCACAAAATGTTCATTAGGCGCGCACGTAAGTCAGAGCCGAACAGAACTAGTGAATAGACGAACAGTCCTATACAAAAGACAACTAGCGCCGGAAGCTAGAGGTTGGATCACAACGTCCGGAATTTAAATCTCCAACAAATTGAAATTAATTAGATGAATATTATTTTATATTTTCTAAATGAAATAAAATAAAATTATTTATGTAGTTTGAAATAGGTAATTAAATGAATAATTATTTATTTTTCTAAATTGCAGTACAAGAAAAATTGTAAAATGACGATAGAGATGTTGGACACTGAGGGCGATGATAATACGGATGGAAATTCACGTGAACGTGATCGTGAATCGGTGGCGGCAATGGAGAAATGGTCATCGTATGTAGAGAGATATTCGACGCCAACGGGGGGCCAAACGAGTCCAAAGGACTCGCATTCGTTGCCGGATAATGAGCCACCTACCACCAATCAACCTGTGAGTAGCGACCAGGCGGCAAGGGGGGGGAGGGGCAGAAAGCGCAAGAACACCAACACCACTGACATTAACAAGAAGGTATAGGACTCACACCCCTTTCAATTGCCATCGTTGTAGATTGCGTTTCCTTTGTATAAAAAAAGAAAAGAAAATTCGGTATTGTGATTTTTCAATCTGTAAACTCTACTTACATTTCATACACACAACTCTTCTCTCGCCCTTCGAATTCCAATTTTTCATACATTCGAGAGAATAGATTTTTTTAAAACAATCGAGATTTACCCGTGTTACATATTTTGACAATCTATCAATTTCAAATCAAACAAATTTAGATTTTCTCCAACATTCAAATTTCAATTGACGATCCAATTTCCAATAAAATAATTTTTGGAAATTAACGCGATTATATGTATATAGAGATTTTTTATTATAGTTTCGTTATTATTTTTTTTTTTTTAATTATTCTTTAGTATTACATATCTCGTATAATATTGATATTATTATTATTATTATTATTTTGTAGCTAAGTTATTGAATTGTAAGAGAGTTTAATTTTTATCTGTTTAAGAAATAATAATTGAATATCATATGATCTCAGTCCAGTCATAATAATTCATTTTTGTCGAGTTTTTTCATATTATTTTTGTTATTTAAGAAACAAAAAAAAAAGGAAAAAAAATGAAGTTTGCTAACGTCAAAGTTCACGAGGTTCTCGATTGTTTACATTATTATTAAACATCTTGTGTATAATATCTCGTTCAAGACTTTTTTTCGTATCCTAGATAATCGAATAAATAATTTAGATTACGTGCGGTAAAAAGAAGGAAAACCCAAATAATACTCAATTAATTTGTTTTCTTTTACATTCTCATAAACGAAGAAGGATTAATTCCCTGTTTTCTTCATTTTTGTTACTATTATTATTATTATTATTGTTGAGGAAAAAACAATTCGTTTTTAAAAATTAAACACATATCGAGGTGGGGATTGAATATTTTTTAATTACGATTCTTTGAAATTTTACTCTGAAGCTGATTTTTAATAACTTTGCATTAATTATGAAAAACTGCGTGAAATACTCGAAACAAGTTAATTAATAAATTAATTTGATTACTTATGAAAAAAAGAGTAAATTTAAGTCATAATTGAAATTAAATAGAAATTAAAATCGAATTTTTATTTAATTATTGTTTCTGTATTTTTTTGCTGAGATTTAATTTTAATTTTAAAATTAAGTTCTTAATTTTTTTGTAAATTTTAATTGTTTGTCAATGTAAATTTTCGATTTTTCGATTTAAATTATTATTGATTTTTAAATTTGAATAATTTTTTATTCAAATCAGTTTAATTTTTTGAATTATTTTGTCTATTCTGTGAATTATTCTTTAAAATATGCGAATAATTTATTTTTAGTATTTCAAACCTTTTGACAATTATATGAATATTTTTTTAAGTCATTGTTCAATTAGTATCATTAAGTTAATAATTTTGGTAAATTATCGTATTTATTTATTTGAATTATTCTATTAATTATTTGATTTAATTTATTATTTGTTTTAATTATTCTGCTAATTATTTTGAACTATCTAATAATTGTTCGATGAATTAATCGATTCTTTGAACTAATTTTTAATTCGTTTGAATTAATTTTTAATCTAAGTGAATTTTTAATTTCTTTGAATTAGTTTTTATTTAATTTCTATAAATTAATTGTTTTTGAATTATTCTGATAATTATTAAAATTTTTTTTTTTTTTTGACAACTAATTTTATTTATAAAAATTATTTATCGTTTGCTTTCATTAATTTAAATAACAATAAATTTTCGTACAAAGTAATTTTCAAATAAATATTCACTTTAGAAAAATGGATATAAATAGAAATTTTTAAAAACTTCAGAGTAAAATTTCATTTTTTTCTTTTTTTTTTTGTATTATTTCTCTCCCCTCATTTTCGGACCTAACAATTTAAAAAAAAAAAAAAAAATTTCCCCCTTTCCCATAATTCATTAGCTTTCAATGAATTTTGTAAACGTTAAAAATAGTTTTCGTACATACTTTGGAAAATGAAAAAAACATAAAATCCAGGTGTGTTTAGAATATTGTATGAAAATTTAGTCAAAAGGAAAAAAGTACACAGTTGAATACAAAAAAAAAGAAAAACGAAAATCACCTGAAAAAAAATTAAAATGTATAATGATTAAATTATACATAAAAAATGTAATTAAATAATTTATATATACATTTATATATAGAAAATACTTTTTAAAAAAAAGTCTTTGTTACGGTTCGTTCTTCTTTTTTTAATTAATTTTTTATTTCGTCGGAGAAATATTAGGTAAATGTAAATATTCGGTAGTTTATTTAGAAACTTGTAAATAAAATTTTTTCGTACGTACTTGTAGGTTTAAAGTAGCACAACACACCAATTTGTATAAAGTTTAAATAAGAAAAGAAAAATCATTCTCAATAGATTTTAAAGTAAATTCATACACACACGCACAGTCATATGTTTTTTTTTATATTTTTTTTCTCTTTCATAAACTGCCATTAATTTTTACGTGTCCGTTCCGATGTAAATATCGAAGGCAAGACTGTAACGAGGTCCTTTTCTTGGATATCTTTGACTTTCTAATGAAAAAAAAGGAAAGAAAACCAGATATCATCACAAATTTTACTGTGATCTAATATTAGCTCTTTTAGAAAATTTTAATTAATTCAATTTAAAAATTACAAGAAAAAGAAAGAAATGATTAGTTATTTAAAAAATAATTTTTTGCATGAAGGTAAATTTTTATACGAAAAATAAAAATCGGACTTTGATAAATATTTGGAAAAAAAATAATTTTCTTGGGATTGTCGACTTGAAAAAAATTATTTTTAATTTTCTAAATTCTTTTTAACTGTCCGAATTTTTTAGATGATAATTTTTTTTAATAATAATTTACTAAGAGAGAGTATATTTATATAATACAATTATATTAATTTATCGTTAAATAATAGTTTTTGTTAAGAATGTTTATTGTTTAGAAATTTTATTGATATGTCAACATTGTTTTTTTTAATGTTTTTCGTCGACGCCCACTAAAAAAAATTACTTATTCTAAAATGAAAAAAAACCAACGGAATCTAAAACCTCTTTACCGTTTTTACCAGAGAATTAAAACGAGAGATTGAGTCACGCGTTAAATTTTTTTTTACAAAAAAAGAAAGATTGAATATTTGTACATTTAAAAAAATAGTCTAATTTCTTTCTGACGAGTGTTTCATCGATTCTTGTCACTAAAAAAAAAAAAAGAAAACAATAAAAGTAAAACTGAAATCGAAAAAATGGAGAATTTTTTTTCGATTATCAGCGCGTCAATTGTAAGATATTTTTTATTATTAATATTATTAACTCGTTCTTTAAAACGGTGAAAATAATTTTTATGTGAATGTCATGATTCCGTATCCATACTTCCCCCCTCGCCCACCCCCCGTTTTACGCGATAAATTTTAACTTTGACATATACACATATATTAGATATATATAAATATATAAATATACATAAATATATTTTGTATCTTTAACTTGTATATGAAGTAAATATGCATATAATGATATAAATGGCAACAATATTGTATAGAAAAGAGATATTGAAATACATGAACGATGCTTTTAAACATTCTTGTCTAACATCATTTTTGTACCACTAAAAAAACAATTTTTTTCATTAATTTTATTTTCCAAAACAATTTTTTGTTTCTTATCATTTTTTACATTTTCATTTTTAAAAAAATGAGAAGGTATTTTTCCATGTCTTTGCAAGAAAAAATTTGTTGCTGTTTTTCATAAAAAGACATGAAAAGAACTATTTATCTTTTTTTTCTGCTTCTTTTTTCTTCAAATCAGCTTTCGACCCTTTATTCCTATTTTTAAATGAAAAAAAATTTTTTCTTAACATATTTTTTCTATTATTAATATTTTTACAATAGAAAAATATTTCTATCAGTTTTTGTAAAAAAAGAAATTTATTGTGAGAAAAAATTTTTTTTCAAGCAAAAAAAGATTATATTTTTTCTTTCAGTTTTTTTTTATTTCTGAATTGCAAACAAAATTCTGATTTTTTCTTTGTTAATTGGAAATTTTTTCAGTGTCAGAAATCATTGCCTTTTTGCTCTTTGAAAATTTTTTGTAGATTTATCTATATTATACGAAAAGACGCGAGTTCGAAAATGATTTGAGTAGCTTAAAAAAAAGATAAGTATATACACAAGATATTTTTATAATTTTTCCGTTTCTAAATTGAAGTTCGCAAAAAAAATGATTTGTTTTTCTTTCTTGAAAAAGAGATAATACTTTTCATATACAAGTTTCTGTTGCAAGTTTTTTTTGTCTTCATCATAGAACGCCCTCAAAAGAAAATCTTTTTTATTTTCCGTTTTTGAGAAAAAATATAGAAAAAAAATCAGTAGCCGAACGCGATAGGAAAACATTGTACCATTTATCATTTTTCATTTCATTATTAATCAAATTTGTCATTTTTTGTAAATCGAGACATTAGTCAATTTAAAAAAAATAAATTTCATTCATTTTTTTCTTTTGAATAAGTTATGTACTTTTTTACTTTTTTATTGAAGTGACAAGATTATGATTGTTGTAGATCGATGGAAATGAAAGTTGGCAGACTATACGCAGAATAATGTCAAATCGCAAGCCAACAATGCTTCCTCGCAATATTCGTCATTATGAAAATTACGCCGCAAGGATAAGTAGGTCTGCTCAGGATCGAAAAACAAAGTACGTTCTTTTTAAATTTTAAATTAGAGAAAAATAATTTTCTTATTTTTTTCTTTGCTTTTTCAACCGAAAGATTAGAAATTAAGAGATATTTCTTTATTTTGCTTACAGTTCGGTGGGTGGAAAAAAATCATTTGATCCAGAAGACGTTGCTGATGGTTCTGAAATTATTTCTTCCCACGAGATGGAATGTCAATTAGTTCCTCTTGATTATCGTCTATTCTTTATAATGAGCGAAGGCGAATTTTATTATAGGTACAATTCATTGTCGAGGGCCTCGGAGGTAAGTTTATTCGAAAAAAGAATTCATTCATTAAATATTATATATTATTCGAAAAAATTAAAAAAAAAAAGAATAGAATTTCAATTTTACAAGATAATTCTTTATTGGAAATAAATTATTCAGAAAGACTTAATTTCAATATTCAATTTCTCAAAAAAATAATAAAGAATTTCAATTTAAAAACAATTTCTTTTATTACATATAAATTATTTAAAAAAGAACTAATTTCAATATTGAATTTCTAAAAAAATAAAAAAACAATTTCAATTGTAAAAGAATAATTTTTATTACAAATAAATTGAAGGTCGTGATCAAAGAATTGATTATAATTTTTTCAAGTTAAAAATCATTGTCTAATAAATTTAAAAATATTTTAAATAATAATTTTTGGAGGAACTTTTTTGTAATTTTTATACAAATACAAAATGCTTACAAGAAATAAAAATTTTGAATCCCTTTTTAATTTAGAAAGGGAGAATTTTAAGTCTCAAAAAATTATAACCGGTTCTTTGATCGGGACCCTCGATTATTCAGAAAAACTTAATTTTAATTAATATTCAATTTCTCAAAAAAAAAAAATAATAAAGAATTCCAATTTTAAAAGAATATTTCTTTATCAGGGTGTCCAGCAAGGATTGAGACAAAAATTCCCTGACTATTTACTAACAGCAGAAGCTTTCTTGGAAAAAAAATATGAATACTAACTTATTTAACAAAAAATTAATATCTAATGATAGTACTAAATAGTAATAAAAACCATTTGAGTCCACTTAATTTCAATATTCAATTTCTCAAAAAAAAAATTAATAGGTAATACAGAATTGCAATTTTAAAAGATTATTTCTTTAAATTTTTACAAAAAAAATTTGTTAATAAACTTGGAAGCAAAATTTTGCTTTCTAATTCTAATTACTTATCATTAGTGTATTATAATTATTACTATTATATTATTACTATTGTTAATATTAGTATTATTATATTTGATGGTAATATTATTTAAATTTTTAATTATAGTCGCATCTGTCAGTGACGAAGAGTAAAAACGCCAAATTCCATCAATGGTTTGACAGTTGGGCAAATGAGAATGTAAGTGAAGAACAACATCAAATCTGTCAGGATTGGTTAATGGGACGATTTGAAAACTTAATACCTCATAGAACGCATTTGATTACCGATAATAATCAGACAAGAACGCCATATCGTCAATATAATCGATATCGTGTTGAATATTTGCCGTAGAAAATGAAAAAAGAAAAAACAAAACAGATCTCTTCATTTCGTCAAGAAGAAACTTTTTATCATCGCCCTAGTAGTTTATAAGATGTAAAATATTCCTATATAAATATCTTTCCTCCCCCGCTCCTTTTTTTAAAAACTTTTTTTCTCAATATTTACTAAAAAGAAAAATAATAAACAAAAAACATCACAAAGAAAAAAAAATTAGCTGTCTTGTATTTGAAGATCTTTCGAATTGAATCGGGACGTAATTTTTCAAAATCGAACGTTTCCTTAAAGCAGAAGAATGATAATTTATTTTTTGTTATTATTAATTAATAATTAATTAGCAATTAAGTAATTTATTAAATTCTTTTTTTATATATTTACACTTTTTTTGTTAGAAAATTTTGTTTTCCAATCGTTGACTATTCCTTTCAATTGAAAATTTTTTTTCCTAATTTTCATAAGGAAATTAAATTCTTTTTTTTACATAAGAAACATTTTTCTACTTGTTTTCGAATTAAGAAAGAATATTTCGTTTTCAGGTGAAAATTTATTGTCTAGAGTTGTAAAACAAATATTAATCTGTAATTGTAAAACAAATCTATAGTTGTAATAGAATATAGTTGAATATTTGTTTGCATTTAAATCATGGGTGAAACGATTAAAATAAAATTATATTAAACAAGCAAGTAGAGAATGTCGTGATTATTTTGTTATTTGTTAAATAATTTGTAAGTAAATGAAAATTAGGAAAAAAATTTTCCTAGGAATTTAAAGTGATAGAATGAAATTTTATTCGATGTGAATTAATGAATTAATAAAATGGAGGATATTAAAATTATTTTAGGTAAACTATATTAAATAAATGAACAATTTCATCTTTTTTTAAAAAATATTTATTAAAATTGAAATTTAATTTTCTCTTATTTAATTATTATCATTCTGCTTTTAGTAAAACGATTTTTGAAATTTTCGTCATTAGATGAAACAAATTTATATTGTGAAAATTCGAAAATTGAGAAAACAAAACTGTATACAAAAAAACGCAAAAAGGTTGTGATTTGAATAGCAAGAAATTCAACGAAATACCTTTCTTTTATGTATTAATTATGCAAGTATGTCAACGACACTATATTTCTGATTTGTATTTAATTTTTAGTTAGTTAAAAAAGCTTCCACGGTTGCATAATGTTTTTTTTGTTTGTTTTTTTAAAAGCTCTGGCGATAATTTTTTTTGTATAGAATTAAGTCTTTTATATATACATATACCTATTATTATTATTAATATTATATTATTATTATCCTTGAAAAATCGTTAACTGTAAATATAAATGACGATTCCATATCGTTTCATTCGAATGAATGTTTTACTAACAACCTTATTGCGATGTGATGATGAAAGAAAATCCAAAACCTTGTCGCAATTAACAAGTATTAGTATTTAATCTAAACCCTCTTCTTTCAAACAAAAAAATATATATTTTTAACGTCTTTTGACTATTTTATGTTATTTTTTGTACTTGGTTTGAGTCCCTCTCAAAAATTTTATCATCTCGTAAATATATATATATATATATATATATATATATATATATATATATATATATATATATATATATATATATATATATATATATATATATATATATATATATATATATATATATATAGTATTCTATATATATATATATATATATATATATATATATTTATATATATATATAAATGAAATTTGTCCACTTTGCATATTGTGTAAGAATTGTATAAGAATTTAACGTTTAAATGAAGAAAAAAAGTATTTGTACATGCAAATTTTTGAGATATTAATCTCTTCTTTGTGGAAAGAGAACAATTTGAGTAAAAATTATTATAATTTTAAAGTTGATGGAAAAAAAATGAAATTTTCTATTATTCTCGTTTTTAGTTAAATTTTTAAAATGAGAAAAATTTATTTTCTACGTATGTTTTTTCTTTTATAAACTTATTGTGATTTGTACAGTTTTTATTTGTAAATTTTCATTTTTTTCTTAAATTACCATAACAAAATTTTTTGGCAATCAAAATAGAATTTAAAACTAAAGGGAAACAAAATTCTTCTTAGATAAATTGAAAAAGAAAAAAATAACGATTTCTATATTTTTGGAAAATTATCGTTAATTATTTATTTAGTAAATTTTATTTATGAAAAAAAAAATTGATTTTAATTTTTGAAGAATTCAATTTGAAGAAAATAAAATTTTCAAAAACGTAAAATTGAATTCTTTAAACATAGTAATTTTTGAGAAAATTCGTGAATTATGAAATTTGTAAAAAAAAAAGAGGAAGGATAATAATTTATTTTTTTATAATCGGCTGTAGATTGAAGACTCAATCGTCGCTCTTTTCACTTATTTTTTTTTTCTCTTATTTATAAGTTAAAAACACTCGAAATTTTGAAAAATAAATTATTTTCGAAATTTCGAGTCTCAGTGAAATATGTAAATAATTTATTAAGATGAAAAAATAAATGTAGGCCTTATTTTTTACCTGAATGTTATAAAAACTAGCGCAAAAGATTATATAAGTATATAGTAATAATGATAATAAAAAATGTTAATATTTGGTGGCTGACAATGAATTCGAAAGAAGCCTGCAACATATGGAATAAAAGTCTGTGCGTGCCTGTTTTTATCGCAAAAAAGAAAAATTACCCACACAGTTCAAGCGATTGTTGTGTATATTGATTATAAGTGTAATATTAAATAATAATATTCCATTGTGTATACAGAAACTTGAAAAAAATCTCATGTTTCAAATTATTCAACCATTCAATAATTTTATTTTTAGTTGAATTTCACCAAAGAATTTTTTTCAAAGTAACATTTATGATTTTATTTATTTAATAATTTACTTACTTTTTTAAAATTTTTTTATTACTCTCTGAACTACCTAGTCATTCAATTTACCAGTATTATTATTATAAAATAAAAAAAATTTTATCTTCGAATACAACTTTCAATTCTAGAATTATTTCAGATTCGAAATTAAAAAAAAATTACTTATTTATTATTTATTTTTACAAATTTTACGCAGAAATTCCATTATTTTCAAAATATTATTAATAAAATTTATCAAAAAAATTCGATTATTTTTAACAATTTTAATTAAATTCTTCCAAACAATTCAATTATTTTCTAAAAACTTAATTTAATTTTTTTTTATTCTTGGCAGATACCTATTCAAACATTTTCAATGCAATTTTAATATATTTTCCAAAAAAATTTAATTATTTTCAAAAATTCTAATAACTTTATTCTCAAGAATTGAATTATTTTTTAAAATTCTAATAAATTTATTCTAAAGAATTTAATTATTTGCAAACATTTTAATAAAACTTTTTATAAAAATTACGTTAATTTTAATACAATTTTAAATAAATTCATCGAAACAATTCAATTATTTTTTAAAATTTAACAAAATTTCTCGACAAAGATCAATTATTTTTTTAAATTTTGAAAAAATTGTTTACAAGAATTCAATTAATATTATGAATAATAAAATTATTTCCAGGATTTCATCTATTTTTAACAAAATTTCTATAATCAAATCAATTATTCTCAAAAATTTTGAAAATTTTATATTTAATAAAAATTCTTCGAAACAATTCAATCACTTTGAAATTTTAATTAAATTCTTTTCAAATTAATTCAATTATTTTAAAATAATTTTGATTACATTTTTTATAAGAATTAAATTATTTTCAATAAAATTTTAATAAATTTCTCCAAAAAATTCAATTATCTTAAAAAACTAATAAATTTCTTCGAAAGAATCTATTTATTTACAAAAATTTTGATAAAATTCTTTATAAAAATTAATTGCAATACAATTTTATTTTTAATTCCTCGAAGAAATTCAATTATTTTCAAAAATGTTGATAACATTTTGATAAAAATTCAATTTTAATAAAATTCGTCTCAATTTTTAATCATTTTCCATACAATTTTTAAAAAATTGGTCGCAAAATTATGGAAAATAAAATAATAAATAAATTAATAATGGAAGTAACTACTTGTTTAATTAATTTTTCAACTAATATAAATTAATTCAATTAATCTTCTTTTAATTATTAAATTAAATTCGAAATTATTTTGAGTATATAGATCAAAATTAACTTGTTTCAAAATGTTTTTCTTTAAATCTAAATTTATCTAATCATTAGAAAACGAAGCCTTCTCAACAATTGCTGTTTTGTATTTATTTATTTTCTTCTAAATTTCTTAAATACTAAGGAATCAAGTCACATTCAATTTATTTTTAAGTTTTGAGGCCTTTTTATTTCTTTTCGACATTAAAATTCACAGTTTTAGCTTTTAAGTAATCAATTTCTAATACTTGTTTAAGTACAAGTTCTATTTACAGTCTATCCTATGGCTAAAAATTACACGAGAAGTGTGATTTCAATATTTGTTTTTTCATGACCAAAAACAGGTTTTTTTTCGCTAACAGGAAAAAGAAAATCACGAAAATATCTGTTATTGGAGCAAGAAAAATTTTAGCAAAAAAAAAAAAGTTTCTAAAAAGTGGTTAAAAATAACTTTTTCACTGAAAAAGTGTAAAAATTTGTTTTTTAAAAAAATATTTCTCTTGTGCGTGGAATAAAATTAAAAAATAGTTTAAAAGTCATTAAAACTTAAGTATCTAAAATTATAACGAAACATGTAAAATTCTAAAAAAAAGCCGATACCTCAATTAACAATTAACCTGCTTTCAGTCGTACCAGTCTTTTTTGTTTTTTTTTCTTTTGCACATTAATCTCGAATTTAAGTGACAAAAACAAACAGTTCCTGACATAATTTAAAATTTACGCTTTTCTATATAAGAAAACAATATTTTGTTAAAAAGAAAGTAATTTTTATGCTTAAAATTTAAAAAAATATTCTTATTGGCACTTGAGAATTGTCCTTTAAAATTCGACCTCTTTAGGCACTTTATATTATTTTTTAAATCCTCAGATTCCAAATTAATCAATTATTTTTTTATCTTCCAAATATTGGATTTTCTTTTCGAAAAATATTGATTTGATTTGGAATTTTAAATTGTTACTTCTCTGCAGTTGAATACATTGAGAGTGCTTTGCTGTTTTACTATAAAAATACAACAAGCATTCGAAATATTTACAATATTTACAAAAAGTAAAAGTTAATTTGCTTTTTTTCAACTGCTTGTACTATTATACGTTTGTCTACCTCCCAATTCTAACAAATAACGATCAGGATGGTCCAGCCATTCGGAAGCGCTTAATTTTACAACTCTCTGCTTTTCCGCTTCTTTAACTTGCCACTTTTTAATATCCAATTGCTTTTCTCTAAAATATAATTTGTTTTTATTTAGTTTATTTATTATTTTACAAATTTGATAAAATATTGACTAAGTAAAAGTGAATTACCTTGATTTGGCGTCGCCACAACCCCAAACTTCCAGACTCGAGATACGATATGGAACACGTTCAAAAGTGACAGAATTGAAAGCTTGATCAATAATAATGCTTGGATCACGGGGATCTTTACCGGCTCTTAAACCCTGTGGATAGCCACGAATTTCAGTGTTTAAGTACAAAAGTTTTGATCCTTTTTCAACGACACGATACGATGGTAATAATTCAATTATCATTGAATCCTCATCGCCCCAATAAAGATGTGATTCGCGCCATTCAACGCATGAGCATATGCAATAAGTCGGTGAATTTTCCACTTCCTCACTCACAGCCCTTATAAATATTAACGTTGGTCCTTTATAGCCCAATACATGATGTAAAAATCGATTAACACCAATTCCATGTTGATCGCTATTATACAATAATGTCCAATGTTTTGGGCAAATATTACCCGACATTTTTGTTATTAACGCCTGCATTCCCTCCATTTGTGGATCTTCTATCTACAAATTTTTAATTCAAAATTATATTATTTAAATAAATAATAGAAATTTTTTTAACAAATTAGAAAATTGGCACAATTATCGTTTTGAACAAAATATAAATTAAAAAAGTAAGAAAATTTCTATTTGTATTGCGGCAAAGCGTTCTTAAGATTAAAGCTAATTAATATAAAACTAGCAAAGTCCTACGCTAGCAATCTGCCTACACAGAAAAAATTTATTTTTATTTTTTGTCACGGATTTTTCAGAAATCCTAGAATATAAAATAAATCATTATTAAAAAAAAATCAAAATCACTGCTTTCCCCACCTTCGATCCTCTTGCAAATTTTTTTAATGACTTCTAACATTAAAATAAATAATTAGCAAACGAAAAAATTGCTTCCAAGGCATGGAAATTATAATTTAGTTTAAATGCGGGGATTTTTAGAAAATCCGTGAAAAAAATCAAAATTACTACTTTCCTTGCCTTGGATCCTTTTGCGATTTTTTTAATGGCTTCTGTTATTAAAATAAACATAATTACCAAGTGAAAAAACATGCCTCTACTCAACTCAAGTTTCAAATGTAATTTTTATACATGTAATTTTCTCATGAAATCCCTCAAACATTTTTTAAGCTCATATAAATGTAATAAAATTCAAACTCAAAAAATTTAAATTATAATTTCTTCAAATATTTTAATTTTCATTCTTAATGTTTCTAACAATGGTTGGGGTACAGTTTTTCTAAATCGTATTTTCTAAAAAATTTTTTTCTAATTAAGATGGATTTCTAAAAAAAACTTTTTTCTAATAAAGGTGATTTTGAAATTTTCTGTCTTCTAATAAAGGAAATTTTCTGAAAATTTATTTTTCTATTAAAGGTAATTTTCAAAATTTTCTTTTTTCTAACAATATTCCATTTAAAAAAAAATACTTGAGATTTCGTTAAAAAATTATAATAAAAAATATAAATTGTGCAAATTTTTTAACAAAATTTTAAAATAATCTAGTTAAAAATCGTAATTAACAAATAGAAATTATAGAGATTTTTTTCGTAAAGATATTTAAAATTTTCTAAAAAAATGTTTTATAAATATATTAACTTTGGAAATTTTGGTGTAAAAATGATGCAAATTATTTTTTTTTCAAAGAAGAACAGAATTTTGTTAACAAATTGTGATAAGAAATAGTAATTTTATAAAATTTTTTCTTCATTTTCAAAAATAAACTTATAATTTTGTAAACAGAATTGTGATTGAGAGACGGGAAATATGTAAAATAGTTTCTATTTCTTAATCTTAATTTTTTTAACAATTTTCTAATTTTTATCAAAATTATGGAATTTTACAAATTTTAGAAAAATAAACATTAGAAATAAGTAACTTTTTAGAAAAACTTTTTTCAGAAAACAGATTTAATTAGAAATCGCCATTTTTAGACAAAAAAGATTAGAAAATATTTTTTTAGAAAAAGTGTTCACCTACCATAATAATTGTTAGTATTCATCCGAAAAATATATTGAAAACATTGAAATGTTAATAATTGAAGGAAAGAAATTTTTAATAGAATTTATAAGCATTATTTTTTCTGAAATAAATACAAAGTACCCGATTCTGCGTAACCGGAAGGGCAAGAGTATACTAAATATTTAAACTTCAAAATTTAAGTGACTATAATCAATTTATTGTTGTCAAACAAAAGAGGCAAATAAAATTTAGTTCACCAATTGAATAAATTGAATAGTATTGTAAAAAAAATTGTTCGATATTAGAATTTAAACTTTTTATCATTACCAAGTTTGAGAAATTCATTAAAATAAGAATTTACAAAATGATAGTGATTTCTTGAAAAAATTACATCTATTTACCATTTTAAACATCAGACGTCTTGATCATTTTTCTTCAAATTGTAAAAAAATTTCTTTACGTCAGGTTATCACACATATGGGAATACTCATAACCACTCATAACCAAAATAATTTATCAAAACATTAATTATTATAGAAAAACAAAAGACGACACTTTCTGTTCACGGAATAGCAAATTATTATTATATGTATACTAGTCACACTATTTGCGCGGGAATGTTGTATGGAACTGCTTATTTTAAACAATTTAAAAAATTTTAAAGAAATAATTATTATTACCTAACAAAGAGATTTAACTAACTAAAATTCAAATAATTTCACTCAATGGTCTCAATTTAAATAGAATTTACATTACTAGACTTAAACTATGGATAGAACAATTCCAATTAGTATCTGGGTCATCTTTTGCATTGCTTATTTTATAAACCCATTTTAATTTAAATACTTTTTTAAGAAATAATAATTATTACACACTGAAAAAAGTTTTACTTGAAGTAGCGATAAGTTTCTTTAGAATAACGAAAGTATTAATTGAAGCACTGAAAAATTTCGCTACTAAAGTGAAATCTGTGTAGTTTATCCAGCTAAATATTTTTTGCCGTGCATAACGAAAAAAGAATTAAATTAACATTAGATTTTCTAAATTAAAAAAAACGAATTCAAATAGAAATTAATCATTTTAAAACTTAACCAAATTCACCCCAGAAATCACTGAATTCGATAATTTAGAAGAAAGTCAGACAAAAGCAGGGTTCCTACAGAATCTGGAAATCATGGAAATCATGGAAATGGTATGGAATTTTTAAAAGGCTTCTGGAAATCAGGGAAATCATGGAAAAGGCCTGGAATTTTTAAAAGTTTCTAAATTTTTCAGTTTTTCATTTTTTCTCTTGAATAGAAATTCAAATAATAATAAAGCTAAATCCCATAAAAGAGAGGAAAAAATGTTGAATTCTAAGAAATTCGGATATTTGAATTTTTGATAATTTTAGATAATTTTAGATTTTTTACCAAAGAGTCGAGACTATTAAATAAGTAAAGTATTTTCCAAGAGCACAAAAATAATGAAGCTAAATCCCATAAAACAGAGGAAAAAATGTTGAATTTTAAGAAATTCGGATTTTTGATAATTTTCGATAATTTTAGATTTTTTACCAAAGCGTCGAGACTATTTAATAAGTAAAGTATTTTCCAAGAGCATAAAAATAATAAAGCTCAATCCCATAAAAGAGAGAAAAAAATGTTAAATTTTAAGAAATTCGGATTTTTGAATTTTTGATAATTTTCGATAATTTTAGATTTTTTACCAACAGGTCGAGACTATTAAATAAGTAAAGTATTTTCCAAGAGCACAAAAATAATGAAGCTAAATCCCATAAAAGAGAAGAAAAAATGTTGAATTTTAAAAAAATCGGTTTTTCGAATTTTTGATAAATTTTGATAATTTTAGAATTTTTACCAAAGGGTGGAGACTATTAAATAAGTAAAGTGTTTTTAAAGAGCCCAAAAATATTGAAATTAGATTTAAAATTCCACTGGAATTTCGTAAAAATTTGACCTGGAAATCATCGAAAAGGTATGGAATTTTAAATTCGGATTTCTGTAGGAATCCTGAAAAGGAAGTTCTATTTTGAATTTCTAAAATTTAATGTCAAATTTAACGCATTAGAAACGAATTACAAGTGAATCCGATAAATTTTGTTAAAATGCTATTACTGCTGTTAAACTTTCTTGTTGTACGAAGAAAATTGAATATCGCAAAAATTGTTACATATTTTATACTTTTATTTTCAAAATAATTTAAAAATTAAAAATAATTTTAATAACGAAACTTTTAATTATTCTAAAAATTAAAAAAATAATTATTCATTTAGCTTTTTAAACAAAGATTTCCGTATATTTCGAATCTAACATAACTGCAAAAAATTAAATTAATTGAAAATGATAAAGTTAAACAACTTTTAATTCTAATTTCTTTGGAAAACAAAAAATCTGTAGTAAAAATACTAATTGTAACTTGCATTAATTATTTAATTACAAGATGTAATATAATATAATGAAGCATCAAATTAAAAAATTCTAAATTCGTTTTTAGAAACAACGAAAAAAAATGTGAGGTAAATTTTAGGCGTACGATAGCCCCAAAATTCTAATTCTATACATTGGTTGTTTAATTGAATTTTTAACTTTATAATTATCATTTACTCGGCAGGTATGTGTCCATAATTTAATGTTAACATTATTTAAATATAGAGAATAGATATTTGATGTAATATATTTTTAATTGAAAAAATTGACAATATATTTTCATTGATTAGTTGAATATTCTATGAATCACGTATTAATTTAAAACATAAAAAAATGTTAAAAGTTTATAAAATTAACATTATATTAAACAATATTTTTATGTAATGAAAATTATAAGAAATAAAAATTGTATTAAATTACTATTTTGTAAAATATACTTTGATAATTTAAATTTATGTTGTAGTCTTTAATAATATAGTAATTATTTCTAATAATAATTATATCTGTCAAAAATTATGAAAAATAAATATTATATTCTTAATAATTACAGTATTCAGAGTTTTGCAAGTTAAAAAATTATTAAAAAGTTAAAAAACTAAATATTCTGTAATTAAGAAATTTATGAAAATAAAATTCAATTGAATGTTATATCAAATAACTTTTTTTAATAATATTGAAATAATGTTAACATTAAATTAAATTATAAAAAAGTATTTACCTTCAGAATGAATGATAGTTGAAAAGTTAAAAATTGAATTAAACACATAATAATATAAAACATAACCATTGAAACACATCAAAACACATTAAAAAGTTTGACATTAAAAAATATAAAAAATGCCAATACTTAACCCACAAAATTTAATTTTCAAAACAAACAAATGAATGCAGATAATTTGCAAACGGAAAGGAAACTTACGATTATTATAATGTACTAGCCAAACTATCCGCGCGCAAGCGCGCGGGAATGTTGTATTACACTGTTTATTGTAAACAATTTCAAGTCATTTTAATTTAAGTAATTTTTAAAGAAATACTTATTATGACACATAACTGAAAAACTAATTAGAATTAAATTTTCAAATTATATTATATTTTTAAACTTCAAAGTACATAAAAAACTTTAACAAATTTTAATACTAATTTCAAATTTTACATCAGATTTTCAAAATTGAAAATAATTAAACTTTCTTGTACGAAGTAAATTGAATTTCGCAAAAATTGATATTTGATACCTAAATTAAAAATAATCTTCAACTTTCTGAACAAACAATATAAATTATATTTTTTTAGAGAATTTCCACTATTTTAAATTCGCTAATTTTCAAAAAAATTTCGAAAAAATCAATTATTTAACAAAATTTTATGCAATTTATTTTTCACAATAATTCAATTACTTTCACTAATAATAAAATTTTTCATGAAAAATCAATTTAAAAAAAAAGTTTTGATTAAAATCTAAGCAAGAATTTAATTATTTTCATAAATAATAAAACTCATCGAAGAATTTCAATTATTTTCATTACTATTTTAAATTAATAATCGAAAAATTCAGTTATTTTCACAAATAAAGTTTTGACACAAGAATTCAATTATTTTAAATAATAAAATTTTCATAATATTTATTATATTTCGAAAAAAAATAATTATTTAAAACAATGTTTATAAAATTCTAATGAAGAATTCACTTACTTTCAAGAATAATAAAATTTTTTACAGAAATTCAATACTTTTTAAATATTTTAATAAGCTTTTCCGCAATAATTCAATTATTTTCAAAAATAATAAAATTCTTCTCTGTAATTCAATTATTTTTGAGAATTATAATAAAATTCTATTCAAATTAAAAACTATTCAATTATTTTCATAAATAATAAAATTTATAGCAGGATTTCAATTATTTTTAATACAATTGAATTGCTCAAAAATTTAATTATTCTTAAAAACTTAATTTCAATTCCTGAACAAAAATAAATTATTTAAAAAAATGTTTTTTTAAAATTCTATGGAAGAATTGAATAATTATTTTCAAAAATTTAATAAAATTGTTCGAATGAAATTAATTGTTTTAAATACAATTTTAATTAAATTTTTTTGAAATAATTCAATTTTTTAAAATTTTAATAACATTTTTTCTAAGAATTCAATTATTTACACAAATAATTTTTCGAAAGAATTCAATTATTAAAGATAAATAAAGAAATTACTCCCGAAAATTCAATTATTTTGAGGTAATTTATTAAAATTTTGTTCAAAATTCAATTATTTTCATAAAGAACAATACTATTCATCACAGTAATTCAATTATTTTTAAAAATAATAAATTTCTTCTTGAAAATTCCATTATTTTAAAAAGTTCTAGTAAATCGTTTGCAAGAATTCAATTATTTTCATAAATAATAAAATGTTTTTTAGAAATTTAATTATTTTCAACAAAATTTAATCAAATAAATTTGTCCTGAAAACATTGAAAATTTTTAAGGTTTTGAAAACATTCTAAGTTAAAAAAATTTAATAAAATTTCCCACAGACATTCAATTATTGACAAATTTTTTAAAAGAATTCTTTGTAAAATTTAATTATCTTTAAACAATTTTCGCAATTCAATGATTTTCAATATCTACTATTTTCATAAAATTTCCAAATAGAATTCAATTATTTAAAAAATGGTTTGTAAAAATCCAATTCTTTTCATGAATAATAAAAATTTTCATCAATTCAATTATTTAAATTAGAATTTGCATAAAATTATTTGAAAGAAATGACTTATTTAAAAATTTGTATAAAATTCTTCGCAAGAATTAAATTATTTTAAATTTCATGAATAATAAAATTCGTAGCAGAAATTCAATTTATAAGCAGGATATATATATATATATATATATATATATTTTTTTTTTTTTTTTGATGAAAATTAGGAAAAAGTCAGGAAAATAAAAAATATGGAATGGAATTTTTTTCAATTTTGTGAAGTGAATAAAACGAGTTTTTTTTCGTTTTTTTTGACATTAAAAAAAATAAAAATAACCCACAAAAATTAATATTCAAAACAAACAAATGAATGCAGATAATTTGCTAACGGAAAGGAAACTTACGATTATTATAATGTATATTGTAAATAAGAAATTTAAAAATACTAAAAACTGAAAAAATTGTGCAAGAAATTTATTACAGACCTTGGATTGCCTTTAAAGTACAAAAAAAGTCGCTATAGTTGTATATTTAAAAAAGTCTAAAAAGTCGTTTATTCAGTGTTATCACAAAAATTTAATTTTTACTGATATCAAAATTGAACTGATTTAAAAATTCAATCATTTTTTTTAAATAAGTGATAAATATTTTAATTCTTGTTATTTATTTTTTCACAAGAATTAAAATTTTTTAAATTTCAATTTCAAACCTTTAAAGTTTAATGTTAAAATCTAAAAAATTGAATTTACTTTTCTTTAAATAAAATTTAATTTACAAAATTTATGATAAAACTTTAAAAGAATTAGTTTTTTAAAAATATTGTAATGTAATTTTTCAAAATTAACTTAATTTCCTAAAAGAATTATTGGAAAATTTCAAAAACTAATCAATGTTTTGTTGAATTCTTTTAACTAAAAATTTTTAAATAATGGATCTCTAAAAATTTTAATGATAATTGTAAAAAAAAATATTGAAAACAATTGAATTTTTAGAAATGTGACGCGCTCCCAAGAAAGGTACCTAAGAAGCAAACGAATTATAGGTTGGGTTCGAGTTAGATTTATCTTGATTAAAAGTTCATTTTTAATAATTTAAATTTAAAACCAATATTCATTGAATATTTTGAATATAGTGAAGACTTGAAGACCAACAATTTTTAATTAATAATTGATTCTCTTTCCGTATTTTTACTTACAAAATTTAAAACATAACCTCAAATTTTTTGCTTCTTAGGTACCTTTCTTGGGAGCGCGTCACAAATATGTAATTAAAAATATTCAAAATAATAGAATTTTCAAAAAAATATGTAATTGAAAATAATTGAATTTCATAAAATCATAATATTTATTTATTTACTATAAAGCATTAAAATGATTAAGAATTTAATTATTTTCTAAATTAGCAATTAAAATTCTTCAATATTTGATTTTTTAAAAATTTAACAAAATACTTCACAAATCAATCATTTTCAATAAAATTTAACAAAATTTTCATTATTTAAAAACTTTTTGATTTTAATAATTTGTCGAAAATTTAACTATCTTCTGAAGATTACTCAAATATAATTTTTGAAAGATTAGACTTTTGTACATTACAAAAAATGAAATAAGTTGCATTTTATACAAAAAAAGGTATTTTGTTGCAATATTTCGAAGAGAAATCAAAATAGTGGCATTTTTTGGAAAATAAGTCGAAAAAAATGTCAAAAAGTCAAGTTTATCCAAGGCGTTATTGATAAATAAAATTAATAATTTTAAGTAACTTAATAAAAATGTACCTGTGTGTAAATTGATGGTAGACTAGTGGACAATAACCAAACATAACTGACAGGTAAGAATGGTTCCGAACAATCGAAAGCATCGTGTGGTTGCTCCAAAACAGGAGTTCCTGGCTCTAAATGAGGTTGCGATTCTTCTTTACACAAAAGATTGTTTCCAAATCGATAAGCAGTTGTCAGCACATGCACCACGTAACGATGCAAACCTTGTACAATTTGTGGGCAATTTTGCCACAACCAATGCGTCACATAATTCAGCGATAAACTTTCTTTTCCATGAAACTGAAAAAACATTTTCATATTTAAAATTAAGCAATTTACAAAATTTTTTATTCTCAAATATAAATTTTTGAATAATTTCATAATCAAAATTTTAAAAATCCACTTATTAAGTTCATAATTAATTATTATTGTTTATATTTTCTAAACTTTTAATAAAGGCTTTGAAACAATTCAATTAATTTTTTTAAATCGTAAAATCTTTGCAAAAATGCAATTATTTTTAATAAAATTTTTCAACAGAATTCAATTATTTTATAAAATTTTAATAAATCCTTCGAAACAATTCACTTAATTTTATAAAATGTAAAATTATTTGCAAAAATTCGATTTTTTCAAATTTTTAATATTTTTAAAAAATTTTTAATTACAGTAGGATCTTTCAATAGTGCAGTTCTGAACAGTGCAGCCATTAGTGAGTTGAGTAGACAAGGGGTTTCGGGGGTAAAGGGAATAATAATTTTCTTGACACGGGCCTGAATGTTTTAGTTTTTGCGGTTTTTGCACGCTTCGAACAGTGCACAATACTAATAATAATAAATATTTATAATTATTAACAGACGTGTTTATTTTAAAAACTTGAAAATTTTTTTTTGTTTAATTCAATTATTCTCAAAATTTTCAATTAGAATTATTCAAAAAACTACAAATTAAAAAAAATTTTCGAAAGATTTCAATCAATCATTTAATAAAATTTTTCGAAAGAATACAATTATTTTTAAAAATAATAATTAAAATACAATTATTGATTAAATTCAATCTTTTTCAATAGTTTTGATAAGATTCTTAAGAAAAATTAAGTAGATATTTTTAAACGTTTTAATAAAATTTTTCGATTAAATCCAATTATTTTCAAAATCTTTAATAAAATCCTTTCAAAACATTCAATTATTAAAAACAAACTGATTAAATTCTTCGAAACAATTCAATTATTTTCAAAATTTTCAATTAAAATTATTAAAATAAAACATTATTTTCTCGAAATGTAAAGAAATTTTTCAAAAAAATTTAATTATATTCAGTACAATGTTAATAACATTCTTTGGAAGAATTCGATTCTTTTCATAAATATTCTTTACGAGAATTCAATTATTTTCAATACAATTTTAATGAAATTTTTCAAAAGATTTCTATTATTTTAACAAATTTTGATTAAATTCTTGAAATGAATTCAATTATTTTTAGTACATTTATTTTAAAATTGAAAATATTTAAAAAGAAAAATTATTATTATTAGGTAATATATATATATATAAAAGTAGATAATAGATTAGAATATGAAGACACTTTTCTAAATTTAAAAAAATAAAATAAAAATGGTAATAATTATTTTCAAGTAACATAAAAATATATATTTAATCCTAACAAAAAATAATAAAATTATTTCCAAATAGAATCGTGACAAAAAATTCAACTACTTTTGACTCATTACAAAGTAGATTACTTTTTTTCTTCAATGAGTCAAAAATAAACCTTGTTAGACAAATATAAGATAATTAAAAAATGTTCCTTACGCAAGAAATAAGAACAGCATTGATGATTCGCTCGGCACTGAGTAAAGTCACCATATTGGCATTGCCCATGGCCAAAACATAGGAAATCATAAGTAGTGATTGTAAATTTTTTAGATTAACATCACCCTCGACATTTAAATTAGAATACATCCTCACGTAATTTTCAAGTACTGATTCATCATTAATTATTGAAATAAATTTTTCCGCTTGCTGTTTAAAGGCAACAACACCAAGATGTGTTGTTGTGGCTTTTGCACAACTATGAAGATAATTAAATAATTTGTCTGCCAACTCGGGATAATGGGGAAATAGATATTTTTTTATTACATTCGCTGTTATACCATTTATTGCTTCCTCACGTTGCGTTATATCAGCCAAAATCTGAAAATTTCAATAGATTTATTTTCAAAAAATTTCATTTTCCCGAAAAATGCAAGATAAATAATTTTAAAAATAAAAATTCACTTATAAAGTACATAATTAATTATTATTGTTTATATTTTCAAAAATTTAATATAATTCTTAGCAAGAATTCAATTATTTTCAAAAATAATAACATTATTCGGAAGAATTCAATTATTTTTTTGAATAGTAAAATATTTGCAAAAAATCAATTATTTTCAACGAAATTTTTATAAAATTTCACGAAAGAATTCCATTATTTTCTAAAAAATTTTAACAAATGCTTCGAAACAATTCAATTATTTTCTAAAAATTTGATAAATCCTTCGAAACAATTCAATTACTTTTATAAATATAGTAAAATTCATAGCAAAAATTAAATTATTTTTTTAAATAGTAAAATTCTTCTCAGGAATTAAATTTAAAAAAAATTCAATTGCCCGAAAAATGCAAGATAAATAATTTTATAGATTTAAAAAATTTCCCGTTGTGCAATATTTGAGAGTTGAAATTAGATAAGAGTATAGTAAAAAGTAATTATTTCGTAACAATGAAATATTAAAAAAATAAAAGATTATTTATGATCCATAAATAAAATTTAGAGATTATGCAAATACCTAATAGTACTCATTTTCCAAAAGTTTATTTTGACGATGAAATATTATTGAAATTCTAACCTCAATATGTAACGATAGTATATTTATAGATCTTTAGAAATGAAATGTAAAGAATTATGTAAATAATTATGAAATACAACGTAATATCAAAACGATTGCGAAATAGTGATACTGAATAACAGCGTGATATTTAAAAACAATAATAATAAAAAAAATTTTGCAGAAAAATCGGAGTAAAATATATACTATAGTGGAAAGTTCCTAATCGAGAAAATGCCGAGGAAAAAATTGGAGCAAGGTTAAAATTGAAGTACATTGTTAAACAATATTATTGTTGACTAATAAAAAAAGTTGAAAATCAACTTACTTTTGCTAAATTCTCGATGGGAATAAAGTGAGTGTGTGATCCATTCTGAAAATCTGTTCCCGAAGGACTTCGAGAGATGGTTTTTGTGGTTACTTGAACAACACCACCTGTTGTTGTTGCGCCAATTTTTTTCTTGGCACTTCCTTTCTTTACCATATGATTTCCCATTGTTGGTACTTTTTCTTTGCAAAAATTGGTGTGAAAATTTTGTATATTTTAATTTTAATTTCTTTTTTTTAGTAAAGCATTCCTTTTCTCTTCACACACACTCACCCGAAAACCTTGCGTGCTCCCCACACACTAAATTCCTATCGCGCGCGCAGCTTGTGTCGTTTGTTTGTGTTCATACGGTCGACACACGATTTATAAATACACACAGCTTTCACTGAATTACTTGAAGTTACGTTAGAATCGAATTAATTAATTTTAATTTTTTTTTTTATCATTTTTTATTACGGCAATGTCCTTCTTTTAAAGATAGCCGCTTATCTTTTGAAAGGTAAACAGGGTTGTGTAGTTAATTGAAATTAAAATGTTCTGATTGGCGATTCTATTTTTCGGAAAATATATTCGCCAATCAGAATTTGTCCACGATTTCTTAAGGTTTGTTTGATCTCGCAAAAGCGGTAATCGATAATAATCGATTTCGCTTGTTTTTTAAAACCAACCTAACCTATAAATTTCGAACTGTCAGTTTAAAACGTTTAAAAATGTCTAAATTTAAAAACATGGAATTATTACCACCACCAAAATCGTTAATGAATCATAAAGATTCTGAAAAAGTATGGGAAGTTATAAACAAGAGATATCCAAAAGTTGCACCACTTTTATGTGAAATGGAATATGTACTTTACGAGGCAGAAGATCTCGTCGATCAATTGCAATCATCCAGCAATCTTGAGATTGGTAAATTATTTTCAATTTTTGATTTTCGTTATTTTTTCTTACATTAAATTAATTAATTATTTCATTAATATTTATTTTATTAATTTTAATTATTGTTATTTAAATAATTATCATAAAATTATAATTCTAAGTTTTCTCAATTTAAACAAGTTCTGAACATTCAAAATTTCGAATAAACGAAATATTTCGAAATACATTAAAAAATTACTGATTTTGAGTATTATAGAAAGTAAAAAACAAAGTTAAATAAATGGAATCTTTATATATTTTTTAAACGTTACTCAATATTATTTCTATAAAATTTGAATTCGAAGAAGAAATAAATTTGAAAGTTCAGAACTTTGAGAACGTTTATCAACTTTTAATAAAAATTGAATTTATATTCAAAATTAAAGTTAACTCATCAATGGATGAATCTTCGAATGTAAATTTGGATGAAGAAATTGAATCAAAAGTAAATGAAAATGTATGTGTAAAACAAAAATTAACATAATTAATTAAAGTAGAAAAGTTTATTTTTTTCTGAAATTATTTTAATTTACAGGAAAGTTTAAAAAGTGATTTCGAAAATCAAGAGACGAATTTATCTACTAATGCACAGGAAATCGTGTTAGGTGAGAAATTATTTATAAATAAATAAATTTATTAAAATTCAGCAAAATACAAAAGAGAAAAACGAGAAAAAAAAATCAACTTCAATTTCCAGAAAAAAGTACAGAATTAATTAAAGTGGGAGAGAATAAGAATTTGACAGAAATTCTCGGAGACGATGGCAATGAAACGGAGGAATCACTTTACATTTTAAAGAGAGTTGTTGAAACTATAAAGAAGAGTGAGAATAGCATTTTACTGAAAAATTGCGATGAAAATTTGAAAATAAATTTGGAACCTAATGAAATATTTCAAGAAACAGTGAATGTAGTTGAGACGAAAACATCTGAGACTTTGAGTACTGATGCTGATTCTTGGAGTAAAGTCGTGGGAGATTCTTCTGAATCAAACGAAAGTTTTCAAGAGGAATCCACAGATAATTCAAGTAATTTTCAATTTTTACTTATAATTTATATTTTTTTTAATTTCTTTCTAAAATTTTTTACATTTTTTTATCTTTTAGGGTTGCCACAGGTCAGGAAAATCAGGGAAAAGTCAGGGATTTTTATTAAAAGTACTAAAAAAAATTAAATTTTTAGAATTCATAAAAAAATTCTGAACTTTGGTGTTTTTTTTCCTTTTGTTTGCTTCATAAATCGTAAACTTATTTACAAATGATTGTAGAGATTCAATTATCTTCAAAAAATTTTAAAAACTCGTCAAAATTTCAATTATCTTTATAAATAAAATAATTCTTAACCGAAATTCAATTATTTTCAAAAATTTTAATAAAATTCTTGTTAAAATTTCAATTATTTTCAAAAATTTTCCCCAATTCAACGATTTTCAATATCTACTATTTTAATAAAATTGTCCAAAAGAATCCAATTATTTAAAAAAATTTTAATAAAATTCTACGCAAACATTTCTTTATTTTCATAAATAATAAATATTTCACAGGAATAGAATTATTATTTTACAAATTTTTTCGTAATAATTCCATTTTTTATGAATAATAAAATTTTCTACAGAGATTCAATTATTTTCATAAGTAATAAAATTCTTTTAAGGGGCCGTCCATAAACCACGTGGACACATTTGGGGGGGCGGGGGGGTGAATCAAAAGTCCACGTTTGTCCACGAAGGGGTGGGGGGGTGTTAAAGCAAATGTCAACGTGGACATATAATCAAAGATATTTCCAAAAAAGATATCTTAAGCTTAATCAGAATGATCATAAGTTTCAGTTAATCAATTTCCCTGACAATTTACTGATATTAAAATTAATTTCCCTGACAAAATTCTTTTTACAGGAAAATATGAATGTTTACGGAAAATGAGTAAAATTTATAATTTTAATTATTTTTTAAAATGACAATTATAACCCTTCCTGAATTCAATTATTTTCTACAATTTCCACCCAGTAAAAAAAAAGTATTGGAAGAGAGCAAATAGTATTGTCGGTGAGTTTCTGCCAATACGGTTTTCACGCGAAAACATATTGGCAGAAACTCACCGCCAATACTATTCGCTCTCTTCCAATACTTTTTTTTACTGGGCAACTAAACCTTCGTCTTTGAATCAATTAATTTAAATAATTTTCCGAAAGTTCTTCTAAAATTCTGTTATATTTTAAAATTATTTTTGAATTTGATTGATAAATTTTAATTAAAAATTTTTAACATGATTGTTTCCTCTAAAATGTTAAAAATAATTTTAAAATGTTATTTTTTTGTATATATTTGAATTTTTGAAAATATGTAATTGAGAATATTGAATTTTAAAAAATTAGAAGCTAATTTTCATTAATTTTCATTTTTAAATTTACCTTTAAAGATTTTTTATTGTACAAAAATTGTAACGAAAGACTTAAAATAAATTAATTATTTTCAATTAAATTTTACAAAATTTCAACTATTCAAAAAGATTTGTTTATACAGGGTGGCCATTTTTTTGTAAAAAAAAATTCACGGTCATTTCCCGGTCATAAATTATTTTTCCCGGTCATAAATAATAACTCTGAAAATAAATTATTCCATGAAAGATTGAAAGAATTTCCTGATTTTTAGACAAAACTTTGACTTTTTCCTAAAACCTAAAAATATTTTAGTTTACTCTAAAAATAATTTTGAACTTAAATAGATTTTTTGAAATAAATATTTAATTATTATCCATTATTTTTCCATATAGTAGGTATTCAAATTTTAAAAAAATTCAAATTTTAAATCCTTTAAATTTGAATAATTTTTAAGAATTGCTACTGTAACTTATTAACAATTATTTTCAAAATTTCAATTCAATTATATTCTAGAAATAACTAAAATATTTCTAAAATCCACTTGTTTACAAGACAATTTCATGAAATTTTGAATAATTTAAAAATTTTTTCAATTAAATATTAGGTACATATTTAAAAACATAACTAATTTGAAAAAAATGTGAATAAAAATATTTTTAAAAACTGACTTATTCAGAATTTTTAATTAAAATCTTTTAAAATTCAACTTTTCTAAAACTTAAATTTGAAATTTTTTAAAATTCAATCTATAATAATTATTAATTTAACATTCTAAAATACAGAAAAGTTTGCTTATCAATAATTGCAAAAAAAACTAATTGATATTAATGCAAAATACGATTTTTTAAAAATTTATTTTCTAAAGAAAGAAATTTTATTTATTTTTATATACATTATTTATTATTCTAAAATTAATTTTTATAAATTTCGTATCACTTTTGTTCTAATTAGTTCAAATTTTTAATAATTCTTATTTGTTTTGTTATAATATTATTGCAAAAAAATTTTTAAATTGATTTATTTTTCACTATTCTATACGATGTGAAATTTTTTCTCATTGAAATTTTTTTGACAAGTTTAATTAAAATTATATTTTGTTTAATTATTGTTAGAAATAGAAAGAATTTAAAATTAAATTTAATATTTTCTTTTTCTAAATCTGTTACGTTGGACAGCAAAATTCATAATTTTCTTATAAATTCTAGAAATTGAATATTTTTATAGTACTTTTTATAAAATTCTCTGACAAAATATAAATAGATTTTATAGAAGATCGTTCAATCTTTTTTAATGAAATATAGTTAATACCTAAGTCTTGAAATAAATATTTTTATTTTTTCTCACAAAATAATGTGTGTTTTTAAAAAAAAATCCAAAATCCCGGTCAAGTTCAAAATTCATTGTCAAATCCCGGTTTTCCCGGTTTCCCGGTCCAGCTATAATTTATAGTTATTTTTCACATTATAAAAATCAAAATAACTTGTACTTTTTTTTTACTAAAAATTGTGGTATTTTGTCGCAATTATTTTAAATGAGTCGAAAAAAGTCACAATTTTCTTAATTTCCCCGACAAAATTTTTTCCTGACATTTCCCTTACTTTACTGACATTCTTGCTTTGAAATATATTCAAAAATAATCTTTTTTATTTTTTAACATACAGGAGTAAAAAAAACTTATTTTTTTAATTTGCAATATCCACGTGGACAATTGTATAGGGGGGAGGGGGTTTGACAAATGTCCACGACTGTCCACAACGGGGGGCGGGGGGGGTCAAAAATTGGTGAAAAATTGTCCACGTGGTTTATGGACGGCCCCTAAGGGATTCAATTATTTTTATAAATAATAAACAGGATGGCCACATGTCAGTAAAGTCAGTAAAGTCAGGGAAATGTCAGTGAAACAAAATTTCTGTCAGTAAAGTCAGGGAAATATCAGGGAAACAAATTTTTTGTCAGTTAAGTCAGGGAAATCTCAGGGAAACAAATTTTTTGTCAGAAAAGTCAGAGAAATGTCAGGAAAAAAATTTTTGTCAGGGAAATTAAGAAAATTGATAATATTTTCGACATTGCAACAAAATGCAACAATTTTTAATACTTAAAAAATTGCAATTTATTTTGATTTTTATAATGCGAAAAATAACTATAAACAAATCTTTCAAAAATTGTTTGTTAATCATTTTTTAATATAATTAAATTTTTAAAATTTTTATATAATAAAAACCATTTTGAGCAGTTGAATTTTTGTAAAATTTAATTGCAAATATTTAATTTATTTCAAGTTTATTTACAATTTTTGAAAATGATTTTTTGAAGAATTTTAATTGTAAATTTTGAAAATAATTCAAATATAAAAAATTTTAATAAAAAATCTTTAAAGGTAAACTTAAAAATAAAAATTAAAGAAAATTAGCTTCTAATTTTTTTAAATTCAATATTTTCAGTATTTTCAATTACATATTTCCAAAAATTCAAATACATACAAAAATAATAACATTTTAGAATTATTTTTAACATTTTGGAGAAAACAATCAAGTTCAAAAATTTTTAATTAAAATTTAAAAAAATTAATTAAAAGTTTTTTAAATTTTACAAAATTTTTTTTAAGAAATTCAATTATTTTTGAAAAATTACATTAAAATATTTTTAAAAACTAATTAATATTTTTTTAAGATTTAATTATCTACGAACAATGTAAATAAAAATTTATGAAAATTTACTTTTTGAACTTATTAAAATTTTTGAGAAATCATGGTTCTGTTTATAATTAAAAATCTTTAAAAATTTGATCATTTCTATTTATATTTTTCAAAAATTCAATTGTTTTTAAAAGATTTTACCAAATTTAAATGGTTTGGAAATTTTTCAAAATTGAAAATTATTATCTTTCAAAAATTATTTTAAATATATAATTAAATTCTAGAAGAATTTTTGGGAAATTATTTAAATTAATTGATTCAGAGATAAAGTTTAGTTAAAAAGTGTAAAAATTAATTGAACTCAGGAAGGGTTATAACTTTACACGGAGAGAAATTTATAGTAGTGGGTAACATAATTGTGGTTAGGGTGACCATCTTTAATGCTACGTATACAGACAGCTATCTAGATAGTCACCGTTACCATCAATATCATCAGGAGTAACATCTTGGTAGTAAGGGGTAGCATAACTATATTTTTTTTAGCATCTGTGATGGTTGGCAGTAGCATAATGATAGTATCGTGTAACATCATCTTTTTAACATCAAAATCTGACTATCCATTTCTCTCAGTGTAATTTTTAGAAATTATTAAAATTCATAAATTTTACCCATTTTCCGTAAACATTTATATTTTCCTGTAAAAAGAATTTCGTCAGGGAAAGTAATTTTAATGTCAGTAAAGTGTCAGGGAAATGTCTGGGAAATTGATAAACTGAAACTTGTGGCCACCCTGAATAAAACTCATTTTAAGAAACATTCAATTATTCAATAAGTTATTGTTTTTAATTGAATTCTCATAGAATTTTCTAATAAAAATTGACTTGAAAGTGAATTTTAAATAATAATTAAATATTTAAAGCATTAGAGCATGAATTTTTAGAAATAATTTAATTTTTAAAAGGTTTCAAATTAAAATCTTTGGAAATCAGAATTTTTTATACTTTTAACTAACAATTCTGTAAAATTAATTTTTTTTGGAAAAGTTTAATTGAATTTTGTTTTAAATTATTTGAAGTTTTTATTTCCTAATATATATTTAATAAATAATAAATAATTAATAAATTGACGAATTTCTGAATAATTGAAATTTCGTAAAATTGAATTGTAAACAAATGTATTTGAAGATTCTGAAAGAACTTTTTCAAAAATTATTAAAAATAATTGATTTAAAGAAGAATTTTAGTTGAAAATTCTAGAAAATAATAATTGAATTGAAATGATAAAAAATAATTTTGAAGAAGTAACTGTAACAATATTTTTATAATGTAAAATAATGATTTCATCACTCGGTCATCTTTAATTATTATAAAACACTAAGAAATCGATCACTCCGTATCGAAGACACGGAGTCAACGATTTTTTCATGTTTTATAAAAACAAAATTAAATTTTTGTGGCAACCCTGTCTATCTTTTTATGTATTTTTTATATTTTGCCTTCTGATTTTTCTGTACATTTAAAAACTTGAATCAAATAAATTAATTTTACTCTCTAAAATTCTATTTAATTCTCGAAAATTTAAACACGACAGGAAATATTTTCTTTGTTTACAATCAATTTTTAACTAATTATTACAAGTTTTGCTATTACTTTTAAATTAGTAAAAGTTCTGAAAGTTCAACTGAACGTAATTTATGTATTTCTTTTCTAAATTCAAATTTTATTGAAATAATATTGCGTCACGTATTAAAAAATAATTTCTTGTTTCAAAGTGTCAACATTTATAATTTGTATTGCAGTCAGAAATTTTTTGATAATATTTATACTTAAAAAATATTTCGTTGATTTGAACGTTCAGAATTTTTTGAGAATACATATGACTTAATAACTTTCCTTTTTTTTAACAGGAAATGAAAATTGTGAGAAGAAATCAAAAGAAGTGGATGATTTGAATGATGAACAAGAAGACGAAACACTTAATAAGGGAAATTGAATAGAGAATGATTTTTTAATACAATTCATCAGCGCAATCGAGTGAGAAAATATATTTCAAAAAAATATACATTGAGGGAAGATTTATTTACAAACTGAAAGAAATTTGAAGGAAGGGATAAAAAAATGGTTATAGTTTCTATTCTGCTAATGCAAAACAAAAGGTAATGTTTTGTTTATAAAATTTTTAACACACAAATTAATTTATTTTGATAAATTAAGGTATTTTTGTTACTATCCATGGTAATTTTCCAGTTCTTTTGAAACACCAATAATCGTACAATAATTTTCCAATAACAAGAAATATTAAGAAAGCAAGTATAATGTTTAAAATATCTAAAGGCAGCCAATAATCGTCGTCTGGGGTGACACAAACTTCAGTTCTTTTCAATTCTCTAATCTGGAGAAAAAAATAAAAGACGAAAATTGCAATTAGTAAATTACATTATTTTCCATTTTATTTCAGTTTTTATTTTAATTCAATTTACCACTTTTTTTAATTTTCTTTTTGTTTGACAATTTGTCTCAATTTTCTATTTCTATTTAATTTAATTATTACCTGTTTGTTTGCATTTTCATCTGCGTCACTCGAACATCGAATATCATTGATATCTTTTACTAAATTTGCAAATCGAATTAAAAAATCCTAAAAGTTTTTAACAAAATTTTTTTAGTGGAATAGTATTTAAAAATTTAGCCTAATAATTAATAAATTTTTTCATCTACTTTATTACTATTTGTACTATAATTATTTTCTTTCTAAATTGTTTATCAATTGTTTTTGCAATTAAATTACCTGAAATCCTGGAGTAAACAAACAATCACATCTCCATGGATTATTCCCAAGATATAAACGAGCTGAATTTATGCTGTGAGGTAAAACATGCTCCAGAGCATAAGTTGGAAGCTGTAAAAAAAGCTATTATTTTCTTTTAACTAAAAAAGTACATAATCTAATTAACAAATTTAATTTAATATTTATGTATAAAAAACGAAATAATTAACGTAAAAACCAAAAAAGAGTTACAAAATAATTAAAAAATGGTTTTGACAAAAAGCAAATGTAATATTAATGATTTAAATTTTTGTTAATTGAAGATCAATTATTGATAATTGAACATCAATTACTAATATTAATGTAATATTATTAATAAAAAGTAAGGTACAAGAAAATAAGAAATATACAGTAATAAAAATATTCCGTTGATTAATAATGCAATAATTAATATACATATCATAATACGAACATCTGTTAATTTATTATTACGAAGACTGAGAAGTCGAAAGTTTTCGAGCCAATATGAACCATCAAGAAGACTAACAGTCTCTACTAAATTATAATCCAAATAAAGATCCAAGACTCGCTTGTAAACAGGATTTGCCTTCAAAGGTGTTAAGTCCGTAATCTAAACTCAAAAAAAAACCGAAGAAAGACTTTAACCTTTATAAAAATATTGGCAAAAAATATAATAGAAAGTTAAATTTAATTTTTATGTAAATTGAAAGGTACATGGAAAAAATATCCGTTTAAAATTTTCTTTCCTTTTGTATGTACCTTATTTTCCGAAAGTTGAAGAACAGTCGTGTTTGCTGGCAAAAACGATGGCATTTCGGTTAATCTTCTATTACTACAATTAACAGTAACGAAAGCCATTAGTTGCTTTTGAATTTGTCTGTCGACACGTCCGTAAACATAAGTCAATTGACATTCACAAACAGTGCGTTTACATTCATCGTTTAGGGCCTATTTTTCGAAAAATACCAATTATCGCTTCTCAAAAGAAGAAAATAAATGGGAATTTATTTCAAAATTAATAAGAAAAATTGTTAATACAAAAAATTATTAATCTAAAATTAACTTGCAAGTCTAAACCACAAAAAAGAAAAAGAAAAAAAATTAATAATAAGAAAAATGATTAATAAGAGAAATTAATAATTATACAAATTATTAATAAGAAACATTAATAAATCCATGAAACTAATTAAAATGCAATGTGATGCAATAAAAAATGAAACTAATTAATAAAAATTTTTGTCCAACTTTAGTGATAACATATATAATAAAATGCAATGAAATATAAACAACAATAAAACAATGAACTAAAAAAATTATATTATTAAAATCGACAGAAAATGAATTTAATTGCAAAATAATTTATAACTTTTATTTTTACTATTTCAGAGCTTACTACTAATATCTCAACAACTGGAACAAGTGGCCGTCCATCGTATGGCGTCGAGCATTGCAAATCAAATTTGTCATCAATTTTATTAGCGATGGAATAATTTTCTGCATTTAAAATCCATGACATTTCTTTTCTACATTTCCAAGGGTTACCTTCAATAAAATAAATTTATTTATTTCCACTCAAACTACTGAAATGGTTCATATTCACAGGTAAATATTGTAGAGAGTAATTTCTCATTTAGTACATTTTGATTTAAAAAAAATTATTTTGAAATGAAAAAAAATGAAAATTCATCTGAAAAGTAAAAAATATGAAAAAGCGTACGTAAGCTCACCAAACAGATAAATTGATTGCAATGTTGTTAAATTGAAAACTTCTGGATTTATTTCACTTAGATTATTATACCTTAAATCGAGAATTCGAAGTGATGATAAATTTTTCAAAAATTCTTCGTGAAATTTTTCTAATTTCGTTCCAATAATTTCTAGTTTCTGTTTTTGAAATATTTAATATTAATTAAAACTTTTTTTATGTGACAAGAAAAGAAGTTTATTTCAATTAATTATTTTCTAATAAAAAGGACTAAATTAGTTCAAAGTAATTTTTAGACCCAATAAATTATTAATATCAATAATGTGTTATTTGCAATAATAAATTAATATTAATATATTAATTATATTAAATTATCATTATGAATAAGAAATTTAGCTAAATTTATCTTTATCGTAATAAATAATGTTTCCTTCATTAAATTATACTTGGAGTATAAATTATTTATTTGAGTAGTCAATTAAAATGTAAACAAACGGTATTTTCATTAACTTGCCTCTAATTTTTCTGCCTCCTTTGGAAAAGGACTTATATTTTTTAAACTCCCGTTAATAATAGAAAAATTTTGCAAAGATGGAAAATACTGTAAAATTTCTGAATCAAAATTCGTGTCCGGCCAGTCGCAGAATGTTAAACTGCGCAATTTTTTCGATCTAAATTAAAATGTATAGACAAGAAGATTAAAAAGGCAATTTCAATTTAAGTAGAATTATTGTTTTAATGAAATAAATAAATAATTACCCTATTTTTTGTGATTCAATTCCGCCGTGACAAATTAAATGATCTTTTTTAAATCGACACACTGGAGAAACATCTGTTAATTTTGAGGTTTCTAATTCGCAAATATGAATTGCATACAAGCGAGACAGTTTCATCGACAAAAATAATATTAACAATCTGTAGAAAAAAATATTTTAAAAAGCTTTTAGATATAATAACAAAAAATTTCAAAAATATTTTTATTTGCAACAGGCGTTTTTCTTAAGAAGAATTAAAATTCTAATGTGAAAAAAAGTAAAAATTATCATTATTATTGTTATTATTATTACTTATTATTTTTTATTATTATTATTGAATTAAAAAATTATAACAAAATTATGAATATATTAGGATATAAATTATATTCATTGAATTTTTGAATTAACGTGATTTAATTAAATTTATTTTAATTTTCTTCTTTTTCAGGAAACTTTCCTCACTATAATATATAATAATAATTCATCTTCTTCACTTTACTTTGTGGGATTTTAACCGTTTATTTACAATTGCGATAACGACATTTTAACGATATTTTAAAAAGGCAAAGTGAAACTAGTTTAGAAAGCAATTATCTAGTGAATTCTAAATTTTTTTTGTAAAGAATTTATTCTCATCAAGCACGTGATTTTTTAAAATATTCTCCGCCATTATGAAAAAATGGTTCATACTTAATACGAAAAAAAGAAATTTAAATATTCAAAAAAAGAAATTTAAATTTTCATAAAAGGAATTCAAATATTCAAAACAATGATATTTTTTCTAAAAAATTTTGTAAACTGAAAGTAGATTAAATTTTGTTGTTTGTTTGTTTTGATGTAAATTTCCAAAAAAAGAAAAAAGTACAACAATGTTTATGACTTACAATGACTTGAATTGATTTAATTGACTCGAATTAATTTTTATTATCATTGTTTAGGAAGAAAAATAAAAATATAATCTGATTCGTAACACTGATTTCAGATGAAAATCTCAAAGTAAACTGAGCGTGCTTCAGTACCAAACGAATAGAATAGATGCAAAATACAAAACAGGATATATGTTATATTGCAAATAAAACAAATAAAAGTGATTTATAGTAAATTAGCGATTTTTTTGCAAGTTACTTAACTTATATTACAAGATTTTTCTAATTTAATGTAATTAGATATTGAAATATTTTAATATAATTCTGATATACGTTACTAGAAATCGCTTTAAAAAAAATCTTTCACTTTCCGAATTTTAATTAACTGAATAATTAATTTTTAATTTATTGAAACATTTTAAAGAGGAATAGACGTAATTGAATCGAAAAATTATTAGACTTAAAACAAAGGGATTAAATGTTTTCAAATATTTTTGTTTCTTTAATTTAAATTCAAAAATTATTAAATTTAATTAAGCAATTGAATTTATTCTTAAATAATTTATCGTATTAATTTGAATCAAAAAAGATTATTAAATTTAGTTAGCAACTGAATTATTTCAATTTATTTAATTTCATAAATTGAATGTTTCAATAATTGAAAAAAATGCTTTACAAAATTAATTTGTTCAAAAAGTTCAAATAATTTCATAAATTGAACTAGAAAATGTTTCACGCGAAACGCTGTTATCAATTTTTTTTATTATTATGCAAATAAAAGTTTTTATTTTCAAATATCAATTCCAATTTTTGAATAATTTCAAAAAAATATCAAAATTCAAAAAATAACTTATTTAATTACTGAACAATTAATTATTATAATATTTATTATTTTCTACAATTTTAATAAATTTCTTGGAAACAATTCAATTAATTTGAAAAAATTTAATTTAATTTAATATATTTATCGAAAGAATTCAATTATTTTAAAAATTTTGTATGAAATTTTTTTTTAAATTTATGTTATTTTCATAAATAATGAAATTCTTCGCAGGATTTGAATTATTGTTAAGGAGTTATACTATCCAGACGCACTAAAAAATGAACGTTTTTTAGATAATTTTTTTCTTGGAAAAAAATAACATTATCCGAACAGCACCAAGAGCAAAAAACAAAATTTGTCGTTAATCTACATTACTTTTTCTAGGGATGTACCCACGATTATATATTTTTATGAAAAATTCGCAAAATGGCATCAGTTTTAACATTTTTTTTTCATTTTTTAACTAAAAATCGACTTTAAATTGTTTATAACAATCTTAATTATTTGTGAATCTTAAAAAGCGTGTGTACTTCCCTAGATAATTTATCTGACAAGTTACAGTTAAAATTCCAAATGAATCTGTAAAAAATTGAGCGAGTTTAAAATTTAAAATTATGATGTTAAAAGTAGTTTATTGAATTTTCGTAGACAAAATAGTATTTACATATCATTCTTGAATAGTTTATGCATCATTTAATTCAATAAAAAATTTTTTTAAAATTTTTTTTGCTGAGTAGTATAATCCCTTAATTTTAATAAAATTCTTCAAAAATTTTAATAAATTTCTCAAAAAAATTCAGTTATTTTTAATAATTTTTATAAAATTCTTTATAAAAGTTAAGTTATTTTCAATACAATTTTATTTAAAATTCTCGAAATAATTCAATTATTTTCCAAAATTTTAATAAAATACCTCAAAAGAATTCAATTCTTTTCATAACAAAATTCTTCGCAGGAATTCAGTTATTTTTAATACAATTTTAGTAAAATTCTTGGGAAGAATTAAATTATTTTCGAAAAAATGTAATAAAATTTCTCTTATAAATTCAATTAATTTTAAAAATTGTAATAAATTTGTTTGCAGGAATTGAATTATTTTTAGAGATGATAAACTTCTTCCCAGACTTTTAATTATTTTTAAAAAGTTTATAATACATTCTTCGCAAGAATTCAATTATTTTTTTCATAAATAATAAAATCTTTTAGACGAATTGTAGAATTTGTAGAAGAATTAATTAATTAATTAGAATTTGTAGAAGATACAGTTTAAAAAAGTCACTAATCTTAATTAAATAAATAATTAAATAATTAAATAAATAAATTAATTAATTAAATTAAATTAAATTAAAATTAATTAATTAATTAATTTAATTTTCATTCTAAAATTAATTAATTAAATTTAATAAAATTCTCGCGTGAATTAAATTATTTTAAATTGAAAATTATAAATGTTACAAAAAAATTAATTAATTAATTAAATTAAATTAAATTAAATTAAAGGTATTTTCACTTTTCTATGTTAAAAAATATTTTCTCGTTTATTATGTATACAGTATTATCACATAAAAGTCTGTGTAATTAAATTAATTTTTAAATATTAATATATCAATGTATAGAATATTAATTAATAATTTAATTATTAACGGCACTTTATTAAATTAATTTAATTAATTTAATTTCTTAATTAATTAATTAATAATTAAGAAATTAATTTAAATTGACTAAAAAGAATTTTTTTAAACAAATATTCTTAGTCAATTTTCATTCTAAAATGAATGAATGAATGAATGAATGAATGAATGAATGAATTAAATTTAGTAAAATTCTCGCGTGAATTAAATTATTTTAAATTGAAAATTATAAATATTACAAAAATTATAACATTTTCTAAACAAAAATGTATTTTAAAATTAAAAATAAATTCTCTTATATTAACGAAAAATTATGGAGAATAAAATAATTTAATAAATTTCTTTTTCGCAAAAATAATATAAAAAAACTTATTATCTAAATGGGATATAAAACTACCGAGAAGGTATTTGAAAAATTAAAAAATGAAATGTATGACAATTGTTTGTTGGTATAAATCGAACTTTATTTTTTTTCAATTGTTAACACTCATACATATTTTATTTCAAATTGCACACATTCTTGAAAACTACACTGCTATTGTTTATTCTACTTATCACTACAATATTTTTTTTTTGGAATACAACTAGAGATCACTCAGGTAACTAAAGCAAATTCGTGGTTTTAATTTTATTTGCTTGTCTCGAGGTAAAATCAATAGTATTTGACAGTTTTCGTTTCTTTTGTACATGTAAATAAATATTAAAATATTTAGCTTACTATAAGAAGATATGGCGAGGTTTTATTTTGAAAATCTAAGAATATTACATACTTGTTTATTTATTAAAAATATATATCTTTCATTCAATTAACTCATTTTTATTTTTTTGATAATATGATATTTTTTTGGATTTAAAATTTAATTTAAAAATTATTACTTTTTTCTTCTCTGAAATATGTCAAATTTATTAATTTTTGAATTACATAACTACATAAAATTCTTTACATTTCAGTACGAATTGACTAAAAAGAATTTTTTTAAACAAATATTCTTAGTCAATTTTCATTTTAAAATTAGACAATGAAGAATTTTTGAAAAAATATTTTAAAAGGTATTTTCACTTTTCTATGTTAAAAAATATTTTCTCGTTTATTATGTATACAGTATTATCACATAAAAGTCTGTGAAATTAAATTAATTTTTAAATATTAATATATCAATGTATAGAATATTAATTAATAATTTAATTATTAACGGCACTTTATTAAATTAATTTAATTAATTTAATTTCTTAATTATAAATTCTTTTTTGGAACGTATCAAAAAAATTTTTAATTATAAACATATTTTTTATAAATTGTACTTGATAATTTAAAAATGTAGAAGATATAGTTTAAAAAAGTCACTAATCTTGTTTAATGATAATCATTTCATATTGATTTAAACATACACAATGACAAGATTATTATTTTATCATCAAAAATTCTTATTTTATTGTAAAGAATTTTTCTTTTTTAATACTAGACGATTAATTGATTTTAATTAATATATATATTTAATTAATAATTTATTAAAATCTATTTGTAGCAATTGAGATCAGTGCATCAAACTTAAGTATACACTTTAGCGTTAAAAAACGAGTATATCTGATATCTTAAACTTCAATGTATCCATAATTTTATGCATTTTTTTCTCTCATAATTTGATAATAAGAGAGAATAATTTCTTTTTGATAATTCACAATAATTTTTGGGATCAGAAGAAAATAGAAAATTGTTTTCTATATATCCCTTTGGTAATTGTTTCACAATCACTAAATAATAAATTTAATAGAAAAAAAGGTAAACAATAGAATAAAAAAAATATCCATTTCAATTGTTTTCAATTTATGTATAAATTATGATAATATGAATTTTACAAAATATACAAATTGAACAATAATTTAGGAAATGAATTTAATATCTGTCTCTCGTTAAATTCACACTCTTAAATTAATATTGTTATTAATGATTCTAAAGTAGTGAACAATTTAGGCGAGATTTTTTATCTTTATTTTTATTCTTTAAATCAAAAATAAGAAAATTTGACATAAAGAAAAAAGTTTAGAATAAAATAAATAGAAAAAAAGTCGCCTAAATTTAATATGTTCAAAATCTAAAGGAAAATTCTACCTCAAACATCGGCTAATATCCAAAAATAAAGGGGACGCAGCTCATGATCTAGAACTTTGTATTCGAGATTATTGAGACCATCAGTGTCGAATTTGCGTGCTCCGCTTTCTAGATTTTCGTAACGTGTCACACTCGGCGTTTCCTTTTTATGTGTAAGCATGTAATATTGAGCTACGTCTGGTCCAAATCTTGTAACCTAAGGAAAATTACAATTTTTTAATGTATAAAAATAAATATAACAAATAAAATATTTAAGGTTTAAATTATGCTAATTTGAATTAATTCATTGTATAATTAAACAATTACACAATTCATTAACTAATTTCGAAACAAATTTTATTAAAATTGTAGGAAAATAATGAAGCAAATATATTCGAACAAGTGGTTTTTGATAAAAATTTGCTCCAATCAATGTTTAGAAAATTAATAAAATTCTTTGAAACACTTAAATTCTTTTCAAAAATTTGGATAAAATTAATCGCTAGAGTTTTTCAGTTTCATGAAAAAATGCCTTTCGAGGCAATTTTAATTATTAAATTTCTTGAAAAAATTCAATTATTATCATAAATAATATTTTTCAAAATAATTCAAATAAAATTCCTTGCAAGGAGGAATTTAATTTAATTTAATTATTTTCAATACAATATTTTAACAAAATTTCTCAAAATAATTCAATTTCTTAACAAAATTCAAATAAAATTCTTCACAGGAATTCAATTATTTTCATAAATAATAAAACTCTTTACAAGAATTCAAATATTTTCAATAATTTAAATAAAATTTCTCAAAATAATCCAATTATTTTTAAAAATTCCCATTAAAATTTTTCACAGAAATTCAATTATTGTCATAAATAATAATACACTTTACTGGAATTCAATTATTTTCAAACTTTTGAATAAAATTGTTCGAAAGAATTCAATAAATTATTTAAAAAATAATTTTAGTAATAAAAATTCAATTTTTTAATTACGATTATTAACAAATACGTTTATTATAAAAACTTGAAAGGTATTTTTCATAAAATTCAATTACTTTTAAAAATAATGAAAAATAAAAAAAATTTAATGTAAATAGTTTATATTATTATTATTATTGTTATTATTATTATTATTATTATTATTATTATTATTATTATTATTAATATGATTATTTCCTCTCAATTCTTTAAAAAAGATTAAAAATTTATTTTCTCATTAGTTAACATAAATTTTAATTGTTATTCTTTTGAAATAAAATTATTTACGATGCAATTTTGTGGACTCTTTAATGCTGCTTTTTACACTCACAAACATATATGAATAAATTCTATTGTCTGTGTTGTAAAATTCAATTATTTACCAATTAATAAATTACAATTCTTTGAAAATTCGATTTTTTTTAAATATTTGATGAAATTTTTCAACGAACTTAATGATTGTCACTTCAGTTTAAAAAGATTTTAATTAGTCTGATAATTATATTTAAAAATTTAAGAAATAATTTTTTTTCTTTGGAGTTCGAATATCTTTAAAGAATTTTATTAAAATTTCTCCAGAATTTAAAGTAAATTTATATAAAACTTTAATAAATTTATTCAAAAATTAAATAAATATTTAATTATTATTAATTTTTTCACAACAATTAAAATGTTTGAAAAATTTTAGTCTAAAATTTTCTGAAATTTAATTATTTCTAAAAATTGTAACTGTTTATAAAGAAAATCGTCTTTTAGTTCATTTTTATTAATATCTTTAGGAAAGTTATTCTAGAATTTAATTATTTACAGAAATAAGAAAAAAATCTAAGTAGGTTTTGTTTTTTTTTCACCAAAAATTCTGAATTTTTTTAGTAATTTTAGAAATTCAATTTTTTTTCCAGTTCTTTTGATAATATTCCTTGACATTTTCCTGATTACTCTGACCTGTGGAAACATGACAATAACATTTTTGTATATTTTATTGTTTTTTAGTTATTATAATATTTTTATTTTGAAAGACTCCCTGATAATCCTTCTAACTGAATAATGAAGCAAAATAAAAAGAAAGAAAAATATTAAAGAAAATTTTGAACAAACCGTAAGTCCTCTGGTCTGCAGTCTTCCATAGAAATCATCGTCCTCGCCGCCCCAGCCGTAAAAAAAATTGGCAAATCCATTCGCCTGTTCAAATTGCTTTCTAGTCAATGCAATTGCACCGCCAAATAATCCAGTGTACGGTAAATTATATCTAAATGTATTAACACTTGAACTCATGTGTCTTGGCATTTTTGTGCACGCATAAATATTGTCCGTATTTTGTGGAATAAGATCAATATCCTGGAAGATAAAACAATGAAAATCATTGATTTTCGTTGCCTCCGCATAGCCGACATTAAATAATTTCGCTCTATTAAATTCCCTCGTTGGACTTTGTTCAATAACAAATATTCTATAGTCTAAATTTTGTGACTGAAGAAATGGATGAATGAAATTCATAAATATTGCAAGTTGCGTTGGTCGATTACGATATGGCAATATTATTGCCACATTAAATAGAGGATGACAATTAAGTGGTTTCCATTGACCACCTGGCAATATTCCCAAACGTCTTGCCAATGCTGCTGGATCTTCGCGTGGATGTTTATCCGGGTAGAGTAATTGTGATGGTGTTCTACCATTAATAACAAGATCACATGAATTATCACGAGGCAAAAATGATCTTTCCATTTCAATATAAATATCTTTGGTTTTAATGAAACTATAATGCGCTGCAAATCTACCGGGATGAAGGCAGTAAGAGAGCATAAAGAGTAGAATTATTGTAATTGTCAAACCACGGGCATACTCGTAGAGAAACCCCACGAATGTCTTTACAACATTCATAATTCCTCGCATTTTTACCACCTCTTTTTCATTTCTCAAGTTATTAACATCATGTCACGGCTCTTTCACCTTGCTTTCATTTTCAACTTCTAAACAAAATACATTATTGATTATTTTCTCTTAAAAAAAGTGATAAACATTGATTGTTATTGTTTTATTTACCTAAACCACCTGAACTGACAAAGTATACCTAGAAAACTGAAGAAGTGAAGAGGATAGAGGAACTAAAAAAAACAATTATTAATGCGAATACACACGTTTTGACGTTGGTCAGTTGGTCTTGTTTTTCACATTCCCAACCCTGCACTAAATGGACAAGTTTTCCGGAAATAAAACAGTTTCCTTTCTTTCTTCCACGACGCGTCAACGAGGTGCGTGTGTTAAAAATCGCCTCCACAATTGTTCTTCTATATTAACGATAAAATAATAAAATAATAACCGTATAATAATTTAATTATCTTTACAGCTTTCCCAGCTTGAAGAAGTAAAAAACAACAGCCAAAATGGTTGCACAAAAGAAACAGGTAAATTTCCTCACCACGTGTTTTTATAGGTTATCTTTTCCATATAGAACATTCTTTTTGCTTTAAAATATTTTAAAAATAATTAAAATTAATGAACAGAAAATTTATGAAATCGTAAAAAAATGCATGATTCCAGGCTTCGCACTCATCTACTAAAACCTACTATTTGTATACTTTCTTTTAGATTTGTAACACTAACAGCTACTTTTTTCTTTTTCTTGAGAATTTGTACTACTTTTAATTCGCTAATAGTTGAAATAAAAAAATTATTCTCAAAAATTTTTATAAAATTCTTCTAAAAAGTTTAATTCTTTTCATAAATAACAAAATTCTTTGTTTAAATTCAATTATTTTAATACATAGTAAAACTCTTCGTAGGAATTCAATTACATATATTCCAAAATTTCAATAAAATTCTTGTCAAGAATTCAATTATTTTCATAAATAATAAAATTCTTTACAGAACATCAATTATTTTAAAAAATTTCAATAAAATTCTAGGTAAAAATTAATTTAACTTCATAAATAACAAAATTCTTCGTATAAATTCAATTATTTTAAAAAATTTTGATTCAATTCTTAGAGAAGATTTAATTCTTTTTATAAATAGCAGAATATTCTTCGCAAGAATTCAATTATTTTCAAAAATTTTAGTAAAACTCTTGGCAAAAATTCAATTATTTTCATAAATATTAAAACTCTTCACAGAACTTTAATTATTTTTTCTAATTTCATTAAAATTCTAGTCGAAAATTCAATTATCTTCATAAATAATACAAAATTCTTCCTATAAATTCAATTATTTTCAAAACATTCTAGTACAATTCTTCGAGAAAATTCAATTCTTTTCATAAATAATAAAATTCTTGGCAACAATTCAATTATTGTTACAAATACATAATCATAACTCATCGCTGGATTTAAATTATTTTTATACAATTTTAAGTAAATTCCCCGAAAAATGCAATTTTTCTTAAAATTTTCATTACAATGATTCAAACGAATTCCATTAAAAAAAATTCTAGTACAATTTTTAAATAAGAATTAAATCAAAAATGAATTTCAGTTAAAATTTCAAAGATCAATTGAATATTAGAAGCGTCATAACTAAAATTTTAAGAAATAATAAAATTTCAAAATATTTTTAAATTGTTTGCAAATTTTAATTCTTGTAAAAATGTAAAATTTATATTTTTATTTTAAAAAAATATTAATTTAGAATTTTTAATAAATAATTAAAGTTTTGAATAATTTTATTTAAAAATTTCAACAACAAAAAATGATTGACTGACAAATTATAATTTTTAGAAATAGTTAAATTTCAAAAAGTCTTTACATTAAATTGAGGCCTTGGATCCAATAACTCGCCCGACGCTCGGAGGAACGCGCAACTACCAGTCAGTGAGCAGTGAGCGCCTCTGGGCCACTCACTGCTACCCGACTGGCATTAGCGCGAGTCTCCGAGCGTCGGGCGAGTTATTGGATCCAAGGCCTCAATTGAAATCATTTAAAATATTTTAATTCCTGTGAAAAAATAAATAAGTAATTTATTAATTATTTAACAAAAATTATTCAAGTTTTGAATGTAATTAAACTTTGAAATTATGAAGAAAAAATTAGTCTTTTGAAAAATTGTAATTAGAATTTTTTTGTAAGTAGTTCAAGTCAAGTAAATAAAATTCAAAAAGATTAAACTAGATTTCCAATTACTTATTTGGAAATTTTGTCAAATTTAATTGAAACATTTTATATTTTAAAAAATTAAAAAACTATTTCTAAAAATAATCTTATTGTTGAAGAATTTAATATTACAATTTAGAAAACAATTAAATTTTTTAAAAATTTTAGAATCGATATTATTAGCAGAATGAGAAATAAAATTTAATATTTTTGATATTTTCCGTCTTAAAGCTACTTTTTTAAAATCAATTATCAAGTGCGAAGCCTGTGATTTTTTTAAATGGTAGAAAAATGGAATTTCTACGTATATTTTGTTTATATTTCTTGTTTCTTGTTATAGAAAAAGGCGATGGAGAGCATCAACTCCAGGCTCGCGTTGGTGATGAAATCTGGAAAATACGTTCTTGGTTATAAGCAGACGTTAAAATCTCTTCGTCAGGGAAAAGCTAAGCTCGTTATTATTGCTAATAATACGCCTCCTTTAAGGTGAGACTGAGATGTAGTGCTCCTTTCTACAAATTTCTCTAAATTTACCTAATTCTAAAAAAAGGAAAAAAATAGTTAAATTTAAAGAAAGTTTAAAATTAAAAGATTTTTTTTTATTTTTTAAAATAAATTTTTACTCTCAAAGGAGTCCTACGGAGTAGTCTCTTAAAACTGCTAGTAAGTGCAGTAAATTTTTTTTCTTCCGGGAGGAAAAAAAACATAGTTAACGGTTTTTTTTATTTGTGTAATTGCAGAAAATCTGAGATCGAGTATTACGCAATGTTGGCCAAAACTGGAGTCCATCATTACACTGGAAACAATATTGAACTCGGAACAGCCTGCGGAAAGTATTTCAGAGTGTGTACTTTATCAATTACCGATCCAGGTAATTCTGATATTATCAAATCAATGCCCACGGGTGAACAGGCTTAAGTATTTTGTACAAATTCTTTAAATAAAAATATTTAAAATTATAAAATATTTTTCTACATTTTTCTACAGTTTATACGATCCTCGGGACTCGAACGATAATGTTCAAAAATTTTTTTAAATTCTCGTCAAAATTTCAATTATCTGTATAAATAATAAAATTCTTCTCCGAAATTCAATTATTTTCAAAAAATTTAATAAAATTTCAATTATTTTCTCAAAAATTTTCAATAACTACTAGTTCAATTATTTGCAAATTTTTTATAAATTTCTTCGCAATAGTTTAATTATTTTCATAAAGAATTCAATTATTTGAAAATTTATTGATAATATTTTTTATGAGAATTTCATTTTAAAAAATATAAATGAATCAATAAATTATTTATTCTTGTATTCAAATAATTTAATTATCGCAGAATTTACTAATAAAAATTGATTTAAAAATCAATTTCAGTTAAAATTTTAATAAAATTCTTTATAAAAATTCAATTGTTTGCATTAATAATAAAATTCTTCCTAAGAATTCAATTATTTTTATAAAATTATAAAATTCTTTTTATAGGAATTCCTCAAAAAATGTATTTATTCTTAAAAATTTGATTAAAATTCGTCATAAGAATTATTTTTATAAATAATAAAATTTTCATAAAATTTTTCGAAAAAAATCAATTATTTAAAATGATTTTTATAAAATTATTTCAATTATTTTTAATACAATTTTAAATTGTATTTAAATAATTTTTTTTTATAAAATTCTTTGCAAACATTTATTTATTTTCATAAATAATAACATTTTAACAGGAATTCAATTATTTAACACACAATTTTCATATAAATTTTCGAAAAAAATTATTTAAAAAAAGTTTTATAAAATTCATCGCAAGAGTTCAATTATTTTAATAAATAATCAAATTCTTCTTGGAATTTCAATTATTTTGAAAAATTTAAATAAAATTCGTTGAAAAAATTCAATTATTTAAAAAAAAATTTGATAATGCTGTTTATACGAGTTGAATTTTAAGAAGTTTTCAATTATTTATTTTTGCAATTAAATAATTGACTTCTCATAGAACTTTTTAATAAGAAATGATTGAATTTTTTTGAAATTATTTCAAGTAATAATTCCAGGTGAATACTTATGAAATTCCAGTGAAAAATTTAAAAAAATTTTAGGCTGATAACATAGCTTCGGCTCTTAAAAGTCTTTTTAAATTTCCAAATACCAGAAACTTAATAATAATTACGATCCAAAAATTTTGTCTTCCTTAGAGATTTTTATATGGCGATAAGATAAAAAATTTTTCCGATTTTAAATTAAAATTGAGGGTCCCTATCAAAGAACCGGTTATAAGTTTTTTAAGCTCAAAATCATTGCCCTGTAAATAAAAAATTAAACTGTTTTTAATCCCTTTTTTTTGAGAAACATTTGGGTAATCTTTATACCAATACAAAATGTTTTCAAGAAATTAAAATTTGAAATCCTTTTTTTATTTAGAGGTCGAGAATTTTGAGTCTCAAAAACTTATGACCGGTTCTTTGATAGGGACCCTCAATTTTGTTAAAAATCTTTAAAAACAGGCAAGATTTCAGATATTTTTTTAAATTCCATACGATTATCAGGTTTTTTATACCCTTTTCTAAATTCCATTCCTTTTCCAGGATTTCCAGGCTCTGTGGCAACCATGCTTAGTTAAAAATTTTAGAAAATAGTAATTGAATCAAAATTATGAGAATAATTTTGAAGAAGTTACAGTAACAATATTGATATAATATACCTAACTTGAAGAAATCTTCATAACTATAGTTGTGAAAAAATTTAATTTATAGTTTTAAGTAAAATGTTCTTTTATTTAACTTGGACTGGTTATATTTTTGTCAGTAAATTGGTCCTTAAATGGTCCGTAATTTTTCATTTTTGGTCCGTAAAGTCCGTATTTTTAAATACTTTCACTGGTTCGAGCTCTGGATCCTGAATATTTCGTTAAATTTAAAATCAAAGAATAAAATTTACAAATTTTGTTTAAATTTAAAATAAATCAAAGTAAAATCCAAATAAAGTTTACAAAATTTGTTTTATTTAAAACAAAGTATAAATTTACAGCTTTTTGTTTTATTAGAAAAAAAATTAACAAGCGTATATAATAAATTAATAATTATAGTTTAGGAAATATTTTACACAATTGTTCTTTTAAAGTTAGTTAGTTTAAAAAAAAACAGAATTTAGAGGCCACAATTTGTCGGTAGTTTCTGATTATCCATAAGATTAGCCCAGTCTGGAACTCTATTTGTTTTTAAATAATTCTCTTTGCTGATGCATCTTAGTGGTAAATCGGCGATACCAAAAATGGCACCGCCAAGCCATGATGTATAATTAGCGTAACTTGGAGCTGTGTGAAATTTAAATTTTCTCACTTTTAATTTCTCCGAATAAAGTTCACTGCTCACTAAATACAATAATTCACTTTTGAGACGACTCGCAAAACCAAGGGCCATTGTTGTTCCTCCAACTAGAAGAATATTTTCCGCCAATACTCGTCTCATGTCAACTGGACACTGAAAATTTTCAGAGAAACAAATCTTTATTGCAAATTTTTATTGTATTTTTTCATTTATTAAAGATTTTTATAAATATTTTGGACTCGCTCAAATATTCCTTTGAATATTTGGATTTATTTCTCAGTTTATAATTTGTAATGCGAAACATTTTTATTTTTCTGGTAAAATATGTATTCTAATTTTTGATACTTCCTTTTTGTCCAATGTTTATTAAAACATTCAGATACGATTTCTTGAGATTATTTTTGAAAATTAGGACAAATTTAGTAGAAATTACCAATAATTAGGTATATAATAATAATCGAGATATTGTGAAGTTAGGGCTTTTTGATTCGAAATTATCATGTCAAAAGTTTGACAACTAATTTGTAAATAGAGTGATTAGTGTTTTTGTAAAATTAATTCCCCTAACATTTTTACAGTAACATGATTTTCACACGACAGGAAAATAAGTAAATTAAAGAAATTGTATCCAAAGTATTAAAAAATATTAAATTATTCAAAATCTTAAATAGACTATGAATTTTCTTTCTCAAATTCAAAAGATTCATAAGTAGAGTTACTCAATTTTTAGAAATAATCAATTATTTTATCATTTATTTTTATACTATCCAAACTATCCGCGCGCAAGCGCGCGGGAATGTTCTACTGAACTGTTTATTTTAAACAATTTGAAGGCATTTTATTTTTAAAAATTTGTAAAGAAATAATTATTATTATTACCTAACAAAAAGTTTGAACTAATTAAAGGTGGAAAAAGCTAACAATTATACAGAATTAAACTTTCATTTTATATTGTTTAGAAACTTTAAAGTTTACAAAAAAAATTTAACAAATTCGAACTTCCAATTTTTTTAAATTCTAATAATTTTCCTCAATGGTCTCAATTTAAATAGAATTTACATTACTGGACCTAAACTATGGCTAAAACAATTCCAATTAATATCTGGGTCATAAAAATGAATTTAATTCACAATAATAAATAAATATCCACAGCCGATAATCATCAGGAGGTGAAAAATTATTTTTTGAGCATATTTTATCTTTTGTATTGCTTATTTTAAACAATATAAAGCCATTTTAATTTAAATACTTTTTAAAGAAATAATAATAACACACTAAAAAATTTTTTACTTGAAACAGCGATAATTTTCTCTAGAATAGCGAAAGTATTAATTGAAGCACTAAATTAATAAATTAAATTAAATTAACATCAGATTTTGTAAAGTCAAAATAACGAATTCAACATAGACATTAATTATCTCAAAACTTTACCAAATTCACCTCAGAAATCATTGAATCCGATAAATTAGAAAAAAGTCATATAATGGAAGTTCTATTTTGAATTTCTAAAATTTAATGTTATGTTTACCACATTAGAAATAAATTTCAAGTGAATCCGATAAATTTTGTTACTTTCTTGTAGTACAATTGTAGTAAAATTGAATCTCGCAAAAATTGTTACATATTTTATACTTTTATTTCAAAAATAATTTTGATTACGAACATTTAAATTATTCTAAAAATTGAAAAAATAATTATTTATTTAGCTTTTTAAACAAAGAATTCCGTATCATTCGAAACTAAAATAACTGTTAGTTATTTTCACAAATAAAGTTTTCTACAAAAATTCAATTATTTTAACTAATAACATTTTCATAATATTTATGATATATCGAAAAAATTATTTATTATTTAAAACATTGTTCATAAAATTCTTATGAAGAATTCAATTACTTTTAAAAATAACAAAATTTTGCACAGAAATCCAATTCTTTTTAAACATTTTAATAAACTTTTCCGCAATAATTCAATTATTTTCAAAAATAATAAAATTTCTCAAAGGAATTAAATTATTTTTGAAAATTTTAATAAAATTCTTAGCAACTATTCAACTATTATTATTAATAATTCTTCAAAAGAATTCAATTATATCAATAAATAAGATTATTCCCGAAAGTTAATTTATTTTGAGGTAGGTATTTTAATAAAATTCTTTGCAAAATTCAATTATTTTCATAAATAATAAAATGTTTTTTAGGAATTCAATTATTTTCAAAAAAATTCAATAAAATTTTTACAAACTTTTCATAATTCAATGATTTTTGTTAGGATTATTTAGACGGGATCGTTTCAATCAATACACAAAGAATTAACATATATGATAACTAATAGTGATGTTTATTATTTAAACAAAGAAGGAGATGTTTCTTCTTCTTCTTCTTAAATGACTTGTGGCCTTGCCGAGTGTCAGAACTATTAACGTAAGAAGAATGAGAAATATGTTAAGATTAGTTGTTGTTATGTGAAATCCCTTGGTCAAAAAACATGTAGATAGGTCTCTCCAGCAAGCAAGCGGTGGGAACCGTATTTATATGTAGAGCTGGTTCCAGTGGTCTACAGAGGTCGTTCAGACCAGCGGGTAAAGTCAATTATAGGGATAGTTAAAATAAGGGATTGGATAAATATTTAGGCTGTAAGTTAAATAATTAAATAAAATGATGATTAAATGTGAAAAATTTTCCCAGCTCTCTGACCACTTGCTCATTGGGTGAGAAAACGAGTATACAAAAGGGGATTTAGCAAGTTGTCAGACCACGAATAATTGCGATGGATAAACGAGTTCGTCAAGAATGTTCTACGAAGTGTTAGAGGGGGCTCGCCTGCTTCCGACAGAAGAACCGGGATGGATGTTGATTTCATGCAACCCAGTGCCATTCTGAGGGCTGCAGACTGCACTCTGTCCAGGCATTTTAGGGAGGTCATAGCAGAATTAGCGAAAAGAGGAGAACCCCAATCTAGAATAGCTCTTATTAAATTTCTATAAACTGTCAAGGCCAGCATGGGAGAAATACCCCATGTGGCCCTTGTTATGATTCTGAGAATACCCAGTGCCTTCGTTGCTTTATTAGCTATCATCTTTATATGCTGTGTCCATTTTAGTTTCCGGTCCAAAAGTATGCCCAGGTGTTTCATTGGAACCTAGCCTTAATGCGAAGTCTTCATAGGATGATCGGGATTTTGTGAAGATGCAGCAAACCGTTTTTTGCGGGGCGACGTCCATTCCCAGTGTTTCAAGCCAAGCAGACAAACTCTCCAGAGCCGCGGAAACATCGGTGAAAAGATTGGCAACTGAGGAGAATTTTACATAAAGTAGAAGGTCGTCAGCGTACATGACAGCCTTCATGTTAGGTGGAAGATATTGTTCCAAATCTCTCAGATACAAATTAAATAAAAGGGGTGACAGGACTCCACCCTGTGGGACTCCAACACCACAGACTTTTGAATCTGATCCGTCAGCATTAAAAGAGACGTACCTTTTTCTGGTCATGTGATTGATGAAGTTTACCATACAGGGGTGGAAATTTAAATCCCTAAGCACTGTATTTAAAATAAGAGGGCGAACGTTATTAAAAGCACCCTTAATATCGATAGAAACTGCCAGAGTATGCTCTGAATCCGCAAAGCCGATCAGGGTATCAGTGACAAAAGTTGCAACACAATCAACCGCTGATCTTTGCTTTCTGAATCCAAACTGGTAGGAAGGAATCAAGCCCCGACTCTCCACATCGTGTTCCAGACGTCCCTGTATTAGTTTTTCAAAAACTTTTGATAGAACCGAGGTGAGAGCTATGGGCCGAAACCCCTTTCCACCTGATTTCGGTAGAGCTATAACTCTGGTGTATAACCACGAAGATGGAAAAGAGGAATGCAGAAGCATTCTATTGAACAATATTAAGAGGAATTCCTGTGATATTGGCCCCAAAAATTTTATCATATCAGCAGTGATGCCATCAAGGCCTGCCGCTGCTTTTGATTTAGAAGAAGAAATAGCGTGTTGCAATTCATTCCTTGAAAAGGGTGGAAAATCTTCACCGAGATGACTAGGTGTGGGCAAATATGCACGGAAAAAAATTTCCTGTGAAAATTACAAGATTTCCTGTGCCATCTATGAACGGCGGTTGTAGTATCCACAAACGGCTGAGTTTGGGAAATATACAAACCAGAATGAGTCTTGTCACAAACTTCAGTTTATGATTCAACAGCTTAAACAGTCACGCAGCAGACGACAAGCAGACGTTCACTTGAATTTTCTTGCGCATGCGTGGATTTCTTGGTGTTATAACAGATTGGTTTGTGGTACACACAACCCTATATTAAAGAACCAGTTGAGACCAGTAGAAATTGAACATGGATCTACTGGTGTCAACTTGCTTTCCAAATTGAAAAACTTTTCCGTGTAGCAATTCTACTGGTTTTAACTTGGAAATCTTATTTATGTAACTGAAACGGATATCCAAGATAAAATTGAAATGGTTCTATCTTGGATTGTCCTCTTCAATTTTTGTTTCGACTTGTTTTAACATGGATTTCCAATCTTATCATCTCTACTTGTATTTCCAAGTTCGCACGTACTACAAGTATCAGCTTGCATTTCCAAATACAAAATTAAGTTCAAGTATCTACTTGGTTCAATTTGGATTCTCGAATACTACATTTCACTTGTCCTGTCAAATTAAAAATCAACAAGCTTGAGTTTGGAACTTCCAACTCCAAATTTATATAGCACAGTGAAGGATTAATGTCATCTTGGTTTAATTTGAATCGGGGATGCATTCTATTTGGAATTTCAAGTTCAAATTTAAAGAGTTTGATTAATAATCGCTAATTGGAATTCTTTAAATTGTCATTTTCGCCAATTGTTATTTTTGCAAAGAATTATTATTGCAAATTTACATTTTACAAATATTTATTTTAGTTTACTGTTATTTTTCAAATTTGTTATTTTTGCAAACTTGCATTCTTCGCAATGGACAGTTTTACAAATTGTTAGATACTTTTGCTAATTGTTGTTTTGAAAATTTTATTTTTGCGAATTTGTATTTCTCGAATTGATATTTTTATGAATTTGTTACTGTTGCTATTTATAATTTTATGAAAATCTGTAGTTCACAACAAAACAATAAAGCACTTTTAACCGTTTTTTTTTAAATTTT